TCGGGGAACTCGGCTGGCTTCTTCTTGACATAGTTGACGGTCAAACTAAAGTACTCCATTCGAGCCATCTGTCCAAGGTTAGAATACATAATCAAAACAGCCAATCAGTTCACTTACCGCATCAGGCTTTGAGATCTTCATCTGGTTCTTCTTGGAGAATCCGAAAAAGTCCCGGAAGAGTTCAGCGGGGAGTTCGTCCTTATCGCCCTCTGCCGTAGCAAGAAGAAGAACCGGGTCAGTAGGAGGGATAGATCGCAGCATGGTCTTGAATGTTGTGAGAGCAATGGTGCCCTGCAGCGCGAGATACCAGGCCTCGATGTTGGGGATGTAGATGACGCTGGGCTTGTGTCGTCTAATTTCCGTAAAGAGTCCGACAATGACTTGCTCCATAGCCTGTTGCATGTTAGAATCACATCTTTACCAAATGACAGTATCACTTACCCTTCCATCACCCAATATGCTGGGGAGGTCAAAGTTCTGCACATGAACACCTTCGAAGTAGTGCAAGATGGCGGAGGAAAGGTAAGTCTGACCCATTCCATGCTGTCCATGAATGATGAAGCGGGGACGGAATACTCGAGATCGCTCAAACTCCTGGTGCATCGCCTCTCGACCAAAACCGTGATCGTCATCTTCAAACTGCTCATACATGGCCTCCTCCAGTGCTGTCATCTTTTTCTTACGAGGTAGCAGTCCGTCCAGGGCGCGTTTAGCCTCCGCCAATTGCTTGCGCAACAGCGGATCTATCGACTTAGGAAGAGGTCGGGCGCCCGAGGTTGCTGATCGCTCAGACGAGGGAATCAGTTTCTTGATAGACAGCATAAAGTCTGTTGCGTGGACGCTAATCTTCTCAGGGCTGACCACCAGCTTCTCTTTGGAAGAGTAGATCTGAGGATATGTCCGTTGAATGGAGTTGAGAGCAGCTTCTGTGCAAAGGGCTCGCAAGTCAGCACCACCGTAGCCTTTGGTGTTCTCAGCCAGGGAGTCCTTGAATTGCTCTGACAGGCCCCAGTCCGCAGTGTGGATGTTGAGGATCGACTTTCGTGCTTCAACATCCGGCAAGGGGAAGTAGAACTCTCGATCGAAACGGCCTGGTCGGCGGAGGGCAGGATCAATGTTGTCGGGGCGGTTGGTGGCACCGATGACAATGACTTGACCACGACCGTCCATTCCATCCATCAGAGCCAGGAGTGTTGAGACAATTGAGGCGTGGATCTGCTCCTGCTTGCTGGATCGGACAGGCGCTAGACCATCGATTTCATCAAAGAAGATGATACTGGGTTGGGTTCTCCTTGCCTCCTCAAAGAGCAACCGGAGTTGCTTCTCGGCTTCACCAACCCACTTGCTCAGGGCATCGGCACCCTTGCGCATATAAAACGAAATCTTTCGGCCGCCGGAGCCCACCGAGTTGGCCAAGGCTCGGGCAAGCAATGTTTTACCAGTTCCTGGTGGACCGTGGAACAGTACACCTCTTGGCGGAGTGACGTGGAATCTGGTAAAGAGTTCAGGATAGAGTAGGGGAAGTTGGACCATCTCCTTCAGCTGGTCGATATGGCCTTGCAGACCACCAACCTTGCTAAAGTCAACATTCATATCAACTCCAAGAGGGTCAGCATCAGCAAGGGCTTTGCGGTCCTTGATCTTGCCAACATTGGGAGTTGCTCCAACCCCATCAATGTTGAGACCGGGTACGCCAGGAAGCAGGCCGCCGGCAGGGCCCGCAGATGTCGGAGTCATGCCAATATTGCCAGCGACGACGCTAGAACGATGCATCATCTCATCGTCACTGCTATCCGAGTCGACACCGCCAGCTGCGCCTGTGCCCCAAGGCCCATTAAGGAGTGAACCACCGCCGCCGCCGCCTCCGAAGGGACCAAATGTAGTGTTGAGGTTACGCTCCCAGCCCTGGCTAGCTCCACCACGCCCTCGTCGTGCGCGCGACGGCGCGGGTGCGGCTTCGGCCTCTTCCTCCTCAATGTTAACCGAGGTCAGGGGAGGCATGTAGTAGTTGACGCGGGCTCTGGATCTCCGGGTGTTCTCCTGGTAGACGATAGGCGACTCCTTCCTTGGGCGCCGGCGCGAACGAGAGTCCTGTCGCAGCTCGCGCGCCTCCTCGTTGAGTTCGTCAAGATCAAACTCGGGCTCTTCATCAGCAGAATCACCGCCTTGACGCGCAGCTCTAGCAGGTCGTGCTCGTCGGCCTCGAGGGGCTGGGCTGTCCACGTCATCCTCGTCGTGGGCCTTCTCGGAGCCAGAAGCGGCCGCATCTTCCGAATCATCGCCAGGTTCAAAGTCGCTGCTGACCTCATGAGACTTCTTGCTGGACTTTCGGGTCAGACGACGTGACTTTCTGGGCCCGGTATCAGATTCGACTTCCTCCGGTTGTGCTGAGGCATTTGCGCGAGAGCCTCGGGTTCTGCGAGTGATAGGTACATCGTCCTCGTCGTCATCTTCCTCCACTGTTTGCACAGGAGCATCTTCTCCGGGGGCATCCTCTTCGACGACATCGGTTTGGACAACATCCTGCATTTCTTCATCCTTGTCCTCCTTCTTCTGGATCTCCTCAGGATCTTGGGAGAGTTCATCAGGTTGATCGGCGTCATTGATTTCTCGAGAGCTGGTCTCTTGAGTAGCTTCCGGAATCGTCTCGGGGGCGTTCTTAGGCGTCTTCATGGCCCGTGAAGCCCTTGTGTTCCGAGCAAATGTTTCCGGGCTTCGACTCCGTGAGTCTCGCGAAGGAACAGCGTGCTTGCCCGAGTTGGAGAGTTCCAGGAACTCCTCTGCCTCTTCCGTGTGGGCTCTAGTTGACCGGCGTGTAACAGTGGGCAGTTGACCCTTCTGCACTCTGAGCTTCACGACTCTGCTCCTGGTTGGTCTTGCAGGTTCCTCCTCGGGCTCCTTTTCGACTTCCTTTACATCTTCGGCCTCGGCATCGACATCGGCATCGGCATCAACATCGACATCATCCTTGGCTTCATCAGGCTTGTCAGTATCGTCGCCTGTCTCGGCTGCCTCCTCGCTGCTTTCTCTGTAGCTCTGATGCTTTACAGCAGCTTTCCGGGCACGTCGACCGGCGGCGTTTACGGGGGCATCCTCGTCTTCTTCATCTTCGTCATCTTCGAGAAAGTCATCCTCCTGACTATCGGAGAGTTCGTCGTCATCGTCATCGATGTCGGATCCCCGATAGCGATTCCCACGTCGGCGACTCGGCTTTCCACTCCTGGAGCGACCGATCTTCTTTGAACTCTTTCGAGGAGGTCCAGCGACGGAGGGGTCAAAGTTCTCGTCGTCAGAGTCGGACTTGTTGGGATCAAAGTCCTCGAGGACTCTCTTGCGCTTGGGGACCATCGTAAGTGATGCTAGTATCGATTCTTTGCTTGTGTGTGGCGGTTCGGACGTCCAGCAATGACACGGACGATGGGTCTTGTCGAGCTTTGCTGGGTCTAAAGACAAGCAGGGAGGTCAGCAAAGGGATCATTCACCATGACGGCAGTCATCGCTGATGATGAGAATGCATCGATGCGCATCGAATCATCGCGTTTGTATTGACCAGTTGGTTGCGCAAACTCACTGTTTACATGAGCGGAGAGTGCACGATATCAGGTTGAGGCGTGCATGGGGTGGTCGTAGTCGAGCTTGTGGCTTACAGCGCGCGCGTCGGGATCAGCGCAAAGCATCAAAGGGGGCAATCGATCGGGATGCGCTGGATCTGTATCCAGAGCAAAAGTGAATAGTCGTATATAAGGCGCTGGTGATGTATTTGGGGAAACGGGCGAACACGAATAAGAAAAGAAAAGAACAGGTGACTGCGTGGGATGAAGCAGTTTTGCGCGTCTTGGTTCACGGGCGATAGGCGTCGAAGTCTGAGGTCTGGCGAGTTGCGGCCTCACGTGCATTTTGGCGCGAAAGAAAACAAGGTGGCCCGAGCGTTTTTCCAGGCAACTGGCCCGCTTCTGGTCTGTGATTGGCGCAAAAGGGTCGGAAGACACCAAGGCGATTTGGAGAGCCCGAAGTTGACCTAATTTATCGAGGCTTTGACATGAATTGCGAAACAAACAGAATCAATCTTCAACATGACTTTTTGGATATGAATCTTGCCCTTTTTGTAAAATTTCGATAGGCGTTTGCCCATTTACTCATTATAGACATTTCGCGACCGCCCCGAGGCCCGTTTGCGCTCTCAATTCCTATTCTTAATATTCTTATATGTCATCAATATCGAATTCAAACAAGACCCCAGCTCTCCCCAGATTTCCCCATGCCGGCGCCAACGCTCGATGCTTGCGGCTCAAGGTCAAGCTTCCCGTAGGGCTGATGTTGACGGCGAGTCGCAGGTGGCAGTCCCTGGTTCTTCCCGGAGCTTACCCGCTTTGATGCCTTGTGTCCTTGAAATTAAGGCTACACTTTTGGTCATCAGTCAGCATCTGGCAGCCAACACGCAGTAGGGGTTCGCTTCCTCCAACAGGGCCTGTCCACGTCGAATTGTCAGAGTCGATGAGGTTGGTCATGGATTCCCCAGATGGAGCTCGGTCAGGCAACAGCCATTTTTCGATCCTGCTTTTTCTGCAGGTTATCTCACTATCATGATATTTTCTCGTTTCGCGGCTCCTCGGCAATGACTTGGCACCAGGCAAAGACTCGAATCTCGGCCCAAGAAATCAGCAGGATACTACTGACAGTACTGACCAAAATGGATAGTCGTAAGACACGTTTCTCGCATTCTATGAATATCCTGTCGGGTGTTGGTCGCTCCGACCTTGCTTCATTAGTGACCGACCGACAAAGCATCCTTTCAACCGTCTCGCGCCCATGCTGTCTCGACCATGTGACTACTCGGTAATATCACAAGCCTTGGCTTTTTTCCTTGGCTCCCATCATTGTTACGATAACCGAGCGAGGGACGCGCAATCGCGAGAAAAGGCGGGCTTGCTCAATGCCCACATGGGCAGGTTTTTGACTTTGGTTCGTCACACGCCAATTATAGAAAAGAGCCGAGTTTAATAATATTATCGTCAAATTCATGGACTCGTTACAAATATTGCTACAGTGAAAGGTATCGTACAAGGCCGTCATTCGTGGTACAGTGCTCCATCTCGTCCTCCACTTCATGCGTCGCCATGTCTAGGATGTCTACCCTGAAGACGCCGCGCTCGCCAACATCAACAAAAACTCCCGTCCCGTACCAGCCAGCGACGTCGAATAAATACAGTGAATGTGAAACAGCATGAATTCCAGGCTGACAAGTTGCGCGATTTGGACGTCATGGTAGATAAAGCAGGACTGCACTGCATGCAGCTGAGCCCTGGAAATGGGTTTCCTGCGTCTCAGTCCTTCTTGAGCATGGACCGGGCGAGCTCCGTCAGGGATGGTCCGCCAAACAGGAGCTGGTTGGTGTGCCGACCACAAGTGGTGTAGACATTGACGGCTTGTGGTGCGGGCTTGAACCATGAGTGGGATGACTTGGGCGGGGATGAGGCGGGCGATTCGGGGAAAGAAGCCTCGCTCGAGTACGAGTTGGTGCGCTGCTGGTGGCTTGTGAGACTTGTGTTCTAGGCCAGTCTTGCTTTTAACCGACATACCTTGTCGTCCATGATGGGAACCGGCTCGGGGTTTCTTCCTCGCTGTTCCTCAGAGGAGCTTGTGCGGGTGCGTCCAAATGTCATGATGATTGTGTGAATGCTTTGGAATATGTTGTAGAGATTGAGTATTTGGTCAATGAAAGAGAGTCGTGATATCTTTCAGAGTCGGGGTATCAATGGGTATCGTGGTCTATCAGCCTTCAAGGCAGCTCAATGGGCACTCCTGGTGCGATCAATGGATATCAAGGAATGCCTGTTGTCGTAACAAAACAGTTTGATGAGCAAGAGAATGATGGGAAGTAATCGAGGGAGACGAAGCTGCCCTTAAATGCCCTCAGGGACGTGCGGCTGAAATGTGATGAGCTGGCACGGCCCTAGACATCTCCAGACGCACCCCAAGGTTAGACACTATCAATGTTGCACTAGGAGCCCTAGGAGCCCTACACGGCGACGCACCTGGTCAGCCGGCAGGTCTTGGCCCGGACTCGGTATGACGCACTGCAGATCGGGGCTTCTGACAGCACCTCCGCGGCACCGAATTGGGAAGACCATGCGACCCTCGTATGCCCACCTCCTTATGGAAGGTCTCTAGAAGCCACAGAAGCAATGGATCACCCCTCCAACCACCCACGAGGAATGCTGGGCACTGCTTATCACAGTGATACAGAGGTAAATCAGCCAGCAAATCGCTAGGGAGATGTTTATCCTTGCCTTTCCCTAACCTCGGCAATGGAGCCCCTCGTCCTATCTCGCCCTTTCCCCTCAATCTTAAGGACTCTCCTCGTCCTACTTTACTCCCTTACTTCTAAAGTAAGGGTTTATCGTCTCCCCAGGCAGCAGAGTTCCAATGATAGAAACAAGGGATACGGTGGGGCAGATCGGCACTGTCGGCTCCGAAGGATGACCGGCGCTGCAGTCAGCCGACGCCGAGCTTACGGGCTCCGCCAATCCCCACAACGGGGACCCCGACGCGGCCCGACCATATCCACTCCGTGCGAACGCCCAGTGGCCGTCGGTGCCGTTTCCCCCAGACACTCACTCCAAACGTCACTGCCAAGTGAAAAGCAATGGTGGAGGAGCAGTCACGCGGTCACACATTCCCCGTAATCCTCCGCCTTCTGGAAGCCAGCTAGAAGGGCACCCATGCATCTGATCGACCTGTGATTCGTAACCGTGGTCTTGGTGCTTGTCACTGAGCACCCAGGAACCGAATGACGCGGTCGAATTAAGGTAATGGATGCCGCACCAAACGAAGGAGTTCCCCCAGCCACTGTTAGGCGGCGAACTACAGCAAGGCGAAGCTTCTCACATCTCCTGTCCGTTGCAACGTCAAGACGCCCGACGAGGTCACGAGAAGAAATCACAAGGGGTAGAACGAGCCTAATTGTTGGCCCAATTCGATCCATGCTTAGAGTTAGTATTGCAGCGTTTGGTAGTCTCAATCGTAGTCAATGCTCGATGCTCGGTGCTCAATGCTCAAGGAGTGACGTTGGCCTTGGCGTCTTGGCTCATCTTGCCGATTTCCCGTGCGCATCACACGCCAAGTCCACAGAGGGCATCCAGACCTTTATGGCATGGAAAGAAGGTTATACTACGTAGTAGCTGCTGCCATTGATTTGAAGAACCCCTAGAACGTGTGTGCTCCAATTATCTCGAGGAATGGCTTGGTCTATCCCAGCCCGCCCCATTGTCTGTTCCTCCTTATTCTCATTTTCTTTTTTACACTGGTTCCACACTGCAGAAACCTCCACGGGGTTTGCGTTGAATATGCACAGATTAGATCTATATCTCAATATATACGCCCTCGTCTTTTGTAATTTCATGATGTACGACCGAGCTTGGTTGGTAGTATGTTCAAGTAAAGGACGTGGAGAACGCTGAGTGCATGTCACTGACTGACGTTGCCATGGCCAGCAACTGTCAAGAATCCGTTATTCAGCCACAAGGGGGTCTAAACTTTGTAACACGATGGCGTTGACCCTCCACCAAGTCCATTGTTCCCCACGAATAATCATTTGGCTACGGACCCCGAAATCGCCTGCCCAAGTGCCCACCACAACATGAAGCTACTATTTTTGGCCAATATTTATGGATGGAATTGTCCGAAGCCCAAGCTCCACGCGTATCCCAGATCCAAAGGACGGGTCGAAGATGATTAACTTCGGCTTGAGTGACACACTACCAACGTCAGAAACGTTGATCGGGTTGGTTCATAGGAAATGAATGGGTCATGCTCCACCGAGGAGACATCACATATAAATTCATACGCGGTGCCTCACATTCGGGTTTACCTAGGCCTGCAGGCCTGGGATATATTCAGAATGAAAGTTTTCAGGGTCCAGTTGTTTCCTGGGAAGTGAAGCAATACGCACCCGTCCAGTCAGGATAGCAACTTCATCTGCAGCGCGAGATGATTCTTCTGAGGTAAATTGTAATCTGGCATTTGATCTGCAGTACCTCCGTTATCCATAGTTCTCGTCCCGTGACGAAATCAAGGCGCCTTGACGACTCTTCTGCGTGAGGCCTGGATCTACAACGGGCCGCATAAGACGTGGAGGCAACACTATTCAGAGACAACTCAGAAGCCAAGTTTTAACTAAGAGTAAGCAATACCAGCGCAGCGATTGAGATTCTAGGATGCCATCCGCATTAGCCGAGACGAACTGGTGCGACGATGCTTGCATTTCCCGCGAGCGGAAACTTACAGCATAGTGGGATAAGATGGGGGCCACAGGGCAAACAAAGAGATCAAAAAATAGAGTCAAATTCAATACATAACTGTAAAAGTCTCGGCATTGCAGAATAATAAGGTTGCGTTCCCGCCGCGATCATTATTGCAAAGTCTTCGTTGCCCCTGATCTAAGCTATCACATCCTCGAAACTAAACAGGGAGCTTCAAGAACCACCCGCCAGCTCATATACATTAGCAACAATGTAGCTACCGGAAACAGTCATGCTCAAGGTTTCCAAGCGTATGGTTTCTGTCGTTTCGGTCGCAGTACCGTTCATGCTGACTGAAATAGACCCACAGGTGAGTATTGGGAAATGGCTGGGGAGATGCTAGCTCATGAGATCTTCAATCCTGGAATTGACGCTTTGGGTCTCGTATGGTAGTTGTTATGCGCAAGGCAAGAGAATATAAGTGCTCGGCTGTCACAGAGCCGTGGCTCAACATTGGAACACTGGCCTGGATTTACGTCTATGCACAGGTACTTTAGCGAAAATCAGCAACATATGAATATTTAGTGATAGATCTTGGATCTCTAGTCTCAGATCGTCGACATCTGTGTGATGCGAAAGTTGCTGGGATGGATGGCCAGCTACCGCCCTCCCACCTTCAGCCCAAAGCTTACATGCTTTTGTATCATTTCAATGGTGTATACTAGATACTTCGATATAATGTTTAGTATACACTATTTCTAGTCTCTCTCATTGTACGTTATGGTAACAATCTCTCCTGGGGACACGCGGGCCTGCCATCCTTCCAAAGGGCAATACATCATTTCTACACAACCAGAGACTTTCCATGGCCTTTTTTTATCTTCGTCAATGGAGCCTGTGTGATTTTCCTTTCACAGGGCTCATTCGTGGCTGTACTTGTTCCTCCTTGTTCTTAGAGCTACTGCTTGGACCTTCACATGGCCACCAATCACTAAGCCCAACGGTGTAAGTCAGGGAACTAGTGGGACTCGATTAATACGGGCGTTTTGGTGGCTAAATAACTAAGAAGTCATGTCCTTCAGAAACTTGGGTATCAAAGGCACGGGAGCCTTGTTCAATTAGTAAGTGTTGCCTAGACCCATATGTTGCTCCCGATCACGACCCTCCACGGTGTTTCTAACGATGGGTCTAATACTCCTAGAGTTAAGTGACATCTCCAGACATTAAGTGATGGCCTGCGGAACAACAGTGCAAAAGTGATAGAGAAGATAAGCAAGTAAGAGGGGCTCGAAAAGACCAGCTTAGATCAGCCAATATCATATACCGCTCGCAAGAATATATCATTCGTTAGTAGTCAGACAACTGTGAACCCTCCGGCTCGATCGAGCCTCGCACCGAATAACCATCCGCCTTTGGAGCGGGATACGACTTCCTATCAACAGCCGCATAACTTCTCGAGAATTGATCCAGCATACTCCCGATCCACCTCTGCTCCTCGGCAGAAGCAAACTCATACGCTATACGCATCGAAAACCCAATCCGATACGGCCCCATGGTGCCTTGTCCCACAGACTCGACCGACCGCAATATCTTCTCGACGAGATCTCGCTGAGATGCCTCCGAGTTGGGAACCGGCATCCCGCATTGCGCCAGAGTCTCCTGCAGGATAAGCATGCTCGCCCAGTACCCCATATGCATCGCCCCGGCCGATGGGTGCTCGTACACCAGGACAGTCTCATACAGCGAAGATGCTGGATCGATAGGCGCGGCCTCGATAGGTTGCGGTATGGGGAGCACGGCAAACTCGTCGTGCCACTGGGTGAAACTCGCGTGATTCGCGGCAGCGAGGTGGGCCAGAGAGGAGAGCTGGGATGGCTCGACCGAGATGCCAGCCTTGTTAGCCTCGCGGACGAGATAACCCCATTTCAAGACGGGCGAGACTTGCACGAGGTTGGTGAAGAAGGCGTCAGCGACCCGGATCGTCTCGTCTGGGATCTCGGCCGGGTGGATAAGGTGCCTCCCACGGTCGAGCATGACCTGGTGCCATGCCGGCTGCGAGAGGAAGAACTGGCCCTTGCCAGGATAGAACATGTCACTCATTATCTAGCAAGGGGCCGTGTTAGTCTTGATCCGCCAGAGTAGCAATGGGAGAGCCGCCGCCAAGAGCGGGAGCTCAGTGAGGTCCACCCATATTAGACGACCAGGATCGAGAGTCCACTCAGACTTCATGGGTATATGTGAGATGCTATATCGCGCCATCTCAATGCAGAGTAACATTGCCGGTGATGGAAGGGGAGAGATCATGGGCCGCATTGGTTGTTTGGCTATGGTCATAGCAATCTCATATAGACGCTGATGTCACTTGACATGGAGATAATGCGAGTTCCAGCCCTCCGCCTTGTTCTTGGGGTCGGGGAGGAATGAGGGAACGTACAAGAATCCCACGAAACGAGAGTAGCATGGCCGCGTCCCAACCTTCGGCATGAGCCGTCGGCCCTCGTTGCTCCATTAATATGCCAATGCCCTTGGCATGTTGAAGCCAGGTATCGGGAGCAGTAGTCCCCGCGAAGAGCTAGGGTTATCAGTTTCGAGTAAAAGAGGCGAGTGGACAGCAGGAGGAACTACCTCAAAGAAGCATAGCAGTATCGCAGAGCACAGGGTTTCGGGCGCGCTCCATTCTGAAGGATGTCGTAGAGCCGCCTGCAGCTCATTGAGTGCGAGGACATATATCGACCGGCTCTGAGCTATCAGTTCAGAGTCCGAGGTTTGCTTTCCAGCTAGATGGAGGGCAAAGGAACAGACAGCGCCGTCGAGTAGGGCTCGCTTGCCCAGGCGGTCAACCGCCACCCACGACAAGATGCTGTATATGTCTGTGGCAGCAGATATCATATAAGACGACTCTATCATGTTGTAGAGGACCTGGGCCCTAGGAAGCTGCAGCGACCGAGCCAAGGTCAGGGGAGCACGAACCAGAGGCCCCGGTCTACGAGACAGGGTCGTGTTAGAGTCGGCTGCACAAGAGGCAGGTTTGACGACATTGTCTGCTCGCTTGCCTCGTTGACGAATCTGGTGTTTTCCCACGACGAACTTGCGACTGCGATCATAGCCTGGACACTGAGCGCCATACTTGATACAATTGCCACATGCCGGCCTTGCCTCGTCACACTTGACCTTTCTCGTCCGGCAGAGCTGGCAACCCGTGCTGCGCGGGACACCGACCATGGTTTGTAGGTGCTCCCTCACCGCCGGTTCTCAACCGTGCCGCGCTCGGACAAATGAACCCCCCACCGGCGGGTTAACTTCCCGAAGCGGGCGGCGCGATATGAGAGGGATTGGGAAGGGATGCGGAGCGGGGGAGCGGCGCGGCGCGGGGGAGTGATGTGCACCGCCGGATCGGCCTCTTTTTGAGGATCCTCACAGGGTGCTCTCTGCCGAGATACTCAATGACAGTATGTGAATACCTATGTTGTCGCTCTTCACGTGCAGCCGCTGAGATGCGACTGGGTGGCTCTGAGACGTTGATTTATCCGATCCGCCCCTCTCCTCTCCGACGCCCCGTGTCGTCACCTCTATCCAGGCAAGATCAGCTCTGCAAGGCGCGCGCTTCGTAAATCTGACAGGTGCAAAATAACAGCAGCAGTCAAGTCGTCTCGAGTAAATTGAGAGACGTATGTCTGTCTGGGGAAACTGGAATGAGCTTTGCACCGCCTGAACGGGCCGGGGTTGGTAGATAGTTTGGCAGGGAGAAGATGGAAAGGAGCCGAGACTAAAGTTACATCCGAATTTGTAGATCCCCTTTTGAAGCTGCGGCCTTCGCGGAGGATGGGTAGATATTTGGCAGAAGGCGGAGCTTCAGGGCAACATGTCGTAATCTTGGCGAATAGTCCACTGTTCTCTGCTGCTTGGTTGGGTTGCCCTCCTGTCAGACCCTGAGCAGTCCACGTGGGCTTCATTTCATCGAGCAGAGATTGAGATGAGGTTGACAACCTGAACCTCTCCAGATCAGCCAGCAACAGGAGATGGTGACAGTGACAGTGACTTGTATAGTGACCCCGGCACCTTCGGGAATTGCTCTGCCAGACGCTAGGACGTGGTTCCTCTCGCAACCCGGCCCCGTGTTATCTCCAGCTCATCTCAAAGCTGAGGTGAAATGAAATTACATGAAATGCCCAGGCCCCTGTGCCTGTAGTCCGGACCTAGGGGCAATCAACACCAGGGCCAATCTTGATACGGTCGAGGACTTTCTCCAGAATCATGGCTGGCTGGACGGTACTGATACGGATGTCTTGTCTCGCCCGTCGCCGAAATAGCTGGCCCAGGACCGTGTGTTCTTGTCTCTCCCCAGAGGCCCGGGCGGATCACGAGTGAGCCTGTGCGGCGGGAATGGATGTGTGTATGGGCATCGTGATCGATGATTGCCATAGAAACATGGCACCCCATTAGGTAGGTTTCTTGTGTCATGGGTGAGAGGTCAAGACTATCTGTCAATTAAGCGCCTCAGGGTGGGCGACAAGACCAACAGGTCGTTGGGATAGCCTCGCCATGCATGTCCTCTCATCCAGCATGATGGGAAAGTTTGTCTTCATGGAAGTCTACCCTACACTTCGGAAACCCTTCCAGAGGGATGGTTGACACTCCCTAGCCGTGGCCCCTTGCCGGAGGAAAGGCCCTGAAGGGTCGTCGATCAACGGCAACGGCGGGAGTTTAAATGGGCGATTCGAGAGCACCACCAAGCTAAACCCCAAGTGATGGACAGGAAGGGTACAGTTGCACCAGAGGTTGGCGCGGCTCAAAAACCCCAGCAAGTGGGAACCGAACAAAGCGCCGACTGGCACCATGATGCCACCACGAACCCTTCGATGGCGGCTTATCCCTTGATTGACCGTGCCTGCTTAAGCGGTAAAGGTCTCAGGGCGAAGGATGACCGGCGTTGAAGCCATCACCAGCCTGGTCTGGTCCAGGTCAGGCTCTCCAGCCCGTGTGGCTAGCTGCAAGACACTGCATCTCGTTGATGCAACCAGCACGGGCTGCGGAGCCATCATCAACGCCAGCAGCAGTAGGCTACACGGGTCGACATCCGCGTCATGCCAGTATGCAGATAAGATTCAACTTGATTGTTTGTCCTCCATTCGAAGCTAGAAGGGGCTAAGCGACAGAAGGTTCCGTACTCGCTCCCAGTAAACGCAGCCAACCACACTGCATGTGACGTTGAACCCTGACGCGTCCTCTGCAAAAACAAGCGTCCAGTAGGAGGTCAAGGACAGCAGTTGAATTCCCAGCCGCACGCATGGCGGTACAACAAGTCGGCCAACGGTTGATGCCAGTGAACCGATAGAGTCACAAACACAACTAACAACAAGTGCCGGAACCCGTAGATGGGTGGACTCATGCTGCGCGGCATCATGACAGAACGAACGTGTGTGGTGGTGTTGTTCGCACGCAATGTCAAGACGGGGCCTGAGACAGGCTGGCACCCCGGCTCAACTTGTTTCATCCCTGGAGGGTCCAAGGGGCACATCCTCGCATTGCCATCATTTCAACCCAGGCTGCCAGGCTCCCCAAATGGCATACCCCAGACCCATTGCCTGAGTCAAGCAGTCCAGTGCTAGAGCAGCATTGGCTTACCAGGCCTGGGCGGCACGAGCTGGCATGTAAAATGACGAGGACTTGTCGGTGAACTGTATGGTGGCAGAATACTACCCAGTCATCCATATCGTCGAGTCGCACCTCCATGAACTCGCCTGGCCGTTAATCGCAGCCTTGTTCGCCCATACCCGATCCCTCCCAGCTCCGTATCCCGCAGACACCGGCGGGAACCTAATCGGTCGAGGATAGAATTGGAAGAGGGGACAATACCATTTCTATCCATTTGGCTTTGTTGGGCTCGGAGACGCTGCGAACCCGGCACTCGCGGCTAGACTTCAGAGGCCTAGCGTACTCGACTCCTCACTGCTGGGTATCGCCACGCAACCACCACCATTGCACAGGAGAGCAAGTTGAGTGGGGGATACGCGACTTGTGATGGAGAAGAACCAACAGGCAGGCCCTGGCCTGACCCTCTCGGTGCCCCAGTCTAAAAATACCCAGATCAGCGTGAGGGTTGCCCTCTTTTCCAAGGAGGCTGCTGGGTCAATGTCGTGTTGTCATGGAAAATTCCAGCTTCCTTTCAGTGGAGAGGCGGCGTGATGCTTTGCTGTCATGGTTGCGGCTCTTGAGGGCTAGAAAAGGAAGACGAGAAAAAAAAGTTGTGACAAAATAAGATCAATGAGCGTGGAGAATCGACCGGGAACCAGGGGCTTCGTAGACGAACGACACAGCAGGCATTGCTTGGTGTGTCAACCTTCAAGTTGCAAGGGACTCTCCAGCCCCAGCAGGAATAAGACCACGAGCATGTCTCTCGGCGTGAATGTGACGGAAGATGGTGTCGAGGCCAACCTCCACCATGCCTTGCAGCGAATCTCTGCCAATTGCCCTCCTATCAGGACTGACCCTTTTCGATGCCATCGTGCATATGTCTGGTGCCGTTTTGCCCCCGATTGCCGTTATTCGAGGACCCAGTAGGCCTCGCCTCGCCTCCTCGTCTTGGTTCTTGTTGCGGGTTTGCCGTTGTTGTTGAAAGTACAGTACTTCCATCTCCCATCCGACCCATCGGATGCCCAGTCTGAGATCCACGCTCCCTGCGGCCATCGCCTCGCAGCAAGACTACTGCAGGCCATGGGACGACAAGCAGAATGAGGCGCACTGGTGCATGCTTCTTTCTGCCGGCATCGATTCAACTCAATCATGTGTCAAACCGAGATCAGGATCAGGAGCATATGAGATACCGAATCTCATGGCCAGTAATCGAAGGCCTGAGGTAACTCAGGACGTGAGCGCTAAGTTGTTGAGATGCAGGAGAAATGGACGAGTTTGATTCATGCCATGGGCCTGGCCCATCTGAATGGATGATCATCTCTCATGCGAGGGTGGGCTCCATTGTGTTACGCTTTTCTTGTAGCTAGGTTGATTTCCTCGTTTATTCCCAGAAGAACATTCCTGACTGTCGGTTCAACTGCCAGAAACAAGGCAACGGTAGCCGGAGGATTACGAGGCTGACGCTGATCTTTCAATTGACTTTGACGCTGTTGGAAGAGTCACCAATAACCACCGCCACCAGGAACCTGCTCGCCGAGGTTATGAGGATGGGTTCTCCTGAAGAAAAATCGAGGCAGCGATTTGTAGATACACAGGGCCACACAAATGCGCGCGAGTCCCAGAAGCGACTAGGATGGCCCATGGCTAATCGTATTTCGATGTGCTCTTCTGCGTAGGATCGGTACGAGCGGCGCGGGACCCAGCATCAACGTCCGCCGGCCGCCCGCTTCTGGCGGACTGAATGAATGGAGACCTTCTGGCACATTGACTGGATCTGTTATTAAGCCTCTGGCAACCCCCTAAACAGGTAGGTTGGTGACTGGACTGGTTATTAGGAGCAAAGCAGCGTGTAGGTATGCTCCACTGTCCCCTTGCTTGGAACCAAGTACTGTATGTATTGTACCCAGACAAGTATTCTCTGCAGCCAAGCGTTGGTACCTACCCCTGGCTGAAGACCCCGAATTGTTGAAGGTGCGGTGCGGATATTGCAGACGGGATCAACTCGACTCCAGACGGCGGCAAAAAGCCATCGTTTCGCCTGTTCTTGTGGGAGACGGCAACCAGCAGAGCGGCAATGTGAGGAAATTCAGGGACCTCTTTCTCAGGACAATGACAGCCTCGAGGAGCACAGGTCAGCGCCAACGTTTGAGCTGCTCCCGGCATACTGAGTTGGTCGTTGGACAATGCAGCGAAGGAAGCACCGTCAAAAAATCAGACAGCGCCATCGTCAGCCAGCAACCAGCACAGACAGGTTCCTGGATCCAATCTGTTAACGGCCGATCTGCTGGCGCTGGGCGGTCCCCTTGCGTATCCTCGCGGCACAGGACAGGACAGGAGGCCAAAAGTCAGAGATGGTACTTGAAGGACGTGGTCACTGTACCTTGCTGGGGGTCTGTTGAATCCCTTGTCTAGCGCAGGCTGGGTCAATGCCACAGCGATACCGCCAGCCAATGACGGGCTCTCGGGCCCTTGTGGCATCAACAGGACCCGCCCGAGGCTCCTTGAAGTCGTGGGACTTTGTCTTGGGGAATCCTGGAGACGCGCTGGGATGGCACCACCAAGGACCTCGTGTTGGGCCCTAGTGTGGATGTGCGAGGTGAGGATGTCGAGGTGCTTCTGGCGCCCGAGACATGTGCGAATTCAAGAACAGAAACCACATTTCCCACTGCTTGTTTGCTTGCTTGCTGACGAAGGCCTTAGGTAGGTGCCCCTTGTCCCGTGCAGCCCAGGGCTTACAGTACGTACTCGTACTGCGTGCGTATTCTGTATCTCAATGGCAGGACCAGCATCTGCTCCACCAGGCTGATACTCAGGGCAGCAGCGAATGCTTTGTGCCGTCTGTTGTTGATGTCCAAATCACGTCGACTGCATGGACAGATGGATTGGATGCCATCGATCCCATCGTGTCGGTCAGGTGCGTGGGATGCAGCTCCGGCAGGTGGCATCCATCTCTTCTCTCTCCATCATCTGTAGCCACCGAGGCTATTATCGAACTGCAACCACGCTGCTGTCACGTTCAGACCCGAAAGGGTTGCGCGTCGGACATGAGATGCGCCTACGGAGTAGCTGCTTCCATTGGCGGCCCCCACTCTGACGGTAGAGCGTTGAGTGCAGGTGTAGGGAACGGGGACAACTGAAATGGATGGGCGTCTTGGGTGGCTTATAGGGGGTGCCACTCCCGATGGCCACTGCAGCTCAGGCTGATGTGGATGGACAGTTGCGAGCTCTTTTGGCACCTGGCATTGCCGTTCCTGGCCTCTCTGCGTGTGCTCTAACCAAGGACCATCCTTATTGAGTCCTGACCGGCGTCCTTCCAGAGAAGTGGGTACCAGGTGTAGGTACCTCCAGTACGACCAGGTACAAGTCCCCGGTACCGGTACGTATCGCTCTTCCCTCTTTCCCGCCCGAGCACTGAGGCCCTGTCGACTTTTTACGGCCAGGAGAGCAGCAGCCGTTTCCTCCCTCAACCTCACCACCACAGCTTGGCGAATTTCTGTCTTCTTTCCTATCACCATCTCCGTCTTGTCTCGTTGTTTCTCATTGTTCTTGTGTCTTTTTTCTTTTTCTTTCCTCTCCTCCCTTCCTCATCGCCATCACCGTCACTCTTCGCCATTTCGGCTTTCTCAGCCCCCCGTCTGCACGCCTCGTGTCTCCCGGCTGCAGCTAAACTGCCGTGCCCCTTTCTCTCTCCCAACTCGGCCGTCGCCCTCTCCGAACATCACCACACTTTTCTGGACGCCTTCGATCTCAGCCCTTTTCCGTTCTCTCGCCCCTCGTGAGCGCCTCGTTGCAGATATCGTCACCTCAGACTCTTCCAGCGCATTTGCATCTGCCTCGTCATCTGCCCTTGCTCTTTCCAGATCCCCGTGACGACCTCCAACGAAAGGAGTCCTACCTTGCCTCCTGCGCATTTGAACCCTCACCTCGCGAGCGAATCCCGTAATACCTCCCTTTCTCGTCTCGGGTGTTCCGTCTCCCCGTTCTATCGCCCCGAAACGACGACGATCTTCCCATGTTTCGCTACAACTAAGCCGAGATTCAAGTTGTCTAAGACGACTCTTGATCTTGCTCCCCGAACCTGCCTCTAGCAATCATATTGTAGCCGAGTCGAAATTTGCCCACGGTAAAAGTGAGCTGTCCCTTTCGACACGATCACTCGTTTCTGTCTTGGGTCGCTGGCGTCCTAGTCTTCTCGTCTCTTTCAACGCTTCTCGTTTGTCACCAACAATAAACCAGAAAAAAAAGTAAGTCAACCGTGCGAGCTGGTTGGAGCTGTTGACGTTGGGCTCATGCCTGATGTCATTCATTGTTTCTTTGAGGCAAGCTCGATTTTGTGAACGAGTTGCCGCCTAAATTTGAGGACAGCCTGCTGACAACAATCTTTCAGTAGCATCTGTTTTGTCCTATCCTGCACATAGATTGCGTCGCGAATCCACCACCGACCTATCATCAAACTCTCGAACCCGGACCGACGACAAGAATCCGTGCACGAGCTTCGTGGATACGATTGTTGTTGACGGCTCCTCGATTTAACGAGATTTGCCGACGCTAATTATGGCTGCGCTGGTTCAAACATATCCTCAGCAAACTTCAACGGTGACGATGCTCCAGACCCGACCGACTTCCGCTACAGGCATGATATCCTCCAACCAAGGCCAGAATGGCCACCAGTACGTGGGAACGCCGTCTCAAGCTCCCAGATACGGTGCTGCCGCCCCATCCGGATACCGTGGCAGCTCGGCTCCTGTCCAACAATACGCCTTCACGAGTACTCCGACTCTGAACCACGCCCAAGCCTGGCAGCAGCAGCAAGGACAACCCATCCGAAACCAAGTCCCCAATGCCAACTATGGCAACCGTGGGTTCAGTTCATCAATGACAAACCTGCCCTACGCGAATACCATGGGTGTTGGCCAAACGGGCGCACGCGACGATTCTGCTATCCCGCAAAGGAGGAATATCGTACCCGCTCCTCGACCTCACTCCGCCTTCCTTGCCGGACCTACCCAGCAGCCATATTCCCCTACCTCAGCAAGCAAGGCTGCTCCCGATAGATACAGGCGACCGTCGAATTCTCAACAGCAAAACCAGCACAGTCGCTCTCAAAGCACGACCCTTCCAGGAAACAACGGAATGCCGACGGCGGCCCAGCTTTACAACGGGCCGAACCCGCAACGCGCGGCCGTCCTTAACCGACCTAACAGCTTCTACAACGCCATCCCTGGCACATCTATGGATGACATGCAGCTGCCGCAGTCGCCCCTGGATGACTCTAAGCGATCGCGGCGGCGTAGCATGCGGAGTGTTGAGTCGTCGGAGTCGTCGAGGGCTGTTGCGCAAGACAAGGTCAAGTCTGACACTCTCCGAGTCGTATCCAATCCTGCTGTGCATTCGCGCAACGGCAGCTCCGAGAGCATTGTTTCAAGCCGCAGCAGCCACTCGCGCCCATCATCGGTGAGTTGCTATTCCCGCCGCATTGCCCAATCAGATCGGCACTGTGATGGTCGTATGCTAACAGGGATTCATATGCAGTCTGCCAACCGCAATGTCTCAGCCCCCACTGGAAACCCCTCTTCCCTGGCATCGAACGAAAGCACATCTAAGCAGGATCACGCCAAGTTGGTCAATATCCCACCTCGAGGCTCATCTTCCGATGCCATCAAGCGCACAACCAATCCCTCCCCTCTCTCCAGGCCTGCCACCATGGCCAACGATGTCTCTGACGACCCTGCACCGTCCAGCGCAGCAGCTAACCATGCGGCAAGCGCGGGTAACCTAGAAACGCCAGCCGCTAGGCAGCTCGCGGCTATTAACCAGAAAGGGCGCAAGGCCAAGAGCAAGACATCTAGGCTGCGTCGCGCCTTTTCGTTTGGAAGCGCGGCCGATTTCCGCAAGGCTGATGGACCTGATGGCGAGAGCGCCGACAAGACGGAACCCTCCAAGCTGCACAAGGATCCAACCTCAGATGAGGCTTACGATGCTGAGCAAGCCCGCATCGCCGAGGCGCAAGAAGCGGCAGGCCTTGGTCACAGCATTTATGGCGGTAGATTCTTCGGCGGTTCGACAGACAACCTTTCTATATCGTCCACGGCCTCCTCGGCCTCCATCATGATCCGGAAGATGGGTCGGGGCATGAAGAAGAGTGGACGGTCGCTGGTGGGACTTTTCCGACCTAAGTCAGTGATTGGAGTCGCACCCGCAGATGGACCTATTCCCGAGGCCAGCCAGGCCGCTGTATCGATGATTACTGTCGAGGCGGAGACGCAGCGAGTCAACGTTACTGCTGACCCCAAGCCCGCGGATGGCTTTCCCCATCTGGAGCGCAACTCGATCGACACAAACCTGGGTGCTGAGATTGCTGAGCGCTTGGGAAGCTCCGGCACGGACAACTCTAACTCGCGTAAGAGCATTGTCGGTGGCGATAGAGAACGTGCGGAAGTACTGGCCGCAGTCCGCAAGGGAATCTTGAAGCGTATGTCAAAGTCTATTGGTGATGAGTTGACTCTAGCTAACCTCCGTAATAGGACCAGGCTCTTCTAGCCCTTCCACCCGACCAGCTGACACTTCTCCTGGCCTGGACCTCCCCAGTGTCCCGGCCATTAATGACTCACCCAACTCCAGTGCCCCGAGCACACCCAATGATGAGTCGCAAGGTCACCGTCGAACTGGCTCGATCGCTATTGGCAGCGAGGATTACTTCATGACTGCCCTTCGGCTGCGCCAGGACACCAAGAGCGCGCCTGGCACCCCTCATGGATCAGCCAAGCGCAACGCGACCTTCTCCCCTCGTCTGGTCTTTTACGACACCTGGCCTAGCCAGGAGTATGACAGACGTGGCGAGATTGCGACATGCAACCGGTTGACACCCATGCTGGCGCAGCAAATCAAGGAGGAGCTTAATACCTTCAAGATGGTAAGTTTGATGCAGTATTGAGTGGAGATGGCAGAAGCTAACAAGATATTTAGGAGATGGAGGTTCACGAAAACTCAAAGATCTACACGCACTTTTTCTGATGATGGCAATGGCAATCAATGTCCACCACACAACACAGAGCGACGGCTGCTTCAAGCAGTGTTCTGTTTCCTTTGATCGATATCGGGCCGCGAGACCCGGAATCTTGTATTGCAACCATAGTACCTACCGTTTGGGCGTTTGGGACAGCATAGTAAGGTGTCAAGGGCGTTCAACTCTAACCACTCTCTACATGTCATGTGGGATTTAGACCAAAGAGTCATACATTTCTTTAATCTTTCTTTTCTCAGTTTCCTTTTTCATGTTGCGATGGAGCAAAGCAAAGCAGAGCATAGCAAAGCAGAGAGCCCGCCCAAGTCCCTAGTTGAGGGTGACGGGCATGGATTTATGGGACTTTGCAGTAGCGGAGCTGGAGCGAGATTTGGAGGTGACGTGGCTAGGGGCCGGCGGCAGTGGCTGTTACTGTTGCTGAGAGCCAGTAGATGGGATGTTGAGCCTGGAAACGACGGCGCCACTTGTTACAGAACACGACATCCCCAGTCGTCAGTCTCTATGTGGACTCGACGAGGAAAATTGGGGTGAGTGGAACAAGATGGAAGGACGTGTTTCTCTGGAGTGATAACAATGAACGAGGCAATGACTTGCCGTGAATTTTCTAGCTACTTAGTTTTTCGGTATGTACGTAGGTAGGTGCTTGTCTTGGCGATGGAAGGATGGATGTCTATAGCTGGAACTAGTAAATAAGCATGAAAGCTGTTTTAGTTCGAGATTGCATGGATCATTGTTGAAGTGTGAGTGAATGTTTGATTGTATGGGCGTTGCCTATGAGACGGACGAGGCGTGTTAAGAGAATGGATTTAATTAATGAGGGTGGTCGATCTGAGTGTGAGTGGCAGCCCGTGGGGATGTCTCAGATTATGAATTGTAGTAAGCAATCAAAGTTGACGGGAGTTGGAGATGAGATGGTGACGGGACGGTACGTACACCAAGGGTCCACGTTCACGACCAAGTATCGGTACATGTACCGGTACAAGTGGACATTGTGCCTCGACGAGGCTGAAGCTAAGCCGACTTTGGGCTTGTTTCTGATGTGGGGAAGGCTGAAGGCTGAACGCGGGGCTTGCCTTGCGGCTTCCATGCCTCGGCGGGTGGGTCTCATCGCGTGCCCCGCGCTCAGCCACAGTAGGACCTACAGCCTTGCGGTCCCCCACCTCCGGAAAGTGGGTGTTAGAGTGTGACGAGCAGGGACCTTGAACTTTTTTTTTTCTCCTCCTTCCTAAACAATCCCTGTTGAACCTTGTGGGCTACACAACAACGGCGACTGCTACAAGCACGCTTTGCGATAAACGACTTTACGACATCCTGGAGAGATTGTTGCGGCGAGTTTGGCTCCGGAAGACTAATACTCCGGGGCCTGTGTCTGCTTATACCTCGAGGCATCATCATTATCCCGCCTTGCGAGGAATATCCACCATGACGACCGGAGACAAGAGCCCCGCGGGGCAACAACGCCCAGCCAAGTTGCATGGCAGGGCATTCTACGAGAGCATTGGTAGCCCCAAGTTTATCGTTGCGCCCATGGTGGACCAGTCCGAATTTGTATGTATCTTGCTCTTTTGTCAATCCCTTCCCAGTGCTGCCATTGCTGACTCTTTCTTAACAGGCGTGGCGCATGCTTACCAGATCCTTCCTCTCCCCAACCGAGCAGTCCAGCCTCCTCGCCTACACGCCCATGCTGCACGCCCGCCTCTTCTCGCAGGACGAAAAGTACCGCCAAGCACACTTCCAGGCTGTCCGTTCAAACGAAGACCCCTGGCTTGACGGGAACCCCTCCATCGATCGACCGTTGTTTGTCCAGTTTTGCGCCAACGACCCTGACGCCCTCCTCGCTGCCGCCAAACAGGTCGCGCCCTACTGCGATGCAGTAGATCTCAACCTTGGATGTCCTCAGGGTATTGCGCGCAAGGGAAAGTATGGCGCTTTCCTTCAGGAGGATCAGGATCTCATATTTCGTCTGATCAATATTCTGCACAAGGAGCTCCCTGTGCCCGTCACGGCCAAGATTCGCATTCTGGAGACTGAGGAACAGACGTTGGCGTATGCGCAGAATGTGCTCAAGGCGGGCGCGTCCATCCTGACTGTACATGGTCGGCGGAGGGAGCAAAAGGGTCACCTGACAGGTCTGGCCGAGTGGAAGATGATCAAGTTCTTGCGCGACAGCCTGCCAAAGGAGACAGTCATTTTCGCCAATGGAAACATCCTTCAGGAGGGCGATATTGAGCGATGCCTCGAGGCTACAGGGGCGGACGGTGTCATGAGCGCTGAGGGTAACCTCAGTGACCCAGCCATCTTTTCGAAGCCGCCACCTGTAGGCGAGGAGGGACGGGAATACTGGAGGGATAAGGACGGCAAGGGTGGATACAGAGTTGATGCCGTTATGAGGAGGTACATGAACATCCTCCACGAGCATACCCTAGGAGGCAAAGCTCCCGAACGTAGACCACTCTTTATGCCCGGCGACGACACAACATGGATGACGGAGGGTCAGGCTGAGGGCGACGAGCCAGCGCCCAAGAGGCGTAAGAAGGAGGGCGGCGGTGGAAAGAAGGGTGAGCAGGGACCAAACATGTCGGCCATGCAGCCTCATCTCTTCCACCTTTTGCGGCACTTTGTCTCCAAGCACACCGACGTGCGGGACATGCTGGCCAAGAGCCGAGCCGGTGACATGGATGCCTACGAGCGAGTGTTGGCGGCCGTGGAGCTCAAGGTGGCCGAGGGTCTGCTCGAGTACGAGCGCACCAACGGCGAGAACGTGGCAGACCCGACGCCGCTGGCCGAGGGCGAGGTGGATCCCCCAGAGGATGAGAGTTCGGTAGGCACACAACGCCGATGCCGGCGACCGTGGTGGGTGGTACAGCCCATCATCCGGCCACTGCCCAACGAGGCGCTCAAGAAGGGAGCCATCACGTTGAGTAAGAAGGAGAAGGGAAAGGCCAAGGAGAAGAAAGAGGAGGAGAAGGGAAAGCAAGAGGATATCAAGGCTAGGGATGAGGCTTTGGCTGGATAATATCATGGACGATACCCACTAACTGGGATGAGGTAGACGGCGTATGAGGGCATGAATGTTGGCTACTTAGAGTACAAAAAGACTAGACAGGTTTCTGTTCATACATGTTCATATTCCAACCCGCCAGCTTGTCACCACCACCAACCAACCAACCGTCTTGCTCAGACCATGCCCATGTCGCCTTGCCTTCTTGCTGTCCAACCAATTACTCGGCCACGACCTTCTTCTTGCCTCGAGATCCGCGGCCATGGGACGGGACACTCATCTTGCGGATTAGCATGTTGAGCAAGCCGCCTGCTTGATCATGCTCTTGGGGGAAAGTCCATTTGGTCTTTGCCGTGAATTGTCTCAAATCCTGCATGCTCTTGAACACCTCGACGGGTTCCCCAGTTCTGGGACTCTGAACGAGGGCAACGAGGTTGACGTGAGCTCCCCGAACAATCTGTTGCACGTCAGTATCGTGAACTGCGATGAACCCGACAAGTTTACGCACCTTGTGAGCCTCCTTCAGCGTCTTTGGAGCAGACAGTCCCATTGCTTGGCACAGTTTATCCCAGCTCTCCAGGCTGCCCTCATCCGTGCCATAGACGTAGTTGAACTCCTCCACCAAGGCGTCGCGAAATTCGCTCTTGAAATGGCCTCTCTCGGCGCCCTGCCACTTGAAGTGTTCAACCATGCGATGAAACTCGTTCCACAGGGGCTTGTCCCGCATGTAGTCGAATTTGGGGTACTTTGCGAAGAAAAGATCAATCGGAGAGTCATATTCTTTCTTGGAGGAACCATCTTCTTTCTCAGGGAGATCCGGGTCGACCGTGCCGTCGGGCAGAGGCAGAGTGTTGGGGAGCTGGTGAGAGTACTTGCAGTTGTCTCCGTAGCGACACTGTCCAGATTCTTGAAAGAGACGGCAGACATTTTGCTCCTGCTCCTGCTTCTTTTTCTTCTCCTGCTTCTTATTTTTCTCCCACTTCTTCTTCTTAGACTTTCTCTTAGTCTTGCTGGTCTCGCCGTTGCTCGCCTCAGCGACGCTGGCTTGCACCTCATCGAGGGGGGCCACATCTGGTTGTGGACCATTTTCTGCAGGATGCTCTGAGACTCCTTGCATAGAATTCAATGGGGAGCGACGGGGACCCTGCAGAGGAGCAAGTCGTTCCTCTGGATGTGCAGCAGGGGCAAGATTGCGAGGTTGATGTGATGATGATGGCTCGCTGGGTGGAATGACGGTATAGCCCCCAGCAGCAAGAAATGTGGCCATAATACCAGACAAGGTTAGAGTTCTCGTTGCTCTGACGCCCCAGATCGGATCATCTAGAGGTATCTGGTAAGGGTCGGAATTGTCAGAGCGATGGTTCTGCTTCAGGCCAGTTTGTGTGGATTTCCCAGGGATGGGTCGTGGGCGTCATCTCACCTGGGGATCATCATCTCCATGATTATCGCCTCCAGAGTTCAGAATCGGGACTGCCATGATCAAGTTGAGATAATTTGGGCGATTCTCGAAGATGGGCGAGTCGAGTTTTGGAGGGAAGAGAAAGAGGGGGAGGAAGAAAAGAATGGTGAAGCGGAGGTGAATGCGTGGATCCTAAGGCTTAGGATACTGATAGCAACCTGCATTCTAAGGCATGTCAACGAAAAAAAGCAAGTGGGGATCTGTTTGAGAAGTCTTAGGGATCTTGAGTAAACCAAGTTGATTCATGCCATGATTTGTCATGTTGGCGATTAAGAGATATCACAGAGTGTCACACAATGGGGGTCAAGGACGTGGCCATGGTGATAAACCGCCAGAGACCCTGCAGGAACGTATCTGACGAATAACTCATCTTGCCTACCGTAAAAAACTGCCCAACCACGATACCAGTCCTCCAACTATTCCAACAGCTCCAACGACTGTCATTCCCAGGCCCGTCAATCCAAAGACGTTGCTCACTATAGCCATGCCGTAACCACCAGCCCCAGCGCTCTGAAGAATGGCAAACGGGCTCCCAGCTGCTACATTGCCAATCCCGCTGTGAATCAAGGCAGCAAACGAGCCTGTGAACTTTCATTAGCACATGAACGTACAGTTTTGGGATAAGAAGAGCCGCAGACCTCCACTGACGCCGGCTTCAAAGCCCATGAAGCCCAGGGCAAGATTTGCAGTCTGAACTGGCGCAAGTAGCAGCGCGAGGCCTGTAGATATAAAGGCAGAGGCTGCCGGCATAGACAATGTTGATGCCATGGTCTACGTATTGGTGAAGAAGGTCTGATCTGGTATTCCCGTGGGCGTGGACACCAGCTGCACAAGAACTTGGGTCAAGTTTAGAAGAGGTTTTAAGAGATAGACATTTCATGTTAAATATCTAAGTAATTCATTGCTATGTCTAAGAGACAACTGCCCGTCAATAGCTTGCTTCAACAAACATCGTGAACTAAACAATTGTAGATGGCAGCAAACTGTTTGTGTTGTGCTACAGGCTCGTTACTAAACAAACAGACAAGAAAACTCGTGTCAGGAGACTAAGTCCCCTTACTATATCGACATGCTCCCTCATAGAATCTGCGATAATGTCATAGCGCCGGCTTGCCCCTGAATACCAACTAGGTCGGGGACGGGCGATGGATTCATTAATCAGGTGAAGTGTCTCCAAAAAGTTGCCATACCAGCCAAAGAGACAGATCCAAAAGCGACAATATTGTTCAGGATAGCGGTGGCATAGCCACCCATTGCGGCGCTCTGGAAGAAAGCAAAAAAGCTCCCAGCACTGACATTTCCCATCAGACTCTGGATCCACGCGGCAAAGGACCCTTGAGAGAGTTAGCATGGAAAAGCTATGTGAGGTGGGAAAGGGTTATGGAAAGGGGAACATGCCTGCAAGGACGCCGGCACTCGTGAATCCAAAGATGTTTAGGATGGCCTGGTTCAAGAGCCCGGTAGCTGACAGAATAGGGCTCAAAAGAAACGACAGGAAAGGTAGCATGTTGGCGTATTTCCGGTGCCAAGTTGGTAGAGTGATGTTGGTAAGTGATGTTATCGTGTGTCAGGTGAGAGTGTTATGGTTGGAGGGATAAAAATAGGGAAGAGAGAGTTTGACACTATATATTGCTAAGACGGTCAACTACCTATTCACCTCCGTGAATGATGATGCCTTTGCTATAGATAACAACTGGATGCATGAAACAAAATTCCTCAAAGAAAATTAAACAACGAAGAAGTAGTGTGTCTTAGAAAAGGCGTCTGGTATTTCTTTGCTCTCAAAGAGCTGACTTGCATAGAATGTTTATAACAGCCACACCAGATAGTGCCAGCACCTCCATACAAAGATCAAGTGGCTCCTTTGCCACGTTTATGTCTCCAACCAGCTCTGATGTATACCATCCGATGTCTCAAGAGAGGGAGGATGGTGCGGCTCGTGAAGGGAGGCATCACAGGCGTGGTTTGTTGTCGTCCTTGCTTTCACCACCAGCCTCTCCACTCTTATTCTCCGCGGGCTTCTTCTCATCTCCCTCATCTCCCTCATCAGCCTCGCTCTCTTCGTCGTATTTGTCTCCTTTCTTCTCTTTATCATTCTTTTTCTTTCCTCCAAAGGACGCAGCAAGGCTACCACCAGCACCTACAGCAGCTGCACCTTGAACGGCTCCATAGACGGCAGACAAACCGTAACCGCCAGCACCGGCACTCTGGAGGGTTGCGAATAGACTGGGGGCAACGACACTTCCGATGCCGCTCTGAGCACCGGCTGCAAGAGAACCTAGAAGAACTATTAGCAAGCCTGCACTAAATTGATGTATTATCGAGATAAAAGGTGTTGACGAACCTCCAACGATGCCATTCGCGCCAAAGCCTGTGAGACCCAGAGCCGGAGCAGCCACCAAAGCTGGGACCGCGCACACGAGAACTCCAGCACCAACTGCGACGGCAGCCTTGGGATTATCCTTGGCATGTTGTGCAGCCTTCCCCGCGGCCTAGACAAGCCTCATCGTCAGCACATACCTAGAATCCATCAAAGCCAATACAAACCTGAGTCAAAGCCATCTTTACTTTATCAGCCATAGCGCTAGTTGTTCTCGAGAGTTGATGCAAGTGGTGAAGGTCTGATTAGGGCCAAAGTTGACAGTCTAGTTGGGGTCAAAGGTGAGAGTGAGGGTTGCAGGGCAGCCTTGGTGGCGATGCAGTTTCATGTGGGAGGCCGACCAGGCCAACATCAAACATTTGACCCAACCACAGGCCAGCGAACCCCGGTGAATGCCTACAAGTCACAGCAAGGTTTCAGTGACGATTTATTACGTGAGACTTGGATTGTTCGCCAAGGTGAATGATTGCTGAGTCGGCGAGTTTTCCTTCACTCGCTCAAGGACGGAGTAGAGACAAACACCAAGTTGTTTGCAAAGGAGTGTCAAAGACATCATCAAAGTTGAAACACCAACAGAACTTAATTCACCAAATTTTCAGCCAGACCAGCTAACAGATACAGCTCCCGCTCCCGCTCATCCTAAGCCAAAGAGGATAATGCCCCAGCGGCCATCTTGCCTACGCCAACCACCTCCTTGCTCATGGTGACGCTCTGAAGGAAGGCGAAAATACTCCCTGCTGGAACATTCCCAATAGTGCTTTGCCAAACAGCGGCAGTCGAGCCTAGGCTGGTTCATCAGAATTTCGAGCGCGATATCCAGTCCGGGTGCATACCTGCTAATGGTCCGATGGGCGTGAAGCCAATTGAGTTGAGGGCAGGCAGGATGCACTCCATGTTTTTGCCGAGTTATCGTTGATGACTTCTGAAAGGGGTTGGGTAACTGTGTGTAAGAAGTTGTTGCTATCGGTATATGAAAGAGAACACAGATGGACAAAAAGGGGTGGACTACTCGGTATAATATAGTAGACAAACTCCGAGCTCTTAGCACACTCATACCACCAGGTTTCAAGGCTTGAAGAATGGACATAAGAAGCGCCATAGCATAATGGCACGGCTCGTCATGGATCTTGCTCAGAGATCTAGATCTAAAAATGGAACATCTACAGGCACTTTCAGAGGAGCATGTGCGTGGGATCTAGTTGAGAGCAGGACCTCGATCCCATTGATACAACAAACCTACTGCCACAGCGAAAATATGTTTCAGAAGCACGTTTAATGTCATGAGGGCAAAGTGTGTTGATGTATTTGCTACTCCCAACCTGTTCCTTCAATGTGCAGTACTAGTGCCCCCTTATTACTAAATCTCCCCCGTAGGATACAACAACCAAGAGCCAGTTGGCAACTCTAATCCCCTTTGCCAACAACACCAACATACCAAGCCATTGCCTCAAGCCCGTAGAGATGTCAGGCACCAAAACTTTCAAAGTGATCCAGCCCGGTAATCAGAGTGCTGGTAGTGATTCCATAACCACCACGTTATGCTGTGTTTCTTTGTCGTCTCGAGCACATGAATCAGCGACTCGGCTCCATGGTAGAAAATGAGAACTATGGCTAAGCGTGCATGGGACACAGCGTTTCGCTTAGCAGACCGAGTTCGACGGTGAGGGCACTGGACACTAAAATCAGGCCAAAAGATAGGGCGGCTAGAAGAACGCTCATCAGGCAGATGTTGACAAAGTGCGCTGCTAGAAGCTTGATTGTGGGAATCATTGCCTTGGTATCGAAGAGCTGTAGGTGAACCGCCATGGTATATTTGTTCTGTGGGATTGTGGTATCAGTGTCAGTGTCTTGATGTGAGTTGTGAGTTGTGAGTAGTGAGTAGTGGGGAGAGATAGAGAGTGAGGGATGGTAGATTATATACCTATCATGATGTCTTTCACTTCTCTTTTGCCATTGAGGTTTGGCTCTATCTGCATAGGTAGACAAGGACTCCAGGCTGCCAATATGCCTATCATTGAGAGAAAAATGGGTTATCACACACATGTGGATAACACTGCGCCCAAGCCCTTTATCAGCAAGAATACCACAAAGATACCAGCTTGCCATGGTATTGATTTCTTTGAAGACATGCTTTATCTCGTAGGCATTGTCACCAACAACTCTCTAAAGATATAACTAAGGAAACACGAAAGCCACCCTTGCATCTCCATGAACATTTAATGAGAGGGGGACAGAAGATGAGAGAGCCTACGTATGATGTTAGCTATGTGATCTTGCAGGAACCAGAGTATGACAATGAAACGGACAGGCAGCACGTTGTGTAATTCCCGTCCACACTGCAGCATGTTTTTTATTGAAGAAATGCTTTGTTCATCACGATAAACCATATTCGGATCGGGGATATACTCTCTCTTGGACGGGGGAGCCTTACCTGGGAGTGGCATCGTAAAGCCAAAGGAGAACATCGACTATAGCGGAGCCGATAGGAGATAGAACCTCGGAGAAATATGCAGCTCCTGGTGTCGCATTAGAAAGACGTTTAAGAAAGCGGCAGACAAACTCACCACCCATGGTGGAGTAAAACCACATGGCCGTGAGACCCAGCAGATAGCGGGACGTGGTTGGAAAAGAGGAACTCGCGAGAACGACGAGGCTGAGGCTGAAGCAGATGATGAAAGTCTCGAGTTCCATGTTGGCCGTATTTTGACTGTCAAAGGGTATGCAGTTGAAAGATGTTGTAGGTGTGGTCGTCGCTTGCTCTTGAAAGATGCGCATTCAACGATGCCAAGTATCACAGATGCTTCTCGTGGTTCTAGGCAGAAAGGTTTGAAGTGAAGCAAAGTAAAAAAACACGGATGATTATCTCGAGGTGGATAAGACAGCTCTCACGTGGCACAAGTAGAAGTATCATCATAAGGACCGACTCACGATGTTAAAGTCACTGCCCGGCACTGACCAGGCAGCTGCTGCCACTGTAAATCATCAAGAGAAGCCGTTGGTATGATCGTAAATTCGTTATCAAAGCATCATGTGCTACTGTACTTATCATCCCTTCATCCTTTCATATCGACCGTGAGATTCCTCCTTGGAGTTGAAAGCCTAAAAGCAATCCATATCCCATCCATCGCAGCTCGTCGTCCTCCTCAGATGTCCACCCATCTCCATCTCAAATGTGCCGAGAGTCGTTCAAGCCCAGTCACAAGACATGCAAACTCCCTGAAGATCGCAGCAGAAGTCAACAGGGGGGGCAGGCAGAGCAGTAGGAGCGCCAAAGGTCTCATGATATTGAAGAGTCTCGCTCAGTCGTTGGATAAACGTCATGTTGCAGATCAGCAGCATGCAACCGAGGGTAGCTCGGTCCACGACGTAACTCGGGTCGGCGTCTATTCATCTGTCAGAAACAAAGATTGTAGATACGGAGACGGGATACTCACTGTCAGGGTCGTAAAACGCGTCAAGGAACTCCTGGAAGTTCTCCCCCCACATGGTGAGATTCATCTGGAGTCCGATGATTGTGTCTCTGACACAGCTCCAGACGCAGCGGAAATTCCAAGATCTGTCGGCGAGATCCATCATGCTGTAGTTGGCGAGGTGCTCAGAACTTGTGCTGATGGTGTATCAGTGTGGTTCAGTGTTGGTGAATTGCTTGAACCTCAACTAAGTGGACTTGTGAGAGGTGAAGAGAAGGGTTGAGAGATCACATAACATGGTGGTATTTATATCCTGTCCTCCCTGAAGCGTTCGTCTTCTTTCATCTGTTGACCAAAATGCCATAATTGGTGTTGCAAACGCATGTATAGATCTGGTGAGAACGCCCTATTGTAACTCCCAACTTAGACTTCAACGAACGCAACATGATAAAAACCGACTGTTTGAATAGTATCGTATTGCCCAACGAAACATGTTCATCTCGTTGCATTGCCGTTGAACTGCACAATGCATGCAGGATCCGGCATGAACCCGTTGACACCACGAACGCAGCAAACGCCCGACAATGCCGTCCAACGCATCATCTAAAAAAGGCGGAGCGAATTAACCTTTTCCGAGGATTGATCAAGTCCCTGGATACTCTCACATCGATAGTTTACGGCTGTTCTGTCAGAGTCAGTGGGATAATAGAGTGTCAGTGTGAAGGTCAAATTTGACCCCTTTTCTGATACTAAAGAACCAGGTCAAAACGGGCACATCAGGGTTAAGCAGTCTTATCTTTACAGTGAGTGCTAAAGGCCGAATAACAACTTCCTAGTTACTTTTCGGATCTCCTATGTCCCATGCAAGACCCTCTTAGACATCTGCAGTGAGAGTCACAAAACCAAGCGATCAAGAAACGATACGAAACGAAAATGGGCCAGAAGCTTTCAATTTTGGTAGTCCCGCTGATGATACAACTCCCCAAAGCAGCCCAATTCAACTAACTACATGTTATCCATTAAGATTTGCTTCCCATCGTCTCTCATCCCCTTCCGTCTTTTCAACTTCCCCGCCGTCCTCGCTTCACAGGCGGTGGCGACCTAGATACACTATCGCTATATCGTCTCCTCTTTGCGGGCACAGGACTGGCGGGTCGGTTGCCTCCACGGCGTGGTGGGCTGGGCGACCGCAATTGTGAGTCTCGGCCCCCGTTTCGCACCGGTGGCGGCGACCTGTTCTCTTGCTTGGCCCTCCTAGGCGGCGGAGAGCGGGAATCGTACGAGGGCGATCGACTATATTGCCTCGGCTTGTCTCGCGCTCCGTCGCTCACAGAGGAGCTGTTGCGCCGGTAGGAGCCTGGACCGGCGTTTCCGCGCGGCCGTCCTCGACGTGGTGGGCTACCAGAGAGTGACCTCTGCCGCTTTCTAGCAGCAGGGGGAGACTCCCGCTTGTTCACAGGAGAAGGAGGTCGATCTTGCGAATCACGGGATCGACTTCGCCTGTCACGGGGTGGCGGCGAGGGTGACCGACCTTCCGAGGCGTAAGAATCTCTTCGGCCACGAGCTTGGCGTGGAGGAGGAGAGCGTGACCGGCTACGAGACGAGTATGAATCGCTGCGTGCTCGACCACGTCCACCACGGGGCGCCGGAGATCGTGAGCGGCTCTCACTAGTATACCGCCGACCTCGACGAGGGGGGCTCGCAGAGTAAGACTGGCTACGTCCACGTCCTCTTGCAGACACAGACCTTGTGTAGGATCTTGACCGCGACGAGCTGTATGAGCGTCCGCGGGCCCTCCGCTCAGGAGTCCGAGAAGTAGAACGGCCCCGGCCAGCGACCCGACGAGGTGTCCGCGATCGTGATCGAGATCTCGAGTAGGACGAACCAGTATAGGATGAGTAACTTGAAACCGAGTCCGAGTCTGAGTCGGCGGCAGGAGGAGCGGGTAGAGCTGGCTTGGGCATGTTCTGAAGGTGTGTTCGCATCTCTTCGGTGAGAGCACCCATTCCAATACTCGTAAAGTAGTTGATGGAGAATCTGATGTTGCGGGGGTTTTCCTGGGGGAAGAGACCTTCCAAGTTGGGCCTCAAGGTCTCGTCCGTCATACGTGCCTTGAGCTTGGGCATACCCGTCTCCTCTGCGATGAACTGAAACAGAATCTTGATAAAGATACGGCTGCTCGATGTCGTTTCGTCCTCGTTGAGGTGGATGACGGACAGGCAGTGCCAGCCAAGGGCGTCTGACGCAAACATGTGACCGAAAAGCATGGCGATGTTACGGAGCTTGTTGTTCTCGTAACGGTGGATAGTCTCGTAGTACTTGGCAAAAGCCTGCTCAAACAAGTCGCACCAAAGTCGGTTGATCTTGGCGAAGCGCTCGCCAATCATTCCAAAGAACTTGGTGTACGTCTTTTCTTGTGAGCAGCACTCGACGATCATCGAGGGTAGCTCGGGCTCCTGTCCTGCTGGAAGGTTGATCTTCATGAGCTTGTGAACAGCTTCCTCGGGGTCGGCGCTGGACATGATGGTGAGGTAAATTGTCCTGCGCAGGTTGACCAGGTCGGCATTAGACTGGTCCTTGATCTCCATAGCCTTAGTCTTTTCATCCTCCTCTTCCTCAGACGAACTGTCGTACTCGTCATCGTCATCATCCTCGTCGTCGCTTCCTTCGCCCAAGATCTCGGCCTTGAGCTTCTTGTACGCCTCTTCGTGTTCCTCCCATTCTGAGTCAAACTTGAAAATGTTGAGCCCGTCCTGCACGTCAATCTCGCCCTCCAGTTCGACTCGGTGAGTAATCTGATCCTCCTCTTCAACTAAATCCAGCTCCTCCTTGACGGCAGGGTTATCCTTGAACTTGTCCTTGCGCACCTGAAACAGAACCTCGATCATGTACTGCGTTCGCTTGTCGATATCGGCCTCGTGCAAAATGTTCCTGAACTGGTCGAAAACGGCCATGGAAATAGACGGCTGCATATCCTCCAGGTACTGTCCAACTTCACGGCAGAACCCAACCGCAATCTCCACACTGTCGTCGGTAGGTTTGTGAAGAAGCAAAAGCAAGATTTGACCAGCAAGCATCTCGTGTTGAACCTGCTGGTTGATGAGGTGGGCGAGGAAGGTGGTCGAGGAGAGGCAGACGGCCTTGTCGTTGCGCTTGAAGCCCTTGCGGAACTGCATGACCAGTCGGCGGATCAGCAGCTCACCAACCTGGGGCAGCTTCGTGTTGACAATGGCAGCCATGGCGGCATAGATGGGCGTAAACGGCAAACTGGCTGCCTGGGCCTTCATGATGGATCGGCAAAACAGACCTCGGCCGCGGACCAGGTTCTCGCCAAACAGCTCAGGGACGATGTGCTTGATGTTTGCCGTGTTGACCTTGTTGATCAAACCATTGATGCTCTTCTTGAGCGCCTCCCAGGCCATGCGCTGGTACTCCTTGCTCGTCTTGTCCGTGATCTGGGCCTGCAGCGCGCGCAGTCTCGCTGGGGGGATGTAGGTTCCGCCGGATCGCATCGTCAACAGCTTCTCGTACTCGGCCTTTGCAGCAGCCTGCTTCTCCTCCTCCGTGCGCACGGGTACCGGCTCGCGGGCTCGTGAGGGGGATGGCGATCGCGGCGCCCTCGCAGGACGGTACGAGTCGCCATCGCGCCCGTCGCTTCGGTCGCCGCGGTCGCGCTCGCGACGGGGGATATCGACCTCGGCGGACGCCATCATCGATAGAGTCGCAGTCGCGGCGGTTTTGATGTCGTGGGATCGCTGCTCCTAGAGTTGATGACGTTGCGGAGACAGACAAAGCGAAAGTTCCTCAACGAACGAGATGGATGTCGTCGCTGACTTTGAGCCTGAGGCTGGGAGGCTGCAGCGCGACCAGAGACAAACCAAGAAAAAAAGTTGACGCACAGGCCGGCAAGGCTGTCAAGCCACATCCTCTGTGGCTGAGCTGTGGCGCTTGCTCCACTCAATTCGCTGCAAGCACCACCCATCGTCACCTCCTGAATCGCGTCCTGAATTTTGGCCAGGCTGGACTTCTCGACAGGTACATCCCGCCCCGTGCTACTTCCACCTCACATCCCAGCACCGGCTCAGGCTTCAACGACAGACTTTCTTTAAACTTCTTTTCTCCCTTCTTCTTTCCGTACCAACTACGCTCGCTCGCCTTGCGCATCTATTACAATGGTCAGTCACTCCTCTACCTCTTGGTTTACACGCTGTCCCCTTTACGCGCCTCATACCATCGATCTTTGAACACATCTGCAACAACCCCTCGCTTTTTCAAGTTGTCGCTCGACTAACCCGATCTCGAATTTACAGTTGGACAAAATCGTCGGTCTCGCCATGCTCGTGGCCGCTTCTGTCGTCTTCCTTTACTACACCATCTGGACCCTGCTCATGGTGAGTCTTGCCCCTCGCTGCTTCGACTCTCCTGGTCTCGATTTGCGCGCATGCGTGTATACTAACAACCCTTCCAGCCCTTTGTCGACGACGACCATGTGCTTCAGAACTTCTTCCCTCCCCGAGTTTGGGCCATCCGCATCCCCGTCATCATCATTCTTCTCGGCGGCGCCGTCGTGGGCTCTTTCCTCGGCATGGTCATGATCCGGAGCAACAAAAAGAAGGCCGCCAAGGCCAAGGCTGCTGCCAAGAAGACGAACTAGACGATCAAAACGTCGATAGATATACCTTGTAATTATTCATTGTGGCATCTTGGGCGGTGCTCTCTGCCTGAGTAGTCCACCATCTAATCATGCCATGGGACCTTGCGGCTAAAGACAAAAGGTCCCGCGTGTCCTTGTATTGACACAGAAAAAGAGAGCAATGCAGAGAAATGGGTATCTAATGTGTTTCTATTTCTTCAGGCCTTAGGGCCTGCTATACAAATGCTGTGATAACGAGTGTCTTTCGTATTACCAATGTGTCCAACAGACCAGAATCAGACAACTCCAGTAATCCAGACCGTGAGTGAGGTTGAATTCAGACATCCCCTGCCACACCAATGTCGACACCTTTGCTGTTTGTCGACAAAGCTCAAGCAACGGAACACTATCCCATAGCATGCATGAAAAACAGCAAAGCCAAGCCAAGCAGTCCGCACCTCAAGCCTCGAACACACCTCAAATGTTGTCGTGCTACCAACAAGACCTAGACTCTCTGATCAGCAAAATCGAGGACTTCACAATCATCCTCAAAGAAGCCATCCTCCCCTGGGCCTCCGCCCTGAGCTCCACGGCGTCTCCTTGTTGTCACCACAATCTGCTCCTCATCACCATACTGCATCACACGCTCCATGGCCGACTGGGGAAGGCCGAGGTGGTCATCCAGGTCGCCGTACTCCTCTTCGGCAACAGACGGCAAACCCAAGTCCAGTCGCACCACGGGAAGATCCTGCCCAAAGGCCCAAGCAGCGGTGCTCGAAGCACCGCGTGATGAACCTGATTCCACGGGTTGCCCCTTCTTCTTCTTTTTCTTTGATGCATTCTCTTCTAGATTCGTCTCGGCTAGGATGGCAGACACTGCTTCCAGTTGATCTGCTGCACCTCGCCGGTATTCGCACAGGGTTACCCGCCGATCGGTGTGGAAGGGCTGGTAAGGCGCGCTTGATTCTATCTCGGCCTGGGGGATCGAAGATTCCATGTTATGGTCTGTGGAAACCGCACGAGGTCGAGGGTTGAGTGTCAGTGTGTTCCCGGCGTCCATTTCACGATCCGAAAGGTCGAGGATCTCCTCTTGAGCGCCCAGGTCGACCATTTGTCGTACAGCCGGAGCAACGAGATCATTAGGCAAGGCCTGCACATTGTAGTCGTGATATCTGCTGGCGCGTGTCACTCTGCTACCAGCCTGTACGCTAGACCGACGAGTCCGACAGGAGAACGCCCGCATAAAGCCGCCTCCAACCACGTAGAGTCCGTGATGCTTCCGGCTCCTGATCCAGGTCACACAGGATGCCGCTGGATAGGTTGAGCTTGGTGGCAAGGACACACGGTTTTCTCCCGTTTGTCGAAGTTGATTGATCGCAGTTCCCGTCTTCCCAAGGGAAGAGCTAATGCTAGCAGCAATCACCCTTCCTCCCATGGCCGCGGAATCCTTGAGAGTATTGCTAGTAACGCCAGGGACGTTGGCGCTGCTACGACGGGGCCGGCCTACGAAAGGCTTTGCAGCTTGGTAGGCCGCACCAAAGGCGCCTGTAGCCAACGAAACTGCGGTATTAGTCTGGTCTGGTGTAGCAGTACCACTCTCAGGAGCCGCTTTGCGACGGCGCGGAGCGGGCCACATGAATGCGCTCGACGGCATGTCGAGAAGATGAACAGTGCCACGTTCTGTCACCATGGCTAGCCGCTCGCCCTGCGCCTGTGTCCAAGCAACGTCGACGATCCGTGCGACAGTCATGCGAGAGAACTGGGCGATCTGACGGACCTGGGGTCCTGTGCTCGTATTTGGCGCAACAGTTGCCTGGAGGGGGGACGATCTGGTATGTTGGATACGCAAGAGGTCCCAAACCGTCTGAACATCACCCTTGCTGCTGGCCGTAAACAGAGACAAGGAAGATGGTGAGAAGGAAAGATAACTGCATCCCAATGGTGTCGAGAACGTAACAATTGGGTGGATTGAGGAAGATGTAGAGAGCGACCCAGCGTCAATGATAGACACCAGCCCAGGCTCCTTGGCTACGGCCTGGCCAGCGGAACCATGGGTGGGCGGGAACTGGCTGGCGTCTCCATGAGGAGACCGAGTTCCAGCCCAGTGTTGAGGCGGAGAGCGAGCCTGTTGCGGCTGTAGCTGAGGGCTTGACGACTTATTCCAGTACGAGTTCCAAGCCTGCCGCCCTTGCTGGCCAACCCATTTAGCACCCTGGATCAGCTCCTGGGTCGTCTCCCGCATAATCTTGTTGACGACACTGTCTGATATAGGCAGATCGACTGATGCAGATATCGTCGGAAGTTGGGGCGAGGTGACACTGGAGAGTCCAGGTGCCTTGCCAAAAATTGGCAGTGGCACATGAGCTCCGAGTAGGACCTGGGTTGATGGATTCGATGGACAGTAAGCGATCCATCGTCCATTGACGGCCAGGATCGGGGTTTGCGGGTTTGGTCGAGGGTTAGCAGATGAAGCGCGCGACTTATCGGCCTCCTCTGGCACCTCACCACGATGGCTCTGCTGGAGACTGGTCCATATCTTGCCGACGCATGTAAAGATGTGGCCATTCTGTTCCTCCAACAGTTGCCAATACACCCAGCATTCACCGGTGACGCCCGAACAGACTACAAGCGTTCCAGAGTCTGCTCTAATCGTGAAAGAGCCACTGGGCGGGGGAGGTCTAAAGATGGGGTTTGTGACGGAAATCTCGGGGTTGATGTGAATCTTGGGCGCCTGGAGAAGCACATCGACAGGTTGGTTCGTCTTGAGGGAGTAGATTTCGACGGAAGTCTGATAAGCATCGATAGGCTTGCGTCCTTGAAATCCATCCTGATGAGCGAAAACGGACCGCGGGCTCGTCGTTCCGTCGGGTCTAGGGCTCGCGTTCTCATCCTGAGTGGACAATCCAGCCGAGCTTGAGGGCAATACAGGACCATGAAGGACCACCGCGACAAGAGGGAACAGCGACTCCGAAGCGTTGCCCAGAGTCCATGGAAGAATCTTGGCATGGCGGACACCTCCACGCAGTCCCTTTAAACTTGCCACAGGCTCGAGGCCTCTCTTGCTGACGGCGTACACATCGAGACCACCTTCGTAGCCCGCAATAACAACGTTACTAGGGCTAGCAGGGAAACCAGAGCATTCCGGAAGCTTGTCAAAGCCAAAGAAGTAGCCGCGTTCACCTGCTTTCATACCCGAACGGGATTCCATATTGAGATCGATATCCGGGGCTCCATAGAAATGCGGTTGGGGCTGATGAGGGAGTGGAGGTTGACCTCCCATCCTCGAGCCAGCGAAAGGAGAGTTGACAGAACCACGACGATAATGCGCACCTGGTGGGGGAGTCTCGGGTGACTGATACTGAGCATCCATATGAAAACTCAAGGGCCGTCGACCATGACTTGGGGGAGACAGAGATGCAGGAGAAGGGCTCATGTAAGGTCGCTGGGCAGCCCATCCGTGATGCAGTCGATTGGAGTCCTCATAAGAAGATGGTTGAGTAGGAGGTGAATCGCCCATGATACTGATGAGGTTGCCTGGGGAGCCGGCCATGCCGCTCCTCATCCATTCATTATTCATACTCGGTGCTGTACTTGCAGATACTGGAGTGGTGGACAAAGCAGCCAGCATAGGGGAGACAGCGGGGTTGACATTGTCAGGGCCGGAAGAAGGCTGGATTTCGGGAGTATCGGCCGGGGGCGTGGAAGCGACCGAGGTGGAGGAGCTCTTGCTCTTGTTACTGGCAGCGCTATTGGAGTTGTTGGTATTGGTGTTGGTGCTGCCGTTGTCCTTACCGGTGTTGTTGATGTTGCTACATGCAACGGGTCAGCCAGGTACTTATTATGATAAGAGGCAAGTCATGCGGACAAGGGAAGACTCACGCGAACTTTCCAGCTGTTTGCTTCGTCACGGCCGCGGCAATGCCGCCACTTTCTTTGGCATGTTTCCTGTCCTTTTTGGAGGCTGGAGAAAGAGTCATGGTCAGCTCCTCTGGCAAGCAGAAGGCAGCGTGTTGCAGGACGTGAGTCAAGGACCAGGCGCGGTCCAGGGGCGGGATAGGCGATAGTAGAGGGAGGTAGGCGGAATGAGGGGGGACATAGAGGTACAAACATACAAGGCATTCAACTGATTTGGAGAAGCGTCGGAGCAGTTTCCTGCCCCTAAAGGGTTCGCGTTTCCGCAGAACGTGGTTGCCAAAAAGGAGGCGTCAAATCGATTTACTCAGAAAGAGTCGAGGTGACGCCGGCACTTGGCTAGATTCAAAGTCTGTGTCCTGTGTCGCGTCGAGGATCAGAGGCAATGACGCCAGAGAGAGCCAGCAGTGAACAACTGCGACTCGCACAGATCGAGGGGTACTGTAGTAACAGCAGGGGCAAGTACCGCTGCAGTCAGGTTGGGTCAGTGCAGTGAGTGATTGCGAATGAGAGCAAGGGCGGGGTGCGGTGCGGGAGTTTGTTGGGCAGCGGCGTAGGCCAGCTTCGTCGCTTTCAGTCTATAATATTGGATAGAAAAAAGAAGGAAAATAGAGGAACCAAAGATCGTTTCGAGTTGGGAATAAAGAAAATCGTCATGCGCTTGTTTGATGCTTTATCGTAGAGTCATGGAAGAGTATGGAAATGAAAGAAGAGAGAAGGAGTCGGTTGACTTGGACCTGGAACTGAAGACAAGGGAGTCACCCCGAGACGCATGGCATGGCCTGGTCCTTGGATCCATGGTGTAAGGCAGCCCGGAGCTATGGACATTCATTCATTCATTCATCCCACCCTCCCGCGGCCATTGACACCTCATCCAGTGACGCGGGGTCTTGGTCCACTGAGGGGAGAGCGCTACGGGGGGTGTCGGGGAGCCAAGCAGGGGGCCACATGCCCTGGGCTGTAAATAGCGAACCTGAACCCGCCCGAGGTTGTTCTAGCGCCGGGCGGTTTTGGATGGGTGGAGGCTGGCTGAGGTTGTACACGATAAGGGACCTGGCAGGCAGAGAGGTACCTCCCGTCATCACCAGCCCCCGCGGGAAGTGATAAGGCAAGGCCGGGTACATATCAGAGCCAGCCGGATCTGCGTGGCTCATCCTGTCAGGCACGCCGAACCTGTGCATTCTAGCTAGGTCAACTGAAGGTTCCGACTTGCCTCTTTGGCACCGATGGCTAACCACCGGTTATTGACACAGTCAGGTCAGACTGGCTCAGCAGGCGGTAAAGGCGCATGGCTTTGAACTTCTGGTCAGCTCCAGTTCCAACTCCCGCGGTGCGAGTCTCGGGACAGGGCCGGCCGACGCGGGGGGTTCATGCGCTGAAGGATGGGTACGAATCCGGCCCTCCCTGGCGAGCCTGGCCGAGGCGGCGGGCATGATGAACCACGTCGCAGGCTACTGTATCATGCCCAGTTACGCGCCCAGTTCATAACAGGTTTCCGGGTCTGGGCTGTTAAAGGGAGAGCTTAGTTATGACGACGTTCCTTGATCCAACAAGTGAAAGAAGACACCAACTTGACTGGCACTTCGAATCGGGCAAGTACGCAATAGTCACCACAGTCATCAAGTCATAGTCATCAATGATCCGCCATCATTCCCCCCAGACGTCCAGGCTGCACCATCCACCATCTACCATCCATCCGACCCAATCCAAGCCACATGATTCTACGCCGTGACCGCAGGTCAGGTGAGCCCTGCCATCTACGCCATCCACCTTGCTGTGCCTCTCATCTCCAGGGGGCGATATCCCAGATGAGTAGATCGAGGGAGGCCGCGAGTTCGTCTGCGCCGGAGCAGAAGGCCGGCAGCGTGGGAAAGCAAGGGACGGTGAACTCTAGAGCGCCCCAGAAACGTTGCGACGATGCCATGTTGACGACATGACGCCCCCGGGTGTGCTGCTAGCCTTTTTCATCTGACCTTGCTCTTTCTCGGGACTTGTCGATTCCCCTGCCACAGCTTTCCGTTAATCGGCGTGCTGATCCGGGGCTTTGCCATTCGACCACGGGCAATACGCATCCCCAACTCCCATCCCCGCATTTCTCCCACGGGACTGCCATGACGTATCGGGTTGGACAGGTTTCTCAACAGAGGCGCTGAGCTTGGGAGCTTGGAATACCATCAAAGTTGATCAACCCAGACTATGCACAATCTCAACTGCTCCGAGTTCATAAGAGGTGTCCGCCTATTCGTTCTGCACCCAGACTCGATACTGCGCAAACTTCCATTGACCCTGGTCCCTTCTTACCACCGCATGCGCCGACCAACCAGCCTCAATAGTTCTCCCATCTCGTGTCAAGAAGCTCGCTTCTCCGAGCAGCATACACTCACGCTCCGATGCGTCCGATCCAGTGAACTTCCCAGGGAATACTTTGAGCACCGTGTGCTTACGCTCTTGGATATGCGCCCACATCCGAGTGCGGAAGTCTGGGATCTCTGTGTATTTGTCTGTCAGCTCAACATCTCAACAGTTTGTCGGACTGGCTTCACATGATAGTCAACCCGACAGAGACCAGTTGACTAACCTTCAGACCCTTGCGCCTTGTCGGCGCCAATCTGTACGTTCGCATCGTCCGTGAATGAGTCGACCCATCGCTGATTCTCCTCAGGGTTATCAGAGAGGCGATAGAAACTCGTCACAAAGTCTTGGAGCTCTTTATCATCCCAGTCGTCCTCCTTTGCGTATTGGGGTAGGTATCTTTCAGGTATGTTCTTTGCCATTGTGAATATGTTGCGAGGTTGTTTTCTGACAAATAGAGCGAGAAGAGAGAGCAGCTTGGCTACTCCGCCCGCCAGACTCCTCACTTATAAATACGGATATACGGAGTTCAACAACCAGCATGATGCAATTGCTTTCCACAGGTGGGTTGCAGCAGATCGTGATCCAGCTAACGAAAGTTACCGTCAGTGTTTCTTTCTGGAATGAAGCGTGGCGGTCCGCCATGCATTAACTCTATCCCCGCAGGGCTTAGGTTTCATGTGTTCCTGAGCCTCCGAAGCCTCAGATTCTACACAACTTATTCTCAAGTTCTTGATGCTCAGAGCACGACAAAGCAGATAGGACCAGTACGATCACGGCTTTCGTCGAATACTTCTTCGGATCATCTTCTGCTTCTCCCATCAACAGCCAGTTCATCCGGTATGGTGTAGTGGCTAACATTTCGCGCTCTCATAACTTGAGGGAACTGTACCGCGGAGCCCAGGGTTCGATTCCCTGTACCGGAGATGTTTCTTTTTTGACCGTCAAGTAGCGGTTTTCTTTTTGTCAAATGCGTATATAGTATTCTGCGCCTCACTCACTACCAGTAGCAAGTCAAGGGTGATATGCTGGACACGAGACGCCATTGGCCTTATTGTCGACAAATGCCTTTTTGATAATGGAACCAGTTGGTCCTTTGATCGACTATTAACCGAGTTTGGTAGTCACCACATACTATTCAGTCACCCCCACCTATTTCTTCCCTGGCTCCCAGAGAATCGACGGCCGATGTGACCTTCAAACACGCTGCTCAATCGCCATGGGTATAGGAGCAGGTGTTATCGTCGTTGATCAAGTGTGTTCTTGCTCTTCTTCAACTATTCAAGAGACTTCCAGTACTATTTGACCACCCCAACCTTCAGGCACTACCTACCTATTCAACGTCAATTAAATTACCCTATATGAGATTTGACCAAAGGGTTGAATTATTATGAGGCAGTTGCAGTTCAAGTGAGCAAAAAACTGGACTTCCCTCTGAAAGTTATTCGGAACCTAACAGCACCTGCCTTGCGCGAGTCGAGTGTTCAACACCCAAACTCCTTTCATCCCGTCTCAACACCCACTCATCGGAACAGACAACCAAGGGAGGTGGATGATTAGCAAAAAGGATCTCATGCTGCAACACGCAAAAAGAAATGAGCAATGCGTGATCTGGGAATCGAACCCAGGGCTCCCCGACGTTACTCGAATGGCAACGGAGAATTTTACCACTAAACCAATCACGCTTTGGCTTGTTGCACGTGACAAAGGTGATGCAATCGGCCATTACGGGGAACGCATCGGACGAGGCGGCAAAAGAGCTTGGGATTGCAAAAAGACACACAATCCGGTCTTTGGAATCGATGGAAGAAACATGCAAAAATGTCAAAAATCAATGCGTAATCTGGGAATCGAACCCAGGGCTCCCCGACGCTGCTCGAATGGCAACGGAGAATTTTACCACTAAACCAATTACGCCTTGTTAAGAGATGTGGTTGTTATCGACCATTGAGACCTCACTGCGCGTGGTGGGCTTCTCAGGCACTCAGGTCGAGGAAATGGAGACACTGGGATAATCCCCCTGAAGCTAATAGATAGAGTATAGTAAGGATAAATAAAGAAGCTCTGAAGCTTTGCCTTTACTATGATATATCTTTAGCCGATCATTATCTTCAAGAGAGCTGGGTAACTGACCCTCTTGATGTGCTTGTGTCTTCATTTCTCGACCTGCGTGTGAGGTCCCGTCGTGTCTTGGTGAAAGTTGCTGGTAGGCCCTAGACTGCAACCAATAAAGAGCAAATCATTCGGGTATCATTCTCTCATAGGATCCTTGCAGAGGACATCTCCTAAAATATCAAACATCCAGACTTCGCCCCAAATCGTACCGTTCTAAACTCCAAAAATCGACCTGTACGAATCCCCCAAAATTGTTGTCATCACCCTCCTACATCTTCACACCCCTCGCACTGACCTCGCCCTTCTCGCCAATGTTGAGCAGCACCCGGCACTCGGGACAATACCATTTGGTCGTCCGCGCGGGCACTTCGGCGAGACCGACGCACTCGAGATGAAACCACTCTTCCTTGCAATTCTGCTTCTGTGTTAGCTGCTTGTCCGTTCCCTTTCGACGGGATGCTGAGGTGGAGGATGAGTGTGAGGGCGTGGTTGAGGAGCCGCTTACGTCGACATTGTCGCACTGGATCATGAGGCCGAAGCTGACTCGGTTGCAGGAGCAGTATCTCGGCTCGTCGGGGTCGATCGGGTTCCCCTCGTCGTCTACCTCCTCCAGCTCTGGCTCCGCAGGACCCTTATTCTGCCTCGGACGAGCTTTCTTCTTCGGCGCCGCTTTTCGCTTACCGACAGCGCTATTCCCGCCACTGTTTGTGGTACTAACAACGCCGGGGGCAGGACGCTTGGTTCGCTTGGGTGGCCGAGGCTCGGGGGCAGGCGTGTTGCGAGCGGTGCTCGCCCGTCGTGGCCGATCTGCCGCTAGTGAGGACTGTGGTTCTTGGCTTGCGCCTTTACCACGAGAGCTCGGTCGGCGGAGGGCAAGGCCCTCTGGCCCTGGAGTTAATCGGGGCGTTGCAGCCCGTGAAGGTATCTGCTTGCTTGGTACTTCAGGGGCAACTGGAGGGGGTTGTGGAGGAGGGATTATAGTGGGTTGGGGTTGGGATTGGGGTTGAGGTTGAGGGGGGTTAGACGCTTGCCGCTCAGGTTGCTGCTGCTCCTGAGGAGCTTCCTGGGGTTGCTGGGGCGGTGGCGCTTGTGCCTGTTGCTGCAAAAGTAGCTGCTGCTGGGCCTGCTGCGTCCGCTTCGCTGCGTCACCCCGAGTCTCTCGCTTAGTGTTTTCTCTCACTGGAGGCAGCACAGGGGTTGCCGACTTTCGCGGCTCGGGGACTGGGAAGGGCACTGGAGTCTCTGTCGGGTGGGCCTTGCCAGGAGTGACGGCGGGAGCTGCAGTCGAGTTAGACGGGTTGGGAGTTGGAGACTTGGCTCCTCTGGTGATCATTGACGTGCCTTGGGGTGGGATGGGAATGGGAACTGGGGTTTCGGCGTGTGTGGCGACAGCGTGTTCACCAGACGTCGTCAGGGGAGCTGGAGGACCTGTACTCTCAGGGGTTGGTCCCTTGCTATGGCTCATGGAAGGGTGGTGGGGTGGTGGAACAGGAGTCTCAGTCTTGGTGCGCTTCACCTGTGGTCGTGAGGGCTGCTGTTCGTTGTTCTCGTGGGAGTTGGGGCTCTCCTCTGGCTCTGGCTCTCTCTTTCGCTTCGTAGCCCTCGACGTGGCTCTTGTTTTCACGGGCTTGGTGGGTGTTTCTTTGGGGGCCTCAGACGCCGGGGTCGGGGCTTGGCCCTTTTGGTTCCCCTTGTTTCCGTTATTGCCATTGCCGAGGAAGAGCTTAGCTGCCTCTGCCATTTTCCTGGCTGATTCTTCGGCTTCCTCTGCGGCGAGCTTGGCCAGGGCCTCCCTCTTTAGTTTCTTTGCCTCGTTGAGCTTCATGCCGCGATTGCTTGTCGGGACCTCTTCAGCAGCCAACGTGTCAGCACTGATCGCACCAGCAGGGAGTTGCTTCTCGCCCGACTCGTTATCCACGATGGGCTCGGGGACTGGAGGTTCAAAGGATTTCCCTTCTCCCTCGGCCTTTCTCTTGGCCTCGTGATAGGCATCAGGACCACGGCCCAGAGCCTTAAGCTCGCGAGCAATCATGGTCTCGCTCGGGGTCCACGTCGCATTCTTCTTCATCCGCTTCCGTAGCTTGGCCAGCTCATACTGGGTTAGTTGTAGCCATGGAGCATCAGGGCTGCCAATAACTGCGTTTTCGGGTGGCGGATGAAGCAAGGCTGCATTGTTCGCAGCTGCAGCCTGGCTCAGGGCGGCCGTAGGATAGCTCACTGGCCGCGCGAGGCGACTCGGCGTCTTTGGGGTCTTGTTGGTAACAAGCTTGATTCGCGGAGGTGGCGCGGGAGTTCTTCGACTTGGTGCTGGAGTATCCGACTCCTCGTCAGAACTAATGTCGCTGTCGTCGGTAAAGGTATCGTAGTCAACATCATATGGTGCTAAGATCTCTCCCGGCACGATAATTCTCGGAACTTGCGGGCGTCTGGGCTTCTGACCACCTTCGCCTGCAGCCTTGGAGCTTAATTTATTCCTTGCCAACTGTGGCGATTTCGAAACAACTGGGCTTTTGACTTCCTCAGTGGGATAGTTGTCCATCATCTTCTGCAGTTTAGAAAGTAAAACCTTTGCCTTTTTGTAGTGCCTGTTAACATTTTCCGACAACCTCACGGCCTCGGCATGGGCAAAGGCCCTCGAGTCAACTGACTGAGCCAGTTGCTCAGAGATGTCTGCCCTAAGCTGCACGGGTGGTCGGCGCTCCTCCGCAGGTAGACTGGGGAGCCGACCCCATACCGAGGTCAAGTCGTCGACCATGTGGGATGCATTGATGTAGCGCTCGTCGAGCTTCCCGATGAGCGTGAGGGACCGCACAACATCAGAGGAGAGGTATTCTGTAAAATCGAGGAAATCGGTAACGGTGGTCTGCGCATCGGGATCGACGCGCGATTGTAGCGACGCGAGCCCGTTGCCCGTCGGGCCAAGCGACTGGGTGATGGACTCCTCCATCGAGGTCTGGTTCTTGGGCGAAACATCCTCCATCTTGGTGTCGCCCTGGGGGTCTTTGGCGGCGGCCATGGTGTTGCGCTGAGCCTCGTGGCTCGTCTGACGCGAAGCGCGATGAATAGTGTAAATGAGCGGATACCGTTGCCCTATTCCGAGGACGTTGGCGATGCCATCTGATGGCGTGAATGGTGGGCGCGTCGAGAAGTCAAGGGCGCGATGGTCGATAGTACGTCAACGCGGAGGTTGCGATTGCGCATTCGGTTAGGTAGTGCGCAACGCAAGGCAGGAACAGGAGTTGGTCCGTGCACGTGCGGGAAGCAGGCTTCAGGCACCCACATTCAAGATGCCTGAGTCATCAAGACTGGGCTCGCCTTTATCTTGGCGATGAGCAGCGAAAACATCCGTAGGAATTCATGGTCGTCTTTGGCCCCCAATTCCCCAATTATAGGAATGGCCCATGCTTGACGTGAGGCACGGAATCGATCTGACTGGTCGAAGCTGAGATCCATGCTATTGCACTCGCATGGTTGTCGATGGGACTAAGACGACAACCGAACTGCTCTTTGACGTGTTTGGACAGCCTCTTCAACGTCCTGCTAGGCTGCCGAATTCTAGCAATTCTGATTGCGAAGCCTCTGAGCCTCAATTACATACTGCGCATGGCGTGTTGCTGCATTGTGGCTGTAACTGACAATAGTTCCAGGATGCCTGGAGCTGAAGATGCAACTCACATTGCAACACAATTGAGTGGAACATGGCACATGACGGACTAGGGGTTTGAGGAAATATCCTCTGTATTCCCTAGTTACCGGTTCATACTTCATCCATACGTAGGGACGAGTAATGATAGTCTAGATCCATATCTAGAGATTCTGGTAGTCGTCTGAAGCGATCTAAACGCCCAACTCCAACCGCAAGTCCCATCCATGCACCTCCAGTCCCGAATACCCTCATTACCCAACCATTAAGTCCATTACCGCATTCAGCCATTACAAGTCATTATCGTAAGAAAAAGAAAAAAAAGCCAATTTAAACCAAAAACATAGGAAGAAATCGCAAACCCCTAATAGCAACGCCATTACCAGTCCCAGTCAGGCTCCGTCTCCCTCATCATGGTCGCACCCGCGATCGCTGCAGGTTGTTCAACATAGTAACCCGACTCGGGTCCGATGAGGGTCAAGTTTCCGTAGACAACCAGACGACGACATTTGCTAAATGATTTGGTCAGCAAAAAGAACAACTTTAAACAATTGCAGACTTTATTGTACTTACAGACATCCCGTGATGCTCACATTTCCGTAAATCTCCAACTCGGTTCCCTCGAGAGTTCCGACAACCTTAAGCTTTCCATATCCTTTGATCTTGTCTTTGGCAACCAAGCATCCCGACACCACAATATTTCCATAGGCCTTGATTCGGCCGCTGTTTTCCACTGTGTTAGTCTTGAAGGACTCAATGGACAATAATGGTTTACTTACCCGCAACTGATGCTTCCATTCATCTCGATACCTCCGTAGGCGTCCATCTTGTCTCTCACACTGACCTCGCCCTTAAGACTGATACTGCTTCCCGACTTGATCGAACCCTCAATTTCAACTGGCCCTTCGATACTGACTTCATCATCGCTCCTAATGCTTCCAGACCTCCTAATGGCCGTGGAGTTGCAGTAGCTGGCCATGTCGAGATGTATCCAAGTTGCCGTTTGTGTTTAAAAAGTGTTAAAGAGGAGCTTTGAAGAGAATACATGCGCTTGAGGTGGTATTGTGTGATGATGCTAAAGATATTCGATCCCATCAAGAAAAACGGATTCTTCTTATACTTAAAGAACTGTGAACTGCAGTATCAAAACCAAAAAGTTAAAGATATTCTGCTATACTGGAGCCTTGCAGCCAAGCACACAGGTACAACAACAAGGTCACGCACAGCGAGCGTGTAGCGAAGGAGCGAGATAGAGTCACCCACCGCATTGAAAAGAACACACAGAAATGAACCCTTGCAAGGTGGAAAAAAAGAACCAGCCACATCCTATAGGGCTGTTTCTTCCATCATGAGCAGCTTCTCAAGCCAGGCACGAGACCTTGTCAAGCCGCGTGTTGTCGATAGTGGCATTTCATCTTGGCTTTCTCGTCCTGCTTGCCGTATTGGACTTGTGGTGGACAAAAACATCCCTGAAGGGGATCCTCCTCCAGGGGTCCATGGGCTTGGAATAGCACACAACCACATGCCGAACTGTTTCGGAGTGGCACTGCTCCGGCACTCTGGGGTGCTTCTCTGCAGACTTTCATCACCTTGTGGAGCATTCATCCTCTGTTGAACCTGTTACTGAGCCTCTCTAAGCATGTTGTTGGTCCTGCAGCGTGTTGGTTGCGGCAAGAGTTGCAAGGGGTATTATCGAGTGAGGATAGGAAACCCCAAGGTCATAGCATGATACTAGCGAGGCGCATTTAGGTGGAGATGGGCTTGGAGAATTCGGGACCATATACGTAGTACGGGAGGGGCTGCAAGCAGGGGCCCCTCCCAATGTCTTCAACCTGTGCCTTAACGTCGTGCCACAATCACCAGTGACTGCTTGATTTTGGACTCGATTAGGGCCTAGTTCTCCTCCAGAATGAACGTTCAAAGCTCTGAATCGTCGAATACCCTTGTCAGCTGAACTGCAGCAGCCCTATAGCCTCTCGAGCTGCGGAGTCCGCAGCTTGTTGGGATCGTACACTCTGGGGCGCAGCCTTGCATCATATCCGACTAGGGCAACCAGAGCGACGGTGCCCCATCTCAGCTCCTAGGCTTCCTTATTTCTTCATATCCAAGTGCGGAATTACGGAATTAAGGCCGGTCATGAATCCCGTCTTCGATTATCATATGATGTGTACAACAAGGCAGTTGACCAATTGACCTACCGTTGGACCCCTCGAATTCCATCTTCGAATTCTGTTCTCAACTTCAGATCATGTCTGTGGCGGGCCTTGTTAGTGCCTCGCTAGCGCCCGGTGAAGATCAACGACACCAGGTCTTGGCATGGGTGATACATTAACCCAAGTCAACGGATATAAAGCTGCATATACAGATGCTTCCTTGCTGCAATAACCTCTGGAACAGTCTGTCGACCTTCTCAATACAGCAATTACCTATCTCAAAACACCGACATGCATCAGCCCTACTGAATCGATCTGCCTTGCCGGTGGATTCGGCTCCATCAACGACCAACGGCCCGTGGCCCCCCCAGACGTCATCGCCTCTAATCGATCTCACCATCCAGATCTAAAGCAATCCCCGCCATCCATCTTCCGCTCTGGTTACCCAACTTGGCAATCTTCAGAACACAGTGTCATTCACGGAGTGAGTTGAAACAAGTTTGTATCGCTTTATCGGCAGCCATGAGGATCGACCACTGTCGTGTTGTAGATCACGAGTGCCATTCATCCTTCAAAGCTGAATTCGCTTGCCTAGCCTATGACATGATAACATCTGGCGATCTCAACTAGGCAACATCTTTCAAACAAGTTTTGTATTAAGGAAAAGGCCCGTCGTGATGGTATTCATACAAAGACATAGAAAAAAAAGAGGTTGCCAACATAGACGCCTCTACTCTCAGACAACGGCAAAACACTGTGTCAGAGCAATCCTGACATCGACACACAGCCAACCAAACACAAAAGATGTCGGCCGAGTAAGCCCCAATTCCACCCCTCGGCCTCAATTGAACAAGGTATACCAGGAAACCAGAGCATTCCAACTCTATCCATTCATATGGCCCTCTCTGCGGACACGCCCGTCTCTGGCCAACTCAAATGGAGGGCCAGATCAGGGCGCTTTCGGTTGTCCTCCAGTTGTGAGATTCGTCTCTCCTTTAGTCTCCACCTACAAAGCCAAGACCGATGCCTGTGCATAGGGCTGCAAAAGCCCAGACACTCGCATACACGGCGGCACCTGCGGACTCGACACCGTAAAGGGTCTTGGTCGATGCAAGGAACGTGTTGGTAGCGGCAACAAGGGCAGCGATTGCTGTCCGCCTAACCACCACCTTGGTCTTTGCAGTGTATCCCCAGACGTTCCACCAGACAGTCTCCCCAAGGGACGCAGCGACAGGGTCGAACTCGTCGATCTTGTCGTCCTCCTTTGCCCGAGCTGTCGTCGCGAACGGCGCAAATATGAAGGTGCTCGCCGCAACGCCAAAAAGCAGTGTCACGGGGAGGACAGACGGGTACGAAGCCGTATACGCGGGCTCGAGGGTTGGTACACCAGTGTAATAGACGACCAGGATGCGCGGCAGAATGAAGCGCAGCGAGAGAACCAACACAACGGTGTAGATGCCAGTCGACAAGGCAGTCGTATACAACTGCAGAGGCAAGTCGATGAGCTCGCGATTGGGCAGCCCTGCAGCGGCAGCGGCGGAGGGCGTGTGGACGGTAGAAAGCGGCCGAAGCAGGGAAAAGGGAACGGCCACCGAGGCGATATCGATAGCCAATGCCCACAGGGCCGTCGTAGCGCTGAGGTTATAGAACGTCGACAGAAGAAAGTACTTTACCATGGGTTAGCATCCATCATGAATATCCATCCAGCATCGGGAAAGGTGGGGTAGACTGACGTGAGGACCATGCGACAGCAGATCCAACATGGCAACATCCAGGCCATCCAGCTTGCCGTACCATCCCAGCGCCAGCTCGATCCTGGGACACGGAGTTAGCGAACCGTACCCCGAACTCCATCGCAATCAATCTATTACTCACACTCTCCAGCCCGCGAGGAGGGTGACCTCTCCCCAGGTGTCTTGGCTGCGGCTGATAGCTGCGAGTTGACCACCCGTGAGCTCACCCAACAGACTATACCCGAGACTCGCCATCGCGAAGCTCGTCGCCACCGCGAGCGGGAACTGCGCCTGGTCGGGAATAACCTCGCGAAGATTTCGTGGCGCGACCTGCCTCTGCGACGGAGAGGAGGAAGAGGCCGTGGTTGTCGTCAGCGCCGCCTCATCGCCGGCCTCGTCAGCCTTTCCAGCAGCTCTTCGCAAAGTTGCCGGCATCTCGGAAGCTTTTTCGTCTGTTTAATTCGAAAGAAACGAGGCTGATACGTCGCTGGATTAGCAAGACTGGATTCCCGAGGAAGCCACAAGTGTTGCGACAGAGAGACAAGATGGCGCTGGATCCAATCTTTGTGTGTGTGTGTTTGCGCCGAGGGGTGGGCAGGGCGCTTGTAGCTTCTGGTGGGGAAGATGGGACAGTCAGTGACGTCGAGGAGGTCGCTGGGGAAACACTATTTCAGCAGCTCCTCCCACTGACCCCCACTGTATCGCTTCTTGGTGCTTTACTCTAGTGGGCTAGCTGCTTTTTTTACAACCGACCAAACCAATTTTTCCAAATTCCATACACTTTTTTTCCCTCTTTTTTTCTCCCATCTTTTTTTTCTCTAGAACCAGCCGCTGAACTATCAACTATGAATGATAAAGATTAGAGATCGACTTTTGTTCGGCTTCTCTCACTCTATCATTCTTGCTACTCTCGTCCCACGTGGATCGGGTCTAGCTTGGCTGCTGCTTGTTCTATTGCCCAACCCATTGTGACCTCGTTGTTCATGTCTAGCGGTGCTCTATCACCAACATCATTTTTCGTCATGATCTGACCTGATACCTATTCAATCATTCTCCCAGACCCAACTCTCTCCTCCCGTGGCGTATTCATCGTAAACACGACCGGACACACGGTTTCAAGATTTATTCTTCATTTATTCAGTAGGTATTTATTTATTCGGGCGTCCGCTCGACGCCTCTCCGGATCCTCACTTTAACCTCGTGGCGATGCAATCTCGTCCTTGTCAAGCCCCAGTATGGGCGACAATGCAGAAAAGCCCTCCACTCATTGGTGCTGAAGATCGGCGGCGGAGCTGAACCACCTCATACACGCATCGACATATATCGTGATGCGGAAAAATCACAAACAACGCGCCCGCCCTTCAACGTCATGCAATATTCCAACTCCAGAGTCAATATGCCCGACCCAAGAGATTACTCCGTCCCGTCCAATCCCATTCGTTAACCCGTTAATGATGAATCCAAAATCATTCCTCCATGCGACCGAAAACACCGTCGTCGTCATCTTCGCTGCGACCCCGCGAACGCATTTCGAAATCGTCGTCGTCCATGACCGAATCGCCGCTCTCCTCCATCTTGACGTCCTCGCTGGGTCGTCTCATTTCGCCTCGTGTGAAACTTTCAGGTTGTCGGCTGGGATAGCTGTTGATGAAGCCCGCTGCTGATAGAGGGGTTGCTTGGTCGAGGTACTGCGCCGGCAGCGGAGGGACAGGGGGCGCATCTGCGGGAAGTCCAGCGTTGCGAGACCCATTGTTGCTACCAAAGCTGCAGCTGAGGAGCTCCACCGCCGCAGCTAGGTCCCGATCGTCTTCGCCCGTCGCGTTGCGACCGGATGACGTTGGTCGGTGGTCGTTGCTAGGCTGCCGGTAGTGACCGAATCCTGAGCCAAATGGCGCACTCCCAGCGCCAAACGAAGCCGCCGATGTGGACTGGAAGCTCGTTGCATACCCGCCGTTGCTGCTGTGACGCTTGTTTCTATACGAAGTGCCATTGACATTCAGCCCCTCGGCGTATGGTGGCGGGGTTGTGTCGGCAGAGCTTTGTCGCTCTGCGGGGTCAGAGTACCCCGAAGCCGCAGGTGAAGAAGACCCGGCCTCGCTTTGGAAGTCCTTGGCAGAGTCGGGAGGAGTGGCAGCACTGTCCTTGCTGTTACCGTTCATGGCAACAAGGACAGAGGCAGCCTCAAGCAGCTGGACTTGCTGGTGCTTCGAGATGAGCAGCTTCGAGGTGTAGGACCATTCGGGAGTGTGCTCCCACCTAATCCTAGTCAGCGAGACTGATTCACACACACGCAACGTCACACGCCAAAAGCAGATCTTGTCTTTGCAAAAGACTCGCTGGATTGGGAGCAAGGTCAATGGGGAAGAGGGGTACCAACAAGTGCTTCGTCAAGCAACTGCTGTGCTTGTAGCCCTTGCCGCACTTGTCGCAGCGGACCTCGACCCGGTTGCTCTTCTTGCCCTCCTTGAGAGTCTGACCGTCGCTGGCACGCCTCTGACGAGCCTTCTGGAACTTGGTCGATCCCTCGTCGGCCGAGCCGTCATTCGGATCGTCCTCGATGGCGCTACCATTGAGCTCTCGCTTCGGATCGGACATCGACTTGTGGTTCGGAAGGCTGGCTGGCGGGGAGGGAAGGCTGCCAACGAGTGCCGCCCTGGCAGCGGCGCTCTTGGACATTCGGCGGCCACCGTTAGCGATGGGCACAGCGGCGGACCGGTCACCATCCCGGAGGGCAGCGGCCAAGGCGGAAGTGATGTTGGAGCTCGGGTTCGTAACCGACTTTCGTCGAGTGACTCGGTGGTTTGCGTTGAGGGCACCGGTAAGCAGCGAGTGCGAGGTCGCCCGAGCGTGGGTTTGACGACCGGGCAGGCCAGACGCGGTTGTCGACATGGGGGAGCGGTTCTGAGTCAATGGCCGCGAGGACTGCTGCATTTCCTGGACAGGAAGAAGGAGATCAGCAAATCTGGGCCTTGGTAGGTTGGAAACCATCTGGCAGGTCGTGGGAGGTTCATGGCAGGGTAGGGTCGGGGCAGGGCTCGGGTCGGACCCTCCGAGGATGAGGGCAGCGTACTTTGGATGATGCCATTGCCGACTGTGTGAGATACGCTCGGGATTCGACACGACAGGAGTCGGTCGACCGCGAACTAGGCGTGGAGATTGAAGTTGTAGCTTGCTCTTTGGGCCGGAGGATCGTGGACGGATGATGCTGGAAGGAAGAGAAGTGGTGAGAGGCGAGATGCTGCGAGGAAGTGTAGTAAGTAAAGCGGACGAGAAATAATATTTTGGGAAGAACAACCCAGCGAGGGCGTGTGTGTGGCTGCGGGGGCGTATGTAGCCAGTAGAGGGCGCCTGTACAGTTCAGTACAGTACAGTGCAGTATCCAGGCTAGGTGAATCGAAGGTTTTGCGACTACCGGGACTCAATCAGTGAAAGGGATGATGGTCTGGGCTAGTCCTGCCACTTTACCACTCTCATTCAGTGACCTTGTGCCTTGGAAATCGACCCAGAACCAGCGAGGGGTTCTTTGAGGGAGCCAAGGCCCTGGGCCGGTTCCAACGCCTTCCACCAGGCGCTATGGTGCCGTCGACTCTGTGCTTTGGGGGGAGAAGGGGGGGGAGGGGCGTCTCTAGAGCCCTGGGGCAGCCATTCGATGGCGACAGGTGGAGAGGGAAATGGCGGGTTATTGGTCCGCTGACCCCCTTGTCGAGCATCTGAACAACTGAGTTGCAGCAGGGAAGAAGAGAGCGAGAGGGGAGGGGCTCTGGCGTGGGAGCGACCCAAGGGGGGGCGTGTGAGATGGATGTCCAGTGAGTGCAGGCAGTCAAGAAACAGGCCAGATGGAGAGTCGCAATCGGCCGGCGAACGGGGGCTGAGCGACGGGCTCTGTCCCCTTGCTGACCTGAGCTTCCTGCTGGTGCTGAGGTGAATGGAAGAAAGGACGACAGGTGGGAATAGATCTCTGCCTGTATGCAACGGTTAGCATAAAGAGAACAGAGAGTCTGGCCGATTGCCAACGAACAGAGCCTGTTGATATGCCATGCCGCGATGCATCCAGAGATGGACGTTTCCACCCGGTCTCCCCTCAATCCCCTCCCCGTTGTGCATGCGCAGCAGGGCATGATTGGGTCCCCTCACGGGCTGGCACCGTCCATCGCTAGATAAGGTATAAAAAGGCATTGCCTCTTCGGTTGTGCAGCGGCCAGAAAAAAAAAGTGCAGATGTGCCAGGGTCCTGCCCGCTGCACAACCGTCGCCGGCTCGCCAGGGGAGGGAGACATTGTTCCTGGACCATGGATGGTGCAGCAGTGAGTGTGTGCTCGGGAAGTGCAGTCCCGGACGCGTGGACTGGACGTGGACGGAGAGATGGAAGGGCCATAATTAACGAGCCGAATCAGAAAGAAAAGAAAAATGATGCCTGCTCAGACTCGTGTCGTTCGTTTTCCTGTTGACAATCATCGTCAATGCCTTTGCCATGCCTCAATTCTGGCCTGATCCGTCACCCGACTCGGGCATATCCCATCGTATGCCGCCTCCTTTGCTGGTCTGGTTGAGTGCTTCTCCGTCTTCCCCAACTTCCGAGACGGGCAGAGTGGTCCCGTGGCCCCGACAAGGCCGCCGACGCCGCCAGAGCGCCCCATCGAGATAGGATAGACAGAGAGACAGCAGCCGGAATTTCACACTGGGCGGGGGAGGGTGTCGATGCATGGGATGGGCAAGCTTCCCTGCCAGGTGCGTGCTGAGAGAGAGCCGGGGCGGTTGATTTGGGGCACCCAGTGGGGGCGTCGCTGGATGAAACCAAGCAAAGCCGGGGAATCAGTAAAGTGGAAAAGGAGGGGGGCATTCCAGCTTCAGTATCTGCACTGTGTATGGGTATGTACGAGGAGCTCACGGACGTGGGCTTGATGGCGTCTCCTCCAAGAGAATCGATGAGCGAGCCACAAGACCACCGGCAGCAAATAGTTTCTCGCATCCTGCTGCCATGCCACGAGCGCAGAGGAACTGTCTCAGATTTTGAGTGCCGTACTTGGTTGTCGGGTTCGAGCTTGTTGAATGAATGTTCCGGAGCTGGGCTACCTAACAAGGTTGGTTTCCATTGGTACCTACCGTAGGTTTATGTGGTAAGCCGTTTGTTTCTTCTCCTTGCGTCGGCTAGTGAACTTGATGCGAGCCGGGGCGGTGCGTGTTCCAGCGATCCTGTGATCAGGGATCATATCCTTGACCTGAATAACAGGTGCAACAGCGCCGTCGCTCACCTCGGACTGCGCTGGGTTAGTGCTTCTCATGGCCCTGTTGGCAGTAACGGGCTCCCGTGTCACCGTGACTGAGCCCCCCCACGACAGTTCCGCTGGGTGCGCGGCTTGGTCCAAGAGGCATCACTTCCGGTATCCGCGAGAGTTCTTCAGACAGTCTGGAAGTGGATATCATGGGGCATCTTCCAGGAACAGGCAACCAGTGTTGTCCCAGAAAGGAGAGCCTTGCCTGGGTTGGGAAATCGTCCAGGCGTGACGAGGCTCTAGGATGCGTCTCTTTAGCGGAATGATGTTGCGACATGGCCTCTTGTTAGGGGTCAAGATTTCTTTCGAGCCTGGGGCAGAAAATGGAAAACTGGAGTTGAGAACAGGTGTCTACTTTCTCATGGTGGTTTATGCTTGGTGATGGATATGTTGCTGTCAATTCAATGCCAATGTTAATGTAGTGGTTGTAGGGCTAAGCGCGTAGACGCTGGAGCGCGAAGCGCACCTCAGGCACCTGTGGGCACTCTACCAGCGAACGACACGTCTTGCCGTCGCTGGCAGATCAGCTTGGCTCGGCAAGTCTCTGTCATTTGCCAGCAGCTGTAATTACCATGGATGCCAAACAGATGAAACAATTATGCTTGTAAGACCAGCATCCTGTTTTATCTCGTTATTGCATTTCCCAAGCAGCCCGAGAGCTTCTTGTCTCTTACACCTTACACGTGGTATTGCCCGTGGAGGCCATCCAGGTCCCGCATTGGACGCTTTGTTGGCGCTGGAAGCTTCAAACCTAACCCTTGCCCTGAAAGAGGAACCCTGCCCTGAAAAGTGGCCGGCCTACCGAAGCCCCTTGGTTTTGGCCCTTTTTCTGCTGCCCTTGAGAGCCAAGGTGAGCGAACGAACCCTGATCTGATCTGCTGTCGTGATCTGATAACTCGGTCAAGCTGCTCTGCTGGGCTGACTTGGGCCTGATTATTGACTTTGTTGTGTTTCTGTTGGGCTCGGCCCTGGTCTGAATCGGATAGATGGGGAGGGAATTTTTTTATTCGGCAATTACTGGCTGCTGCTGATCATGGCCGACTCAGAAAAAAAAGTTGAGACCCTTCTTTTCCAACTTTTTTTTTGTTCGTCCCGAGGGGAGTCATGATTGCAACCACTTCGGAACTCCAACACCGAAACACAATATTTACTCAATCCATATATGAGGTTGTATTTAATGTCTTTTGATTGTGTTTATATCATTAACAAGAAGGGCATTTCCTTATCTGTCTTCATTCAGCAAATCTATGCGATAGAATCCTCTTGATCCCGAGTCCAGATACCAAAACCCTCTCACTGACCCTCATGGCCCCGTCCCCAAAGAAAATAAATCGAAAAGGGGTGCTCCTAGCATACGTCTCCCCAGAAAGGCCCAAAGGGCTTAGGTGCATAAGGTCCTTTGCGCTCACATCCCAGGCGTGTGCCGCCCAGGATACTCGCCCAGTGTGGAAAGGTCGTCAGCTGGCCGTGCCACTCACTGCCACCACTTTGGTCGCCGCTGGCGCTGGGCTGCCACCCCGTCGCTGGCCTTGTTTGGATAGAGGGCTTCTGGCACGAAATTTAGCTGCCACCGCAATTTTAACCTTGGAGCACGCCTACCTACTGTAGGAGCAAGCTGCTGGGCTGGGTTGACGGGCGCTGAGCGAGACGCCTGGCTGCTCTGCTAACCTCAATGGTTTGCTCCCAGTGCCAGCAGGGGGCCCAGGTTGGGTGAATTATGGCAAAAGAGGAAGCCCGTTGGTTCATAGGTTGGTCCCTTTGGGAATGTAATGCACTGTGCCCCTCTCTGGCTGGCCACCTCTCTTCCGTATAGAAACCAATGTCCAGGTTCTCACGTAAGGCAAAGCCAGGTTGGTGTGTGTGTGCGGTGCGTGAGGCAACAGGATACCTGAGGAAGCAACTTGAGTGATCCATTCAGAGCGAGTGCCACATCTCGTGTGCTGTGTTGTGCTGTCGACGCCTCCAGCTTCCAGCCTGGTACAGTAATGTACATGGCGCACTGATAACATGGACTTTGAGAATGGATGGATTCTTACGCGGCATTTGACTTACAGCTCGCCTGTATCAACCACTGGAGATGGACAATTCGCCTATCCTTCAGGTTAAGCTATCACCTACCCCTCAAAATGCTAGACAATAAAAGACCTAGCGGGCATCCATCCCGTTTCCTTCTTACCATCCTTGGCGATTGACCGGTCACAAGCTCTCTCACCTGACCTGCACTTTCCAGCTCAATCAGTTGTGTGCCCGGACCTCTTGGTCACATGTATCTCGTTAGGGCATCTTTGGTACGGCGATCGCTGTCTCCTTCCTATCGGATTTACAAGTACGGATCGTGGTGGCAGGAAGGACGGAGAGGTAAGCCCCCGGGGTTGACCCATCTATCAGGTAGTAAATAGATGCAACAGGGCAGACGGCATGAACTCGCCTTGTTCAATATCAAACTCCAAGGGCACAACCCTTCACCTTCATATTCAGCTCACACACGACCTGTCACACCTTGCAGACCAGCGAGACAAGAAGGGCGATTCTAGCCCTCGGGATTTCCATCAGCCGTTCCTGACTATCTCACTCGGGGCACTTCCATGTTGAGATAACGACCCGACGATCTTCTTGTTGAACGCAGGTCGCATCGGGATAATTCTGCCAATAGCGCCATGTCCTCCAATGCCAATATTTCGGCTGTTTGATCTCGACACGTGGAACCAATGATGAGAAAGGCCAGTAGAAGCACAGAAAATTCCCTTATTTTCTTTTCCTTTGTTGCCGTTGTTTCAGGACATTGGAAGGGAGGATTCGAGGCTGGGACGAAATCGACGTCATTGACATGCCGGGTGCCTGGCAGAGGCGCCCCTGTTCTCAGTCAGCCTCTGCCTTGTTTTCATCCTTTACTTTTTTTTGTGCTTCAACTTTTTTTTCTTGCAGGCTTCCAATGACGCAACCCTGACATTCAAATCACCCGGGACTAACTAACAAATCGGCCGCCCAGGCTGGGGTGGGAATAAGATGAATTCTCGTGAAAGAAGGACCCCATCAAGAGATGGAATTCCCAGGACAAGCCCACAACGGCCGCATTGGGGTGCTGCGAGCTTACTGCGATGAGACCAATCAGGTCCGCGTCTGCTTCCTCCACACTCTCTCAATCTCGATCCTCTCTTGATTGAACGAGGCTCACTGCCGCGCAAGTCTGCCGATGATGCGCCGGGGCTATTCTTCAGACAGTGAGACATTCCGCCCAGAAAGGCGACAATGGCCGTGCAATGGTCTGAGGCGCTTCTTTTCCCTCACTCTGATTCTGCAACCCTGGATTTCTCGCATCACCGAACGCATGCAGTGGGCTCACGGCCGGCGATCCGGGGTGCGCCGCCTCCGCGCTGGGATCCTGATAACACCGACACCAAAAAAAGCCGCCGCTTCCAAGGCCCGCAGCCCGCTAGGGGCACTCTGCCTCTTCGAGTATGGCTTCGACCCGAGAGACCTAGCCGGGTGAATGACAGTTGGGGCCGGGTGGATGCTCTGCTGGGTGGCTTCTCTGACGAGAGGAGACACGAAGCCCTCTCTGGAGTCCATCACGCACCCCCCAGAGCAGGAGGAGAGGACCAGGACCCAGATATTCTGGCGCCAACAGAAGGCCCAATGCCCCTCTACTGTGCTGGAATTGTCGGTGATGGTCCCGGAGAATGGGGCAATCGCAATCAGGGCAGCATTTTAACAATGAGTTGGCGTGCTGTGCCTGTCGTAAAAGTGGATGAGCCGATGAGTCGGCGCTGGGTGACTCAATCGTCAAGTCATGGTGAGCAAACACCGGCCGACAATGGCCCAGGTCCGCCTGAGCCGGCCGGTGTCTCGCTCGCCCACGGACCTCATCGGATTGCGGCGGTCAAAGAGGAAGGGACAGCTGGCTTTTCTGGTCCGTACATGCGTATCACCGGCAATTGCATTATACCGCGCACAGCTTGACGGCAGGACGGCATTCAGGCCGATGGTTCCGTCTCCGCCAGCCGCCATTTGTGTCTCGTCTCGTTCTCACGAAGGCCCCCGCTTTACAGAATTACCCCTCTATATCACGAAGCTCGCCCGTCTCGCAGGTGCCGATACGCACAGTGGCAGTAACGCTGTTTCACACATCCCGCGAAGAGCATAGGCACAGGGGTGTGATTGACTGTCGCAGCAAGGATCACGGTGGGAGAAGAATGCCTCAACTTGATGACAAGGCCAGACTGCATGTCTCAACGTGTTGAATTCGCTCGAAAGTCGGCTTGTGAAAAAGTTGAAGAGACGAACAGCCCGCTTCAATGGCCAAGTGAGGGGAAATTTCAACAGACGGAAATGAGCATATGATAAGGACATGTTACTGCGCATCTGTTGCCGTACCTGCATGAGAACAAGACTGCCTATTCTTGTTCCACGTGGAGTCATTTCATTGTTCCTCGGAAGAGTTCTCTCATTCGGCCTAGACGGCAAGGGATCCAAGGCTTTGTGGTCTCAATAAACTATCAGAACCGAGAGTCAAAAGGTTGATACTCCCAGTGCTGTGGTCTGGGCTGTAGGCTCCCGAGATCAGCAGCGCTTGTCGGCTCAAACGATTTAGAAGACGGGACGAAGGAATGCTTGCTTGTGTGTTGGAGGGGACCCTGACGCAGCGACGAGCCCGCAGCGGGTACCCGAATGCCATCCATGATCGGAGGCTATCGACGGAACCTGGCAGCTTGTGAGTGGCTTATCTATGAAGAGTGCTGATCACGGGCTAGCGTGCCATTGATATCATGAAGGCAGTTCTGGCGGCAGATCGAATTTTCCCTGGGGCAGCATTCGTAGGGCTTTCAAGTCTTGCCTAGATGTCAACTTAAAGACATTCTGGAATCTGAAAGACCGAGGCCCGACGTCGGTGTAGCAACCAGCCACCAAGTTCCTGCGATCCGGGACAAGCACCCCGAGGTTACTCAACAGCGGGACGGACAGGTTCGAGCCAACTGCTAAAGAAACAGGGTTCAATACAGGAATCGAATCTATGGTGCGATTTGCTCCAGCTCAAGGCCTCGCCCGGTGCCACAGAAGTTGGGGGACAACAAACTCTGTGCTTTCGAGGTCCAAGCCTTCATACCATGGATAATGAATGCCGATCACCTCACCAAGGTTACCGACCCCAGCCTTGATCTCTCGACAGACGGCTCAGTCCAGGCCAATTTCTCACAACCAGGCGTGATCAGTCCAAACTTCTCCACGCCTGAGCTGCTCTGCTGTGACTTGCATGGCAGGAGGCGACATGGAGTCCCAGCGAGATCTACGCGGTTCAGCCTAGTCATGTACCCCGGATTGAGCACCCACTGGCCTGGCCTGTCCTGTGCTGTTCTGGCGGCGCTGTCCTGGTGTGGCTACGGTACGGCCAAGATTGGCGGGCGCTGGCTTTCCCATGTCCAAATCCGTTGACACACGGAAAAGGACTCGAGATAGCATCTGTCACAGCAATCTCGACACGGCTGAGGCAGAGACATTTTACCTTGGTCGGACACAAGGATCCCCCACGCACCCAGTGGCGTCACCAGTGACGACTCCTTAAAAAGTCGCATTGTGTAGAATGTGTCAGAGAAAACGAAGTTTATCTTTTTTCCTTCTCGCATCTAAAATTCATTAAGCCTTGATGCTTGTTACGACGACTCACTTCATCATCCACCTCACCGTATCCACATCTACGTCAGTATCGTAAACACCTCAATTATGGCTCCCGAACACGATGTATATCGCAGAGTTGGCCGAGGAGGTGCAGGAAACTATTATCCTTCGACTGAAGTTGACGAAGCTGCTAGGGTAAGCTGCAGTCTTTGATTTGTGTGACTCTTATAAATATCGCCATCATCGAGATTCTCATTTCACCCAACTTACACGTATTCCTTCAGGACCTTGAGGCTCAGGATCTCGCCACAAACCCTGCGCCTCCTCCGGACCGCAAGACGGCCCACCTCCCCGCGCGAGCCGGCCGCGGCGGTGCCGGAAACTATGTTGACCCGGCGGATCTGCCGGATGCGCGGGAGCAGGAGGAGATGGCGGACAAGACGGCCGCGGCCGTGAGCGCGAGCCTCAAGCGAAATAGCCAGCACATCCGCGGGGGCCTTGCGGGTCGTGGAGGAGCCGGTAACTGGAAGACTGAGGAGGAGCAGGAGCATCATCAGAAGACCAAGGGTGAGGAGCTGGAGAAGAAGGTCAAGGAGGCTGTTGAGAAGGGGCTCAAGATGCCCGACAGGGTCCATCACAGCACTGACAAGTATGATGATGAGGCTTGAAGAGATGTGATGTTGGCTTCGGATCGAGAGATGATACCCGTTGAGGGAGAGAGATGGTTAAATTGAAGATTTCATTGATAGATGTACTCACAATATAAAGACCTCACAATGCCTACAAAGTTCTTGCTCATCCTTAATATCGATGCTATGAGATTCCAACCAGTCCATCTTATAACTCCTGCAGTTTGTTCATACGCATGTATCCCACGGCCCTGTCTTTACCCTACGAAACCTATCATCACATCTACAGTCTACCAGATACCCTTGGGAATATCAACCTCACGCACCAACTCCAGAACTGCCGCCGTGAGCTCATCCAGGCTCGTCGCCTCCTCCCCCTTGGCTGGCATCTCAAACAGGTCATAGTCAGGGTCACACTCGGAACCAGCCGGTGGGAGGGTGCCGTCCTGGAAGTACTTGCGGATGTATTGGACGGTGCAGGTCGACGGTGCGGCGAGTGAGCAGTGCTAAATAAATTGATTTAGTAAGCGGCGAAGGGAAGGAGATGGACCAAGGACTAACCCCGTATGAGTTTTGCCTGAGGACGACTGAGCTGGGGAACCTGGCCGAGTTGTTGAAGGCGCTCTGCAGGGGCGTCACGTTGTCGGCCATGTTTCCAATGAATAGGATAGGATGAGCAGTGTCTTTCTTGATATCCTCTGCTCAAGGTTGTTAATAGGGTTCTTGGTTCGAAAAGAGTTCTACTTACTCTCTGAGAAGCGCCACTTGGGCCTTGTCTTTCTCCCCACGCAGGAGAGATGGAAGTTGATGTTGAAGGCACCCGCCCAACGACTGATGCTCTTGACTCGTTTGAGATAAGCCTCGAATTCTTCTGGTGTCTTTTCGACGGCTGCGGCATCGAGACACATGATGGTTGGGAAGGCATCCAGTTCCATGGCTGTCTCCAGGGGACTTGTAGAAGGAGTGTCACCCAGGGAGCACATCTTGCTAGACTCGAGTGCACCGCCACCACTCGCCATCAACATATCGTAAAAAGGTCCACCGTCACCTCCCTCAAGTGAGGCATAGATCTTGGCCAATTGAGGAAATTTGACGAGCGGCGAGTAGATACATCGCTGCGTAAGTCGCTGAACATCCGAGTAGGTGACCAATCGCGGTAGGTCTGGTCCCGAAGGGTGAGACCACGCGGGGATGAGAACGGGAGAAGCCTTGAGACTTTCAAGGAGGTTGATCCGGCGCTGCTGGACTGCCTTTGGCGTTTCGGCGTAAAAGGCGCATGCTTCGGGGCCGACTTTGTGACAGGCCTTGTCAAAGGCGTCAAAGATTGCGTCGGCATCGGACATGAATTTGCTGTGGTCTAGGTTGAACCAGTCGTGATACTCGACGTTTCCTAGGGAATCGTCAGTGAATGAGACAAACAATGTCAGGTAAAGACTCACCATCGCTGACTAGTCTCTCAACACGCTCAGGAAACAATCCAGCAAAAACACCTCCAAGAATAGTACCATAGCTAAACCCCCAGTATCGCAGCTTCTCATGGCCGGTCTTGTCGAGGATCTCGAGCATATCCCTTGCAATAGATGCGGTTCCGAGGTGGGCATTGATACCCGTCTCCTCCATAGCGATCTCGCAGGCACCAGAGTATGCCGAAGCACGGGCGTAGGCATCGTATATGAGGCCTGGGCGCTCGTCGACGATGGGTGTTTCCTGGAGAGTCCAGAGGTTTCGCCTTTGGGCTGAGCCCCAGCATTCTACGCGAGGTGTAGAGACGCCGACTAAACTCAAGTTAGACAAGTTATACTCTTAAATAAGTTGATAGCTTACCTCCTCGAGGGTCGAAGCTGATAATATCCTAGAATTGTCAGTCTACTGTCTTGACTTCACTACGAAAGAGACTTGCATGGTTATCGCCCACAATCTTTTGCAGGAGAGGACCAGACTTCTTGACGAAGCTCACTCCAGAGCCGCCAGGACCCTTGTTTAAACGTCAACATGGATAACAAATACTGGAGTAAAAAGACCTACACCGGGGTTGACAAAGACTGGAGAAACAGGGTTGTCTTTGGACTTTGCTGGTAACTTGATGACACCAACTACGACACGCTGCTTGTCTGAAGGGTCGAGCCAATCCATAGGGACCTTAGATATCCATTAGTATGTAGTTGAACTGATGTGGGGATGGGTATCCCAACTCACATCGAGTCTGGCACACTCAAATTTGGTATAACATGTCTCCCACTTGAGATCTTGGCTAGGCTCTAGCTATACCCAGTAGTCAGAACATATGGTCAATCCTGAGAAACAAAACTCATACGTCGTTCCAGCTCCATGGCTCCGGCTCAGACTCATGGCCAATCTCATCCAATCTCGACTCAGGACGACGATGAAAAAAGGCGATCAGCGCAGTAGCTGCTAAAAGAGCCAAGACGGTAGCAAAAGTTGACCGCTGTCGTCGTCTAGGACGTTCTCGAAGCAGAGGCCTTGCCTCGGCAGCTACCTTTTCATCCATGGAAAACCCGGGCTGGAGGATTATCTAGGGAGGATTCAAAATTGAGAAGACGAGAAAGGAAAAAGCAATTAGCCGCCGTGAGCTGGTTGCTTTGTATTGTATGTCTAGGCGTTTCAACAAAGTCACCAAACCAACAACACCACGAAAGACCATGAAGTGTAGCAAAGTGATGGAGGATAAAGAAGAAGGAAGAAATGCAGGGCTTCCTATCGTTACAGAGTCATGTCCCAGTGGTTCACCCTGGTAAGACATGCAGCCAAAACGCAGACCGGGAACTGATAAGCCTGCCTGCCAGCTTTTAGCCCGCACACACCCAAGAGAGGCAAGTCAGGGCGCAAATCCGCGGCTTTCGTCCTATCATGATGGAGGGGAATCTAATTGGGAGACGACGGCGTGCGTGCGACTGACACAAAAGGGCCAACAAGTCATGGGGTTCGTGGTGTGTGTCATGGGATCCCGTCAAGCTTCTTGATGAACGCTGGCCATCACGTCCTTTACACACCCTTTCCCCGCATTATCCGACATTCTCGTAGTGCAAAAAACACGAAACATTGGTCTAGGGGTCCATAGATACCGGAGGGAAGTGAAAAACGGCCGCCTTTTGATTCACTGTCCAATCATGATGAATCACACTCCTGAGCTCCGTCTTTGACCGTGCCGCTCACCTAATCGATAGGCACCGGTAGAATATTAATCCGTAACCCTCCGGTCCGCGCCGGCAAGGTTCTGGAAAACTTCAGTTTCCCCGATTTGCCGCCCCAAGTTCGGCATCTCTCCAAACCCACTCATCGTTGTCATTCAAACCTCGAATTTCTTAATACCAAGATGGCTTCTGTTATGGCTATTGGTGCCGGCGCTGCCGTTGCAGCCTTTCTCGTACGCTCAAGCCACCAAAGTCCAAACAATCCCAGTCGCTAACTTGCTCTTTAACAGGGCCGAGCCGGTCTCGTCGCATGGCGACGTTCGCGCGGAGGAGTTGGAGCCATGGGCAAGGCTTTCTACAAGGGTGGTTTCGAGCCCAAGATGAACAAGAAGGAGGCTTCTCTCATCCTCTCCCTCAAGTATGTCCTCCTCCATGGCCAATGACAAAAACCTCTCCCGACTAACACTTCTGAAGCGAGCGCAGCATCACCAAGGACAAGGTCCGCAAGGCTCACCGAAAGCTCATGCTTCTCAACCACCCCGATCGAGGCGGAAGTCCCTATCTCGCTACAAAGGTCAACGAGGCCAAGGAATTTTTGGACAAGAATAGCTGATCCCGCATCATGCTGTCATGACACCGAAAAGAAACCGATTCAAGTCCCCGGCATTCGGACTTTGCACCCTCCTCACTCTCAGCGTGTGAGCCTGACGAAGAAAAAGAACAATCGACGACTGGAGTACCGACGTGGCTGTGTCGCTGCGTGTGTATAATGTACACTACTTGTTTCCATAGCGAAGGCGTTTGTTGGTTTATGGGGAGGCTCCTTAAAGCCAGGGCAGGACAGGGTGATGGGATGAGCACGTCGTTGAGCTATCTAGACTAGACGCTGTACGAATACAGGGCACCAATGGCATATTCTCTTCTCAAAATCTTGGCTATTTCCTCTCCTAGCTTTGGTCTTGCCAAGTTACATCAGACCAATTCCTTCACTCAACCTGGTTCATGTCACTCTTCTCCTCCTCGCTCTTAGTCCCCTCAATAGCGATGCCGATCATGGCGCAGAGTGTGTAGTAGGCATCGTTGCCTGCGTTGTGGAGGTTCTGGCTTGCGATTCCCAGTTCCAAGAGGACGCTGCCGAGACCTCGTCCGTTGTTCGAGTTGGTCCAGGATTGGTGGATATCCTTGGTGTCAACCGGGGGGTAAGCGTTTGTGACAGCCTCAATGTCGATGCCGAGGCTCTTAAGATACTTGATATCTTGATTGATGTCGTGGCCCACGATGGCAATGTTTCGCGAGTCCTTCAAGTACGGGTTCACAATGGCCAAGATGGCATCCTTAGTTCTCGCCTTGGTCGGGAACGTACTTTTGCTAGAAATAGTCAGTCGCAAGTCTTGGGTCATGGGATGAACAACTAACCCAAAGTTAAAGGCATTAGGACAGCCCTTGACGTAGCGATAGTTTCTCAAACCTGCATACTCCTTGATTCGGAGATGGTGGCATTTGATCTTGGGCCACCACCCGCGCCCACATTCGCCAGCGGCGATTCCTTGAATGTCTCGTGTGTCGAGAATCGCAAAGCCGATCTCGGAGACTGGGTTCGGTGGTCGTTCGATCGCCTCAACATCGACACAGATGAAGACGACATCGTGACCCTCAGGGTTCCCCACGAGACCCAGGTACTCTTGCGTGTGCTTCAGCATCAGGTCCCGGTTCCTTTTGTTAAAGAGAGCCTTGAACGAGTTGCGCTGTTTCGGGATGAAGCCAGTCTTGACGAGCTTCAGCTTGTCCCGCCACTCAGCCCGCCGCCCCTTCTCAGCTGTTTCGTAGAGATTAACATCGTCGTCATTGATGGTGGGCCATGGTCGAATGTCGAGCGAGGTTTCGTCCTCGGATCGTCTGAGATATCGTGGGCGCGGTGTGTCTGGGTCGTTGAACCGCATGTAAAACCTTTCCGTGTTCACACCCAGGGGAATCTTGAGCGAAATCCCCAGTTCAAGGTTGATGTCGTCGAGGAAATCTTGGAACTGGGCCGTTGGAACCAAGAGGCATGGATCTCTTGTTGGTTCATCTGGGTCATGGAGGTAGAAGCTGAAATGGTCAGCACAAGGCCCAGTCTCTGGAAGGGCCACTCACAAGTCCCAAACTCGATCCGCCAAAGGTTGGGCAAAGAATGGCTTTGCCTGTATGCAAGTCAGTTGGCGGAGTGAAAATAGGGCCTTGCATACACACCTTAGGTCGGTTCATCTTGCCAATGAAGCGCTCCGGGTACGTGAGAACAATCTTGAACGGACAGAATTCAAAAGCCGGGTCGTCAACGGTCTCTCCGATTTGAAAACCGGAGCAGTCGAATGCCTCGTTCTTCATCTTCTCTCTAGCAAGATCTTCCGCGACAGAGGTGGTGTGGTCTCGATCTTGACCAGTCGATGGGCGATGGTTGGACCAGTCGTCGTCCAAGACGCAGCGATCATTGCCCGATTCTACCTGAGAGACGTCCTCTTCCTTTTCAGCATCCTTCTTTCTTTCGACCATCTTTACCTCTTGACCAAGGACTAGTCGAAGCTTCTGGAGGCGCCCTTCAAGGTCCGCCATGGCGATGCTTGCACCCGTAGAAATATGCTGCTATTCGAGCGCAAGAATGAAAGAGACGAAAAAAGAGAAATAATGACGATGAAGAAAGAAAAATTACTGGGCTTGAATTAGGCCTTTGTGATGAAATATTCACCGGGCCACAAAGATGCCTGAGGCGGGTCGAGAGAGGGAGGGTTCAGGTGAGAAGGTGCAGCACGCGCCGTTTTTGAGGGGAAGGATGAAGGAGGAAAGGTGAGGCTGATTGATGAGTCTGAGAGCGTGACAGGAGAGGGAGGGAGCACAGAGAAAAGGCTTGAATCTGCCTCATTCGTCTAAAACACGCTTCACGGCATGATTCGCTGCCGTAGGGAAGCTGAAAATAGTCTAATCATTCCGTTTGCTGTGTTTGTGCTGCAAGAGCCCGATATCAGCGTGTAAAACAGGCTTGACCAGCATCGTTTGTTTGCATGCGCACCAAGCGCCAAGAGCTTTTATTTACACCTAATATACAAGACCGCCAAAGCCATGGATCCATACCATGACAAAATACGTACAATACATCACGAGTCTACTTTGACTTGTAAAACTGTAACACGGTTAGCATGTATTCAAGAAAACGTAGTGACCAGAAACTCACCTCATCTGCCTCCTCTGGGGACACAGTCGATACTTCTGACTGCTTCTTGTCAATCAGTCCCATCCGTGACCACCGCACCTTGAACCAAAAGTCTCTCCTGTCTCCTCCAAGATCGCCTGATAGCAGCTGCTTTTTCATGTCCCGTACAAAGGTGTTGTACAGCCCAGGCTCTTCCAGGTTGGTCAGCTCTTCCCGCATAACGCCCAAACACTCCATGGCGCGTGCGTATTTGGCATCCCCAAAACTCTCGGTAATAAATGTCGTGATAATTGCCCCCATTTGCTTCGCTGCCTCTTCGATTTGGGCAACCTCCTCGGTAGCAGCCAGCATTTGTTTAAACTCAGGGACTGCGTTGTCTGGGTTAATCTCCTCCTTCCTTTCCTCCTCCCCGAGGAGGGCATCCACGTCGAGACCAGAAATGGGCTTGACCGCCTCTCTGCCTCGCTTGCCCTTGACCTTGGGCGGAACTGTGGCATGGTTAGACACGAGCTATAAGCATTGTCGGCGAGACGAACCTTTCTTGACATCTGCCACCTCCACAAGCGAATCAATCTTGCTCTGGACCTTTTCAATCAAGTCCTCAGGCGGCGAAGCGAATCGCAGCAGGATCGACGGGGTATCGGGAATGGGCTTTTCGGGGTATACTGCCCGGGATTTCACGGCGTGGTTGATCCGATGAATTGTTGGGTTAAACGTGTCGTCGATAGGCGCGAACTCAGCGGGTTCACTACTCGAGTTAGTTGATGCCATAGTTCAGGAGACATTGACCTTACCCCTCATCGTCGATGCCATATGTCGATAAGTCCATTGCATCGACATAGTCGCTCATGGCATCATTGAGCTCGTCCGTCGGAAGGAAGCGGTGCTTTGTGATGGTTTGGCCGCTAACCGTGATGACCCGATCCAAAGGCGGGAACTGGTAACTTCGAATGTCTTCGGCAAACGGCAGTGGGATGTCGTACAAACACTCCATGTCTGGCTCCACGCCAGGCGCCACCAATACCAGCTGCGGGTCTTTGCCATCTTTAGGCACGATTCTGGCGATTCCATACGACTCGAGTTCCGAGAGTGCCCAGACCAGAGAGGAGAAAGCGAGTGCTGACTTTGCATCAAACTTGCTGGCTACTGTCACGCAGACCTCGCCCAGGTTGAGAAAAGGTTCATACTAGAAGAGTCAATAACACGATAACCAAAGGTGTCGTAGAATTTCACCTTTGAGCAAGGGATGAATCCAACAATTGAGAAGCTCTTTTGTGTTTCGATCTTGGTGATGTTGTGCTCCGACTCGCTGATATGCACAGCAGTCCGGCCATACTCGAAACCCTTGGCAAGGTCCTCGAACTCTACGTCTCGCTTGCCACCAGGGGCATCAGGATCGTTGACCTTGTACGATCGAGCTTGCCTGACCGCGGAAAATTCAACGCCCTCCATCTCGTCTCCCTCTACGGCCTGGGTAGACTCGGATCCCGTACCTTCAGACTTGACGACCACAGTGCTTGCTGTCAAGGGTCGCGCGAGATGGGTCTTGAAGTATCTCTCGACATTGATTTTCATCGCAGAAGGGAACCTCTCAGGATCACCGAGAGTAAGAGTGCCATCGTATGTCTTGTATGGCTTCACCGACTTGATTCTAGGGGTATCAAGCTCATCAATGGCCTCTGCGATTGTCGCGAAGACACCGTTCTGGCAATCATCGACGAGTAACTTGAGGGATTTCTCGTTCTCTTCCTACATATCCGTGAGTGATATGCTTGATGAAGTGTGAATAATATCCTGACCTTGGTATTGGGCTTGTCCTCTTCCTTGAAGCCATAGTCAGGATTATCAAAATCCACGCCCCTACCATTCTGTTAGTGGTGACATGGTGAAATGGTAAGTTTACTCACAGAACAGTCAGTTGGATATTTGAGTCGTTCATTTTCTTAGAGATGTCGCTCAAGCCGTCTGCGTCCATTGGGCCCTGACCGTCGGTGATCAAGATAATCTTGCGATTCCACTTGAGTTTCTTGGTGAATGTGTCCATCATGTCAACAGCGACAACGATGGCTGAAATGGCATCTCCCGACCACGTCTCGCTTGGCTTGATGACAGACTGCAAGTTCCTCAGAGATGACATGGACATCGGTCCCAGCTCTTGCAGCACGGCAATGTTCTCATAGCCGTCGTCATCTTGCAGCTTATTGTCGGTCTCGTCAGTCCTGAAGGCGACAACACCAACACACAACGTCTTGCGACTGGCGGCGACGATGTCGGTAATTTTGTCCCACACATATCGCATACTCCAGTCGAGATCTGATTCAGATCGCCCACTGTGAGTCTGGGCCATGGTGGACCCAAGGTCCAGGATGAAGATGGTGGCTTCCTTCTCCGCCATGGTGGATGAGATCAACAAAGACGAGGTATGAAGGTATCAAAAGAGGGGTTGAAGTTGGAGCTTGAGTCTTCACGGGCTGTTTCGCTCTTTTAAACAATTATCAATGGTGAGCGCCTTCTCATGGTGAATCCCGGTCTTGGATTAGGCAGAAGGGGCCATGAGCTGAAGCTGTAAGATGAGACGCTCCCCACAAACGCGTCTAGGTCACGCTATCACGTGATTATGCTCTACCATCTACGTAGGTACTTCTAGCGCAACACCTCAAACTTCAATTGTGTGTCTCGTTCCCCGGTTTCAAGGCACCATGCATGCTGCTGCATTGCGGGACCTCTTTCCGGGCGTTGTCCAATAACACCGACCATACCAAACGTGAATTCTGGCAATAGCCCCAGTCAGCCTACTATGACTTGGCATCCCCCCTTTGCGAGCGCGAATTCTGGCTTGGCCAATCAGCACAACTAGAGAATCCTCTGAAGGCTTGAAGATGTGCATGCGGCCTCATTGCCAGACGAGACCAATCAGGGCAGACAGGCTCAGAGAGAGCAGTCCAGGTCATGCGTGTGCGTCGGGTTGGAACAAGGTTGAAAGTGCATTTGAACCATCTTGGCGTAACGGATTTCATGTATATAAAGGCTCCCCATTGCCTCTTCTTCTAGGTTTATCTCCTCCATTGATTTATCCATCCACCCATTCATTCGTTCATCCGTTCATCCATTCCACTATCAACATCGCCGGCAATCGGCAGTGCCAACTAATGCCTCCCGCAACCAGGATACCTTTACCCCTCTGGGAGAGGGAAAAGGAGCACATACGTGTGCTATACCTCGACCAAGACAAGACACTCGACGAACTTGTCGAGTGCATGGTTGAAGAGTATAGCTTCTATGCTACGTATAACCCCCTCCTCAAGTCTAGCCCCAGACGCTTTCTCAAGTAGCTCGCTAATACTCGAGTAGGAGAGCCCAGTATATTCGCCGGCTGGACAGCTGGAAAATGAGAAAGAACCACACCAAAGAAGAGTGGGAACACGCTGGCTCGTTGGTCAGAAAGCGAAAGAATGAGGGCAAAAATTCGGAGGTCATCATGGGCGGGAAGCCCATTACAGCCAAGAAGCTCAAGAAGGAAATTGGGCGGTACTGTCAATCAAGGTCCTTAGATCAGACTGGTTCGAGTAAGCAACCTCTCAGAAAAGATTTCTGGTCTTACTTAGATTATATGAACTAACATACCCTAGTCCCTCCGCAAGAAGCTCCAGATACCATCATTGCCCGCACGCCACCAACAGAGTCTTGTGATACCAAATTCATTGCGTGCACTACTCTTCCCTGGTTTCTATTTTATGATATCTTCCATCCCATAGGTTGGTGCCAGATCATTCTAAGAGCCATGGAATGAGACTTACTGAGCGTTGTAGTCACGTCTGCCTTTGAGTACTTCAGAGAACGGGATACTCGGCAATTCGCCCTTGCAGTGCAAACCACAACCCTTACTGAAAGCCTACTCGGAACAGATTTTTGCGTGTCTACGGCGGCCAAGACGATCACGGAAAAGTTGCCAAAGAGGCCAGGTGCTGATGCTCTGAAAACCCAGTCCACACTCCCCGACCGCTTCGTCCAGATTTTCTTTTGGGCTGTTTATGAGTGTTCGAACGGTCTCTTCTCTGACGACCAGACCGATAGTTTCCTCGAGTGGATTATCGAATTTAGGAACATTCGATTCCTTCAACATTTCACGTACATGAACGATCCGTCAACCAGGGCCCTGATGGAAAACCTTTTGCTCAGCGCTATCCGTCTCGACAGCCAAGAAACCGTCCAGTTTTTACTGGAGAGTGGAGTCAATCCAAGGATCACCCATCGCATCACTCGAGAGACTGCCCTCCAGCTCTCCGTCAAGGACAAGCTCGGTAATGCCGAAATTGTCCGGCTGCTGCTGAAACATGGAGCTTGCCCAAACACAACCGAACCAGGATCGACCGTGATACATTCTCCTCTTTGTCTCGTCATGATGGATCTTCCTCGAAAAAGTTCCATCGCAGAGATGCTAGTCCGAGCGGGGGCTATTGTGAATATATCATATTCGGATCCCCAGCATCGTCGGATGCGCATACGCATGACCCCCCTCATAGCGGCGGCAGCCCAGGAAGACACCCTTCTAACTAACCTACTCCTCGAAAAGGGCGCCAACCCGAACGTTTTTTATCCGGGCTCGAGGTCGGCATTGCATAATGCAGTTCAAAACAACCGCTCTGAATCTATTAAAGCGTTGCTGGAGGCGGGTGCAGATGCCAACATCCCTTATGGGGGAGGAAACCAGCCCGACTTCGATTATGACTTCGATTTCTTCTCCCGGTACTCACCATATGATGCCTCGGACTCATTGCTCACCCCCATTGATATCGCGTATAAAAATGAAAATGGCCAAGCAATCGACCTTTTACTTCAAGCTAAGGCCCATGTCGATGGTTGCCTCGCCTTTGTGGCGAACTGGGATCAAGGTATCAGCTGCATAGCGTTACAGGATGCCGCAAGAGGAGGAGAACAACATCTGGTCGAAACCTTACTAATGGCAGGCGTCGATGTCAATACACCCCCAGACGACGGCGGTGGGCGAACTGCGCTTCAAGCAGCCGCCGAATCCGGGGACATCGACATGGTCCAACTTCTTCTAGACAGAGGTGCCTTTGTCAATGCGCCTCCTTACGGCGAAGAGGGCCTGACCGCCTTGCAAGCTGCTATTCGTTCCGGTAGTCGGGACCTCATTGATCTATTGATACGACAAGGCGGAAAGATCAATGCTGAACCCTCAATGTTTGGCGGGCAGACATGTTTAGCAGCTGCAGTTTCAATGGGAGACATTGGCCTCGTCGACATGTTATTGAGGAAGGGTGCTGATATCAATCCCACACGCTCCAAACAAGGCAAGTCGTCTCTTTTTACAAACCGCTCTCGTCATTCCAGCAGAGCCCACCACTAACTTCAGCCAAGATTGTCGCGAATCATCAGCCTTGGCTTGGTCCATCGACCAAGACGACACTCAGCTGTTCGACATGTTGATATCAAAGGGGGCCAAGCCAGATCTTCCTCAAGATTGGCCAACGCCTCTGTGTGCTGCCATCAGTTTGGAATCATTCGACATGGCCTCCCGCCTAATAGAAGCTGGAGCTGATGTCAACCGGCCAAGTCGAGGTGGTGATCCCATATGCGGCTTACCTGGTGCTCAAACGCCACTCCAAACGGCCGTTATGACGAAGAATAACAAGTTCGTCAACCTGATTATAGATTCACGTGCAGACATCAATTATTCGCGAGACGGCATGCGGCTTGGTGCAGCTCTCAAAACTGCCATTTCTTACAGAGATCGAGAGACCGTTCAGCTGTTGCTCTCTCATGGAGCTGATCCAGGCAGCGCCATGTCGCTTACCTCGATAATTCCCGACACCGGTTCCCCTGTTGATCTCAAAATATTTCGAATGCTCATCAATCACGATGCTGAAGTCAACCCAAAACCTGAGGAAATGGCAGGATTCAAAGAACCCTTCCCACCCATAGCCGACAACAGGCTCCATCTAACTCCACTTCAAGCAGCCCTTGAAGGGGGCCACGAAGAGCTGGCGACTATGCTTCTGGAGGCTGGCGCCGATTTCAATGCTCCAGCATTTTGGAGGGGGGGCAAAACTGCCTTACAGGCGGCAGCCGAGAGCGGCAGCTTCTCCTTTGTAAAAGATTTTGTTTCTCAAGGCGCAAATGTCAACGCTCCTCCAGCAAGGGAGAACGGGGCGACAGCCTTGCAATTCGCAGCAATCCAAGGACACTACAACATTGCTGTCTTTCTTCTCGAGAATGGGGCCGACATCAACGCTCCAAGGGCGGCTTTGGGTGGACGAACTGCTCTTGAAGGTGCGGCAGAGCACGGCAGACTTGACATTGTTCACCTCTTGCTAGAAAATGACAAAGAGGAGGAGTCTTTGGAGCAGCGTTGCCAAGATGCAGTAGTCTTTGCGGAGGCGAACAGGCATTTCGTCGTTGCCGAGACACTACGTACATGGGTGGAAGGGGCCACGATGAGGAGGTGGTGGCGTTTGGTGACCTGCGGTTTCTTTGTGGACATGTAGATTCAGGCTTTTCTTTCTCATACACATATGAGCATATGAAGAAATTCGAGACAAGAGATCGATGATGAATGTGAGATACTTCTCCACAAACACGTCTAGGTCGCGTAGTCACGTGCGCACACCAAGCAAAGCATGACTTCATCAACTGGGGGGGTTCAGGTTGTCCGAAGTCCGAAGACAGGGTTATGACAACGCGACACCTCGGCTGAATTGGAAAAAACCTGGCTCATTCCTCTAGAAACTGACCTCAATCGTCGGCGTCGACCACATACAGCAGCACAATGGCAAGCACAGTCAGTGCCGTCGTCTTTTCGCCGGCTCCGTATCACATCATTACGTAGGTGGACGACGTTCTTTTGAGTGAGCTGCAGAACAGAACTGACTTGGATTGCAGGTACGGAACCCTCTTGGGCACGTCATTCTTCCACGTACGATATGCCACAGCCTCATCAGGACCATTGGCCATAGCTAACAGAACCAACAGACCTTTATCAATGGCATCGTCATGATTCGGACGGTTGACCGTCCTAGCTTCTCTGCCATTCAGCAGAAGCTCTTCCCCATCTACTTTGGCCTGCAGACCATCCTGCCCGGCATTCTCGCCCTGACATTCCCCGGAAACTCTCTGATTGGCCTCTCCAATGGCCCTCGGGGACTAGTCACCGAGTTTGCGCGATGGCACTCTCTGCTCCCAATTGGGATCATGGCATTGACCGGTGCCGTCAACTTGACCGTCTTCCTGCCTCTCACAACTGAGACTATGAAGCAGCGCCGTGGTCAAGGTATGTCATCAATGTACTTGCGGTGAAATGCGCTAACGGGTTGATAGTCAAGCGAGATGGCAAGGAGTGGTTCGCGGATGGCCCGCACTCTGACGAGATGAAGGCCCTGAACAAGCGATTTGGCATCCTGCACGGCATCTCATCCCTGATCAACTTGACCACCTTCATCGCCGCCGTCGCTTACGGCTTCACTCTGGGTGGTCGTGTCCTGTCCGTCGCGGACCTGGCTTAATTTGTTGACTGATGCAATGTCTATTATCCATGTCTATGCATGCTCTATACTAGTACTCAATGGCAACACTCGACTCGCTCCAATTCTAGACCATGCATCCCTTTCCTCCGCCATGCAATGCAACAGTAACAAGTCCCGTAGGACATCGTTGATCGTAGTATCATGATTCGTTCATAAAAAAATCTTTGGGTATAACCTTTTAAACAATGCGCCGGCTGTTCGCCAAGTCAAAAGCTCTCAGCTCAAGGTCGCCATTGCTCAGAGGAAGTGCGAAGGTGTCCCTGGAACGCACGGAGGTCCTGCTTGGCCTTTTCAAAGTCTTGATGGCGCTGGGCCTTGATCTCCTCCTCGTTGTGTGCAGCAGGCTTGCCGCGTCGCTGATTGGCCTCCATCTGGCCCTGGATGGTCCAACGGCCTGGATGGCGTTCGAGCATGGTCTGGACGTCGACCTCGTCCTGTGGCTTGGGGAAGTCGCGGAGAAGTGCAGGGATAGGCTTGCTTGCGGCGTGGTGCTCAGATTCGTCTGCCTTTAGACCGGGGGTCGACAAGGGGGAGGTCTCGCTGGACGACGTCTTGTCCACAGGAGCGTTGAAGTAGCTGTGAGAGTTGTTGGAAGTGGTCGACGATTCGACTTGGTTGACAGTAGTGCTTCCCATTTTGAGAGGTGGTGTCAAATATGGATAGTTGAAGTGATGGTGTTGCGAAAGTGATGACGAGGGTCGGTCTCAACTCAGGGGCTTTGTTCCCTTTATACGTATGGATGGATGATGAACTTGCAGCAAAGAAAAGAGTTTGCTTGCGGGTGAAAGGACAAAGCTGCTTGCTCTCCAACAACGGCCAGATGTCGCGTGCCTGTGCTTTTTGTATGTTCGGCCTTTCTCGGAGAAGCAGACAACCACGTCAACCTAGTTGTCAAAGGATGAAAGGAGGTAAAGGAGACGAAGCAAGGATGGACCTGGGAAACGGCTTTACAAGAGTATTTATAACACGCGAGCACGATCAAAACTTCTCTCGGGGTCTACCTTAGTCGAGAGAGTGGAAACCCCTTTGGACCCCGTGCGACGTTAGTTCATCTTTCAGGGTCCACGCATCCCATGCGTGGATGTCGAACGCCGCCACGCTAGAGACGGAAGCTGCCCTGTCAAAGCGGTGAAAGATTCCGTCAGTATCTCGGTAACACCTAGCGTAGCGTGTCCAGTTCTCTCTTGTCACTTCTCAGCTTCGGCTGTGGGAAACGGCATCCGCTCATTCGCGGATAAGACGGTTATCTCAGGGGGAGAAAAGTGTGTTTTGGGACGGGACGGGAGGATGGGTTTCTTGAAAAACCCACCGATGACAGCAGCGGCGTTGCCGAATTACTCGCCGGCCCCGTCTCGACCAATGGAGACTCACACATTGGACCCTTATCTCCTTGACCGAGCCTCGTGGAGAAAAGAATTGAACCCTCCATCCGTTGCCACCACGCGGCAGAGCAGGGACGGAAACTTCTTCTGCGGGCCAATTGGTTTGGTTCGGATCGGAGACTGGGAATAGCGGCAGCTTGTCTCGGACTTGCAGAGATTGTCGTCCGGGAGTTAATTCCGTCTGGGGCTCTGTTGATGCAATGATGTCAGCGGGGTCTATGTTGACGAACCAACATGAGCCGGTATCGCTTCATCACAGCTTTACCCTGTAGTCGGCAGGATGATTTGAGGAATATCGAAGACTCTGGAAGATCGGTCATATTTTGATTGTTCATCTGTGTATTGAATGTTTGACGGTTTGTATTGAACCTCTTTGTAAGTCGTATCCATGCTTCCTTTCGTATTTGCCGTAGAAAACTTCGAGAAGGTGTCCATCTGGTTCCCAAGTTTTTACTCATGATGGATGCGACATGACTAAGCTCCACAACTCGCCGAGTCAAGTCCGCCACTCAACCTCTTCTCACTCAAAGACACTCAAACAACAGAGATAGAAGAAATCCCGCGTCGTGGCAGAGTTTTACAGGCCTCTAAAGATGTCGAACCCAAAATATCTCACCGGCGATGCTGCCGCCGTCAACGAGTTCATCGACAAGTTTGATGTGAGTGATTTACACACAGCTCGCATAACCTCGTACTCATCCACGTTTTCTGATAGGTCTTTTTGCTCGACTGTGACGGTAGGATGAACCGATATCCAGTTTCGTGCATGGATTAACACTTACAGGTGTCTTGTGGTCGGGCGATCATGTGTACGAAGGAGTTCCCGAGACCATCGCCCTCTTGAGATCAAAAGGTTGAGTCACAACCACATACAGTCAAGATCAACGACTTACACCTCACAAGGAAAGCGGACCGTCTTCGTCACAAATAACTCTACAAAGTCCCGTGATGAGTACCTCAAGAAACTCACCAACCTGGGAATCCCCAGCGAGAAGGACGATGTCTTTGGTTCCAGCTACTCTGCCGCCATCTACATCTCCCGCATCCTGAAGCTCCCCGAGGGCAAGCACAAGGTCTTCATTATAGGAGAATCTGGTATCGAGAAGGAACTCGAGTCTGAGGGTATTGCTCACGTCGGTGGTACAGACGAGGCCTTTAGACGGGATATCACACCAGAGGACTTTAAGGGCATCGCTGACGGCTCCCTGCTCGACCCCGAGGTTGGCGTTGTGCTGTGTGGCCTCGACTTTCACGTCAACTACCTCAAACTCGCGCACGCCATGCACTATGTCAAGCGAGGTGCCATCTTCCTCGCCACCAACACCGATTCAACGCTGCCCATGCACCAGGACTTCTTCCTCGGAGCTGGTTCATGCCACTACCCCGTTGTTCACGCAACAGGACAGACACCCCTGGCTCTAGGCAAGCCTAGCCAGGCCATGATGGACGCCGTCGAGGGCAAGTTCCAGCTCAACCGTGCCCGGACATGCATGGTTGGCGACAGACTCAACACCGACATCAAGTTTGGCATCGAGGGAAAACTCGGCGGAACGCTTCACGTCTTGACAGGTGTTCACAAGAAGGCAGACTGGGAAAAGGAAGATGCCATTGCTGTTCCTTCATTCTACGCCGACTCGCTGAGCGATCTCCTGCTGACGGCCGAGAAAAACTAGACTATCCTGGACAATAGATGAGCAGACTAGACTTGTGTTTTCTATGTTGATGCCCCCATAGACCAATAAATTTCCCCAACAAAGCGCCCCAAACCTTCGTATCCTCGCCCCTCGTGTATTGATAATTGTGTTTGCTTACCAGGTTGCCTTGATGTATCCCTGGATATGGGACACGGTAAAACAACCGATCCCGTGTAGAAAGACACCACCCTTACTTTTGCTTCTTGTTCTCCATCCGCTTTGCAATCTCGCTGGTTCGGATGACCTTGGGCTGCTGAACAGGGGTCTTGTATGGACGGAATGAGGTGGGCATGAACATGCCGACGTTCTTCTGGTACATGGAATACTCGTAGTACTTGCCGGCGGTGATACGCTCGGTAAGCCACGTCGATCCTTGAAACAGAAGAATCAGAGCACCAGAGCCAGCAAAGGTATAACTGTATAGGTTGTTGGTGGCAAAGCAGCTCCACTGGTACAACACAAACCAGACCAACTGCTCGGCGGCAAAGTTGGGATGTCGGCTGTAAGCCCAGAGTCCCGAGGTGTTGAAGCCCCGATCAAGCTGAGCCTGAGTGTAGTTGTAGTTCCTGGGCACCTTGGCATCCTTTTGATACTGGTGTTTGGCCTGGTGGTAATCTGATAATGTTAGAACAAGCTTCATATACTGTGACTACGGCACTTACCCCATTGTTGGCCGTCGCTCACCCACTCGCTGAAAACGAGAGCAATCTCCGCAACAAAGTAGGCGACATCGGCCGTTGTGATATTGGGCTCAAACTTTGTGGAGAGCAAAATGGCGTATGCAGGAACGCAAGAGAAAGCAAAGAGAAGAACGCTCTGAATGAATGATATGAATGTAACGTTGAAGATGAAGAAGATAAACCTGGGGACGTATTTCTGGAGGATGGCCCTGCAGCGTGTAAGTTGAGTGGATGGCTACCTTGGGACATGTACATACCATCGATAATCCTCAGATCCAACGTTGTAACCGCCTTTACGCCAGTAATTATATGTTAAACGGCACTATATATCCGGCCGTTAGAATGTACCGCTTTGCATGGGATCTTCTCAAACTTACGCTCCAAACAGTTGTAGCAGCCGCCACAAGATCAATTCTCGAAGATGGTACACCAGCAAGACGAGCCCAGACCGCCAGATGAACAACGTAGAGATTAGGAAGCAGACTCCACATGCGATCGATCTGGGAGTAGTTTCGGTTGATCTCAGACACGACGAGGAAGATAAAGCTAGAGGTAACAGAGGCTGCAAAAGCCGAGATGAGAGGGTTTGTGTCGATATACAGTTGCCTCAACCCGGAGGGGTCGGCAATGTTGTCGACGATCTGTCCAGGCAGGGCATAGAGCTGGGGTATGAAGGGCTCGACAGTCTTTGCATAGTCGCCGCAGTCCTCGATGGACTTGAGAAAAGGAAAAGCCATTATGTTATACAAGAAATGAGAGACAAGATCATGTATGCTTGTCCAGGCCTCGTCGTTCTTCCACTGATGTTTTAAAGAAGTCCGGAATTGGCAGCGTCATAGATTGGGGCTAGGGACCCCAAGTGACACACGCCACTTTCGGCTTGGCCCCCGCCTGTGCCTTGTTGCCCCGGCTCCCTAAAGATCGCCTACGCAGCGGATGGAGCCGCTGTGGCTAGTGGCTTGAGGCCAAGGACCCGCCTGTAAAGCCACTGGAGGCGAGCAGGGGAGTCAAAATTCAACTTCAACTCTCGGCACGCACCGCTTTTCCTTTGTCCATCGTGAAAGCGCAAGCTCTGAAACGCGAATTGTTGGACGTCGGCTCATGTTAACAAGACCTTGAAGCCGTACAAGATAGGGCGGATCATCTTATCAGGGCGGCTTTTCTGGAGGAATATGGCAGCGAATCATTATCACTGCGACGCGTCTCGTCGTTGACCGTGCTCCTTCTGCGTGCCGTGCCTTCCCACCGCCGCAGCTTCATGACTGCGCGACGCCTGAGGCAGCCTCTCTTCTCGTGATCAGCGACTAAACCGGCCTCGGTCAAGAATCCCTACTCCTCCAAACACCAAGAAACTGTCGCGATGAGGGTGCTCTGTGTGGCTGAGAAGCCCTCCATCTCCAAGGCCGTTGCTGGGATTCTCTCTGGTGGTTCTCACACCACAGTACGTCCATCTCCTTGTCCCCGAGAAAGCCAATACTGACCGAGAATGCCATAGCACAATACCCGAAACAAATTCATCAAAAACTACTCCTTCGATTTTGACTTTGGCCAGCGATGGGGCAAATGCTCCGTCACCATGACATGTGTCACCGGGCACTTGACCAACGTCGACTTTTCTCCAGAGTACAAGAATTGGAGCCATCCACCGCCAGAGGCACTCTTTAATGCGCCCATCGTTACTAGTGTTTACGATGCAAGTCCTTATATTCTCGCTGATGTGATTTGGCACTGACTGGCTCCAGGACAAGAAATCGATTGCCCAGAACATAGAGTCCCAAGCGAAATTTGCCAGACTGCTTGTCATATGGACCGATTGCGATCGTGAAGGAGAGCATATCGGTCATGAGATTGTCGAAGCTGCTCGAAAGGGCAAGCCGGACATTGAGGTCAAACGTGCGAGATTCAGCAATGTGGAACGAGCGTAGGTGGCTCCCCTAACTTACCTTTGTCTGGACCAGAACTGACATTGATAGCCATGTTCTCTCGGCAGCCAGGAGCCTGGCAGAATTGGATGAGAAGCAAGTCAATGCCGTTGCTACAAGAATCGAGCTCGATCTTCGCATTGGATATGCCTTTACACGATTCATCACAAACAATCTCAGACCCCTAGGCGGACCCATGGAAAAGTTGACACTAAGTTACGGTATGCGACCTATCACCAACAAGTTGAACTCGTTACTAACTGCTCAGGATCGTGCCAGTTCCCAACCCTTGGCTTCGTCGTGGACCGTTACTTTCGAGTCAAGAACTTTGTACCGGAGCCGTTCTGGAGCATCAAAGTCATGCACAACAGGGAGGGGAAGAAGGTCGAGTTCTCCTGGTTGCGCAACCGACTTTTTGATCGAATGTCAACGGTGATTCTTTATGAACGCTGCCTTGCGGCCAAAACGGCGACTGTCACCAAGGTCCAGGAAAAGCCTACGCGCAAGTTCAAGCCTCTGCCTCTCACGACCGTTGAACTACAAAAGGCTGCAACAAGGCTCCTCCGTATGAGTGGACAGCAAGCCATGACTATCGCCGAAGGACTCTACAACAAGGGTTTCATCAGCTACCCTCGAACCGAAACTGACCGTTTTGATAGAGGAATGAATCTTAGAGCTCTTGTTCAAAAGCAGACCCCCGATGAGAGATGGGGTACTTTTGCACAGGGTCTCGCCAATGGTGCATTTCAACAACCGAGAGAAGGACGACACGACGACAAAGCTCATCCTCCTATTCACCCTATCACATACGCGGCGCCGTCCGTCTTGAGTTTCGACGAGGGCCGGTTATACGAGTATGTTGTTCGCCGGTTCCTTGCCTGTTGCTCGGACGATGCCAAAGGTATGGCAACCGATATCGAGCTTGAATACGGAGAGGAGCGTTTCAATGCCCACGGCGTCATCGTTCTAGAGAGGAACTATCTTGAGGTCTTTATTTACGAGAAGTGGAACAACTCAGCAGAGCTCCCCAAGTTCACCGAAGGGGAGCGCTTCCAGCCAACCGAGGCCATGGTCACAGAAGGAAAAACAACGGCGCCCAACTACCTTACCGAAGCCGATTTAATCGCTCTCATGGATGCCAATGGGATCGGCACGGATGCAACCATGGCAGAGCACATTCAGAAGATCCAAGACAGGGAATATGTTGTTACGATTGAGCGAGCAGGCCAGGCACCGGCAGATGACGAGGAGCCGGACGCAGCTCCGGCTGCAAGAGGAGGACGTGGACGTGGCCGAGGTGGCCGAGGACGCGGAGGGCGTGGCGGGGCAGCTTCTTCTGGTGGGCGAAGAGGTATCAAGGTGTTCGTTCCCACCCAACTTGGTGTGGCATTGATTCTGGGGTTTGATCGAATGAACTTCGAGACGAGTCTCGGCAAGCCCTTTCTCCGCAAAGAGATGGAACTCAAGATGAAAGCTATCTGTGAAGGTCGTACGAGCAGGGAAGTTGTGCTGCGGGAGAGCATTGCTCAGTACCGCCATGTGTTTATGCAGTCGCAGGAGAAGCTAGGGGTTCTGCGAACGGTATGTCCCCATCAACGACACACAAATTCGGATGGTATCACTGACATTATCAACTAGGCGTGCCGCGAATTCGTCTTTGCTACATGAAGACTCGGGCCCTCGGCTCTTCAGGGCTCGTGGACCCTTGGTCAAGGCCACAATCACAGCTCGGAACGTCGTGAATACTCGATGATATCGGCGGGGAACAAACTGCCGACTTGGGTAGCTGACGACATTTCGACAGCGTACCTGCACGCCCCATCGTCTCGTCTCATTGTGGACCGAGAGACTTTCTGAGACTCAACCCCGAGATCAAGCCTATCAACCAGTAAGCTAATGCACACGCACGATCCCGATGATGTGATTTGAGCATCGTGACAATGTCGAAATATGGCGGCGGCATATATTCTACACCCCCTCAGTTGGGATGGAACTTGGCAGTGGGGAAAGGTAACCGCAGGCATGTCCGAAAGCGTCGTGTTGGTGTAAGCACGGCAATCGTCAGTTGACTAAACTCGGCAATAGACAGGCGACGATTGTGCGTCTACCACCTGGTTGGGACGAATGGATGAGGTCTCTTGGTGCGGAGGACCCGGAGCGGGATAGACCGGGATCGCTCACGGCACGGCGGAGCCACGGAGTTTCGCAATCCCCCACACAATGATTGTAGCCTCGGGCTTCAAGTGCGCGGGGCAACGGGACTATCGAGCGAACCCGTGGCTCTCGTCTGTCGGATGCGCGTGGCCCCCATGGCACCTCGTGTGGCTGGGGATGACTGGCCATGGGGAAGTCTATCGCCCAAGAGAGGCCCACGGCACAGTGTCGTCCAACGTGGGGTCGTGTCAATGGATGATGGGTCAAGCAGGCGCTCAAGGATGAATTCCTTGATTCGACAGAACGTCAAAGAGGGGAGGTTTCGCAGCCGGAGCAAGGCCGGATGCCTCCACCTCAAGGGAGCAGGAGCTGTTGGGTGACGATGCCGGCATCAGAAAACGGTTACGGTCACTAATAGTTACGGCATCGCGAACCCAATCAAAGGGATGCACACTGGGAACGTGACGGGTCGTACACTTGCGACGACTCTTGCTGAGGTGATCGAGACTGGAATCTGGCACGTCTGGTATGACGGATTCCCCTTCGCGGCTGGGAAGAGTGGCATGCGAACGGTGGAAGTGCGCGATATTTGACCCGTGCGATGTGCCAGCAGGCCATGATGGCATGGCCATTCAGACCTGAGCTCAGCCATCCATCACGATACGAACAAGGCGCCTGGGCACCAGAGGCCAGAGAGGTTAGGGACAAGGCCTGAGCTGACACGTCTGAGCGGTGGGAACACTATTACGGATGGGATTTGTCAGTCATGGCCTGTATCGAGCGCGAAGCCGGAGCGAGATACATCATAATCAAGAGTCAGCTTGCGCGGATACCTAGGTACTTGGGGTCAAGATGTGGTGAGCATGATGAGGGCGTCCTATCTTTGGAAACTGATTAGGGCTACTCGTTGACCAAGCCAACGTTTACACCAACATCGGCTCGTGCACAAAGGGGGGCGAATCTGGACAAGAAACGGGATACACAAATGACCATGTCAGAGAGGAACCGTACGAATTACTATCCATGACACGGTGCCACGGGAACACAGATGGCGCATGATAACAGCACACCCCCATCACGATGGACACGGGATGCGCTGCTGGAACACGGGAGGCTTGGGGTTCGCCGGCATCTTGCCCTCTCTGCAGGCTTCTAGCCCTACACTTGTGTGAAAAAGGTTTCTACCAGTACGCAGGTACGTGTAAAAATGGCACACACAAGAATTTCCAGAATTTCAGACTTTGCGAGCTTATTGCCATGTCTCGCAACTCCTTTTCCAGACCCAAGGGTTGACTAACAACCAGCCGGGCTAGGGCATGGCCTTGGAAATTGGCCCGGCTTTTAGCACGCCAGAGCCGTCAATTCTTTTGATATCCCCAAGGAGAGGACCCCCTGGAACCTTGTCCTTGCGAATAAGTGCTGCTGGGTTACGGGCCCTTGTGGGTATCGAAAATCACAACGCACAGAGGAGAGGTGACAGAAAGGTGCGTGCGTTAGGGGCTTTGGATCTCTAATATTATGCCTCCTTTATTTTCCCCCTTGATCAGTCGAATGCAGTATTTTTGTGACCCGCTTCGCCGCTGCCGCTCTGCATGTCATGACGACGACCACGTTTTGGTGAGCATGATGGGTGTGAGTTTTCTCCATCAAGATCCCATGACGCCCATGACTTTTCGTTAGACTGTCTCTAGCAAGACATCTTGAGAATTGGTGCCACCAGTTGATGAATCAGTCAAATTAATCCTCCCCATCAGAATCCAAGCCCAGGCCCTGGCGGCGATGGAGGGCAGGAATGCTAGCCACCATCATCAGGTGGACGAATGTCGAATCGCTCCCAGCCGCTGCTGAAGCACTAACACCGGCTAGACACCCACAATCTTTCCCCAATCTCCTGGGCCCCGTGGTCTCGGGGGTGAGAGGCGTTGGCCTGAAAAAGAACATTGCCAATGTACCTCTTACACGCTAAGTGTGACACCGGTAGCAGAGTCGCTAGCCCTTTGATCCCCAGACTTTGTTATGGATTGAAGGCTGAAAGACTTGGAACGAGAGAGTGCCCCATCTCACCGAGAGATCAGGGCCAGCCGTCGTCGACACGGGGTCCGCCTCCGGGCCCCTGAAGGAGCTTGAGAAGCACAATGACGATGCCGGTGCCGCATCGCAGAAGCGCCGGACACGGGCACTTGAGGCCCCCGTCTCCAGTCTCGGGCAGTTTGTCCAAGGCAGAGAGCACCTGCGGCCAACGAAGCAGTCGGATGGAGCACCGCTGCCATTGCGCACATCATGGCACATATCACGGTGGTGGAATTCCAGCTCCCCCGCCGAAAACCCCCGATGCCCGATACTAAGCAGGACCAGTAGATCCAGGGCCGGACCCGGGACCCTGCCTGCGTCTGCCTGCTTGCTTTTCCTGGACGACGGTTTACTCTGTCCGGAAGTCGTGCCGATATTTGATGCTCTCGCAGTTAATGAGAGAGAACCGCGGGACTGGAGAAAGGGAGCCGTAGTAAAGAGCGCGAGCCTCGCAGTGGACGCTGCGCTGTGCTAGGTACGCTGGACTACACTGGAGCTCACTGGGGCGTGAAACGGCAGTTTTATTTCGTTTGGCTGGCCCGGCTGGCTTCCCCGTTACGCTTTGGCTCGTCTCCCTGGACTACCGGCTCCTTGGGAATTAGAACCCACGATGCGATGGATCAAAGACAATGAAAACAAATTTTACATGGGCATCACAAAACAAAGGGGAGAACCCCTCCCTCTTCGGAACGGGAAATGCAGGCGAGAGAATCATCTCGAACAAGACCAAGGAAATGCCTGACCTGGCTGATGACTCTTGCTCGGCTTGGTTGGGTTCCAGTCATTCAGTCCAAGGCTTCCTTTGATCCTGGGACCTGATTTCGGATTAGAGCACACCCAAGCAATAGCATCAGGAACCCGGTGCGTGTCGCATTCCCCCCTTCAACCTTATCAGTGAGCAATCCTCTTGCTAGGACAACGCCCCTTTAGCATCTCCAAAACACGGGGGAGGATGAGGCCGCTTGACCACTTTGGGCCGCGGCGCAGCTGTGGCTCGCTGAGAAAACACATTTGATTCGCTGGCGCATGGTGGTGTGCCTATAGTGACCAAGTAGGCACCCCAATTACAAATCCACACCTACCTCCTCCAACAGATTCGCCCCCCCCCGTGCCCCGGGACTGCGCCTATCGCTACCTGCACCCAGCACACGCACCGCCGTGCACACCTGGCAGCGCTCGCTATGAGTCCAGTAAGTGGGAATGAGTGAGAGCAGGTACTTCCAGGGCACTGGCACTTCCATTTCGCGATGCTGCGTTGTGATGCAAGTACGTACCCAACGACTCACACGGGTTCACCTGCCCTTGGCCGGCCATGTACTTGTATCCGACCTTCGCAGCTCCCAGGCACCCTCCCTTTTCCTTCTCTTCAAACAACAACAACACCAACAAAGGAACATCACGATTCGTATTAGAGTCACCTGTCACAGTCCAGATCATCGCGTCAGCTCTGCCACGCCTGCCATACTATCGCCTCGTTCGCAACATCGTCTTGCCAGCGCTCCGTCTATCCGGCTTCTGAACTAGGTACGTACATATCAGTCCGTCCTCGGTGACTCAAACCACCACCGCGTCGCCCATCATGCCCACGACTCTTCCTCGCTCCCGCCGGCTCGTTCGTCGCAAGGATCGCATCGCATTTCTGTCTTGTTGCCCGAGATCTCATGCGCTAACCGTCGACTCCCTCCCTCAGACACTCTCGTTCGGAAGCGCATACATACAAGACCGAAATTCGGTAATCATGGCTACCATGGCAGCGGCTTCTCGCGATATCCCCCAGGCCTCCTCGAGCCGAGACAACTTAACTGCTGTAGCGGCTCGGAGTGTCCCTGCGACTGTGACACGATCTCAACCCCTCCCTACTCCCCCCAACTCCATCTCTCCCTCCCTTCCGCCTCACGGGCTCAAGGCGCAACTCCAGAAGGCCAAGCTTGAGCCTATTGACTCAGACCTGGACCTTCACGAGTCCTCGGACCACGGTCGGTCTGTATCGCCTGCCCTCGAGGCGTCGGGTGCCATCACCAGCTCCCTCCTCGCCCGATATCACCTGCCAGAGATCCTGCTCAACCACGGTCCCTTGGCGATCCGACACATTATGGGATACCTGACCACCTCGGTCCCCGGGTTCTCAGGGATCCCCCCAACAAAGGCGAGGCGACTGGTTGTGGGAGCGTTGGAAGGTCGGGGAGGTGAAGGAGGTGGACTGGCTGGAGAGGTGGAATTTGAAAAGGTGGGATGGGGACGATGGGATGCCCGCCAGCGAGGACAGCCGGCGCGACACCGACAGGGAACGCCCCCTTCGTCCTACGGAGCAGGCATCCCCATCTCTAAGAACGGCGGTAGAGGACAGGATCGGGCCCGACTTATGGCGTCTTCGAGCAACGGAGATTCGGTCAACTTCTCCCACGATGATGACCACGACATCTCCATGATGGAGCATGAGGCGGACAAGATGTCCATGGACGGATACGCGTCAGCTTCGTGCTCTGAGGCTCCGGAGGACGACGTTGTCATGAACGACGACCCTGAGGATGCGACCGACGACGAGGACTGGGCAGCGGTGGGGGCCGCTGCTCTCCGAGCCGAGTCCTACCCCAACCAGGCTGCGGCCCAGACGGACCGCGGCTTCGTTTCTTCTTCTGTATATACACCAGGTGGACTTCGCTCCTTCTCCGCCAGCTCCGGCATGGCGCGCCCACCTCAACCAGCACATATCGACTTTTCGGCGTTGGCGGGTACCTCTGACGCACAGGAGCGGGAGGCCGTCGAGGCCCTTCTGCGACTCGGTTCTGTATAATACCTCTCTGCATGCGTGGCGTTTGGGGGCTTCCGGAATTTGGCTGAGGGCATTCATTCGGTTTGGGTTGGCTGGGCCCAAAAGGGAAGGCCGTGTCGGCCCAACATGATCGAGGCGGCGACCTCTAGATCACAGCTCACTATCACGATGACACGGTCTTCGAACGGATTTCTGGGTTATGGCTTTTTATTTTCTCATCGGTTTCGATTCTCGGCGTCTTGGTACTCGGCGGCATCCTGTCCTATGGGAGGCGGATGATTTTTTGTCGGCTTTGGGGATAAAGTCAGCAAACGGCATGGGTCATTCAAGGTTTCAACGCTTGGGTTAACCCCAGGCACAAACCTTGAACGCGGGTCTTATTATTTTTTATTGAGGGGATACAAGTCCAAGACAGATATGTCTTGGCTCGCTTGTTCTTCCTGTCCCTCCAAGGGAGCAGTTCGATTCTTGGTGGTCCCAAGGGACTACTCATGCTAGGAGTTGGACTCCTGAGCGACACGACAACTCCCTCGATGGGAAGGGCTGGTCTCTGAGGTTGCGTCGTCTCCTTGGGGCATTCTGTTTTACACATACCCGGTTACCCGAGCCTGGCTTTGAGCATCCACAAGCAGATCCTACCACTTCAACATGGCATTGTGGAGGACTATGACGACAGATATTTTCATGCCTTTGTGGGCAGTTGCAGCCAGTTTTTGCAACTTTCTCGACTATTTGTTTAATTACCTTTTGAAGGGGATTTGGGGCGGGCGAGCCAGCATCATTAGATAGAGGAGGATGAGGTGGAAAGGGGAACACATTGGATGAACATGGTACAAGACATGGATATGATATCATGGCTGGAATCAAAAGGAGCTGGACGCCATCACGAGCGTGCCCCTCAAGTCTCGAGTGCCAAGAGCACATGCAGAGACAGACAAAAAGGAGTAAAAGCAGCAAATTGGTGAAGGAGGGATTAGGTAGCTTCCTGGTCGTTAGCATTCGAAGCTCTGCCAGCTTTGCAAATGGAAGTCTTGATCTTTCTTTCCCGCATACCAGAGTCGATGATGAATTGTGATGGTGATTGCGTGATATGATCTTGGCTTGGTGAAACAAGCAAGTCGGAGCTGCCGAAGAAAGTTGCAACGTCGTCTCAGGTTGGGGATGTCATGTTGGGGACCAAGGTTGTTGTGACGACTGCATGACTAGGCCATGGACTAGTGCAGTGGTCTTGAATGGATCACATGTTAGGGCTTTGTTGATTGATTCCGTTGGCACAGAGTAGATGAGAGAGCAAAGTGAAGAATTGAAGATGTTGAGAGATGGAGAACGAGTGGTGATGCGGTGGAAGTAAGTCGATGTGTGGTGCCGATCGGCCATCACGTGATGGATGGAACCATGACTTCAGATCTCGCACCGGCACTTGACGACACTCGTCCAACAAGCATCGGCATCTCGTATCAAGAGAAGATTTTGTTTGCTATTCCTGGTCTCACCAACCCTTCATCATCTCTTCATGATAGTGCTAGATCATCTGAGAAATTGGAACCCGATCCTCGTGCGAGTGCACCCTGCTCGATTGGGCAACGACGCAAGGAGTGAGATGATGCCGATGAGAGTAAAAAGAAGAAGAAAACATGGATCCCCCTTTCTTTGGTTTAACAGGTGAGGTATGGGGATGTCTGTTCATGGATACACGCAACATCACCCGAGAACAGGATGATAAGCAAGTCTCGCTAAACCCCCGCAGATTGCCTGACCTCGCGGGGCGCCATGGCCGTCGGTGATGCTTCGATGGGGAATATCGGTGCTTCTGCCTTGGGAGGGAAATCGTCCAAGAGACTGGGCATGCGAGATGACATGATCTCAGTGCCGGGCAGAGTCTTGTGCTTGGCCCCAAGAGGATGCCCAGACCTGGGCTGAAATCATTACGACTCGGCCGTCTCCCGATGGGACGGCAGATATCGGCCAAGAAGGAGGAAGGTAAGGTCACCGGAGAGGGAAACCAGGGAAGGGCATCCGCCTCCGCCGGATGCCGACAGACATGAACTGACCGATGAGTGCCCAAGGTCTTGGCCACAAAGCTTGAGCAGTCAAGCTTATTGTTTGTACGGTGGATAAAGTGCCCCCCCATGGTCCTCCCTTCTTACCTTGCACTGCCGCGTTGTCGTCATCGCACCCAAGACTCTTGGCGGAGGAAAGGAGAAGGGTGGACTTGCGGAGAGGAGTTCTGGGCGTTTTCTTGGAAGCTTCTTGGCTCTCGACGGGCATTGGACGAGGGGGAGACTTTGGTATCCTGGTTGCGGACCGTGTTGCCTATGGATGGATGGGAGGAGGTCTTGGGTGCTGACAGTGGCCGTGAAGGTCCAGTGACGAGATTACAAGCTCCTTGGCGTTGAGGGTACTGTGGCGGCAGTCTGTTTCTCTGCTGAGCCATGTTCAAGCCTCGTGGCAAAATACCCCCAGACACATCCCAGTCGCTGCGGCCAAGACAAAGGATGAGGCACTAATAGCCTTGGAGAATTCTACGGAGTTATACAGTGTCTCGGAGGAAAGGGGCTGAATGATGGAGGACTTGATGAAAGAATGAGGGCTTGTAAGGCTTCAATATTGTAATGTTTGCTCTAGTTTTAATATACAAAAGTGCCATATATGTTATTGAATACTCAGTATCCATTATTAACCGAAGTTGTCTTTGAGTTTTCTTTCGACCGCATGGCAATCCCCGGCACCCCGGGTCCCCGGTGGTACTCTCGGGCGCCCGACCAAGTCCCTGCTCGGCGCCGGGGGGCAGCGGATGCCGTGTGTAGGGATAAATAACGTGGCATTTCTCCAACGGGCAGGTTCATAACTAAAGCGTGGGATAAAGGTGTCTCGTGTGATAAGTTTAGAGATGATAAAGCAGTATTCCATATCTGCGAGATAGATCACGTTTTGAACCTCGGTGGTCGGGTTACAATCCGGTTTGAAAACGGCATTGCCGCATCACGAGTTTACCGAAACGGTTATCGAAGCATGGCGTTTCCCCCAAGATTGGACTACAACAACAACAAAGTCCGCATATTTATGGGGCATCTCGGATGTTGCAGGGAGAATGCTCCGTAATATCTTGCAAAAAAGCGTGTGGTTTAATATGGAGTAAGATGTAGGAGCAATTTACCTCGTCCGTGAAAAGCGGAGGGAGATGGGGAAGATAATGAGGGGAGGGGGGCCTGCAGGTTAGATGCAGGTCGCGATACGTAACAAGATGACAGGATTTTTCAGGAAAGTTTTCGCGTAGATGTGAGATTGATTGTATTGTTATTTGCGCCTTTTCGTGGTGCCTCTTTGCGGCTTGTAAATAACCAAGCCTACTCACCCTAGAGAAGAAACGAGGAGACAACAGGATCGAGAGGGGGAGAAGAGAAAAAAACGTGGGCTTGGGGTCGCTTGGCTGAACCCCGACGATCGGCTACGTTCCTGGGAACGTCGGTCCCCCCTCGTGAGCTTGGCGACAAGGAAGAACGAGGTCTTGGCCTAGGCGCCGCCAAGCATCTTGGCACTCTCTTGGCAGGATGGGGCCAAGAGCTGGCATGAGAAGAGAGGAGGCCTCGGCGTCTGGCGGAAAGCTTGACTGCAGATAGGAAAAGGCATGCCTTGGCCTGCTTGGCTTGGGCTTGGCTTTTCTTGTCGCGAGTCGTGTGGCGGCCCCCCCGGGCTTGGCCCCAGAGTCAAGTCATCTGTGTGTCAGATATTGTGATTGCTTTGGGTGAGTGAGCTCATTGTTCGTGTCCCCGTGCGAGTTTGATGGCTGGGGGTGGGAAGGGGGGCTTCTGTTTTCCTCTTTGAGAATGCCGTCTTTCTTCGTTTGCAAAAGCTTGATTAATCACATTTTTTTGTTAACCTGATGCTTTCCATCATCTGCCACTGCTTTAAAGAAAGGGAGCGGGGGATTGGAGGGGAGAGGCATTAGCCGTTGCAGACGGGGTGTGGAAGGTTTTGGTTTTTGGCCTGGGCTGGGCGTGCTGGGCACCAAGAACCAACAAGCTGCAAATTCCGCCCAAGGGGACACATTTTTCGCATCAGAGTTGACAAGGCTCTGGCCGCCGCCGCGTTCCCCCTCCCTGAGATGAAAAGGCGGTTGGATGCGGCGACGTACCGCCCAGGAGCAGCACGCTACCGGCGACGATCTCTCCTATTCGCTTTGAGTTGAGCACTGGGCTGCTGCCACCGGACTTGTCAGTTCCCCGGTAGATCCGGACGCATGCACTAGCTGGGCGATTCATAATAACCCTCTATTCATTGCCAATATTGCACAAGACAAGCCTCGTTGTGCTACTCCTAACACACTGCTATCTCAGTCTCTGTCGCTGGACTTTATCGGGTATATCCCCCGAACGCCCTTCCATGCTGCCACACACACACAAAAACACACACCCCTCGGAAATCCCAATCGCTCAGGTGACGTTGGCGACCGAATAAAACGCTTGACGCAGTGGTGGCCAGCCTGTGTGAGGCCCCGAGGTGAGCGAGACCAATAGCATCGTCGCGATGAGGGGCAGTGCCCAGACTGCCAAGCCTTGGCGGTCTTGGCATCGTTCCCTCCACCTGCGCACTCGGCGTAGCGCACAATTCCAGTACTTGTCACTACACCAATTCTCTTCACAGAGATAAGTACCTCCCGCCTTCGGATACCTGACAATTCTCGCCAAGACCGCCAAGACTTTCCGCTCGCTCTTACCCTCATGCCCAGACTTTTGCGTAAATGTAAAGGGAGCACATCCCCCCCCCCCGGAACTCGATATGAAGGCAACTTCTCTTCTGATCATTTATCAATCTCTCCTCGATCCTCCGCAAAGACATTATTTGATCGCGTTTGAAAAGGCGATCCTTTTGAGCGTATACTCGTTCATATCTTGATGCACATTGGGAACCTTGAGTCTCCCCTCAGCCCCAAAACAACCTTAGCCTCACTCGCTTTTCGCCGTTTGGGCTTGAGCGGTGCGTCATCGGCTTAACAAATACTCCGTGCACAGCACCACACACACACACACACAGACAGAATGTCTCCTCCGGTGCCTGAGCAGCAGCCACAGCAGCCTGGCCAGCAGCAGCAGTCTTCGGCTGTGTCGTCTTCTGGTAGCGCCAGCAACGACTCCAAGTCTGCCACTCCTGCGCCCAGTGCCGCCTCAAACACTTCTCAGAGCAGCGCTGCTCCCTCGACAAGTTCTGATGATAACCTCATCTGCCGATGGAATGCCTGCAGCCAAAAGTTTACCACTCCAGAGTCGCTCTATGTAAGTCTTTGAAACTCAAATGACCCTGCACAGATTGCTGACTTGGTGTAGGAGCACATCTGTGAGCGTCACGTTGGTCGCAAGAGCACCAACAACCTCAACCTGACTTGTCAGTGGAACTCTTGCAGGACCACCACCGTCAAGAGAGACCACATCACTTCGCACATCCGGGTCCATGTGCCCCTGAAGCCTCACAAGTGTGACATGTGCGGCAAGTCTTTCAAGCGACCCCAGGATCTCAAGAAGCATGTCAAGGTAAGCATCATCCCCTGTTCAGTGACGACATCTCACTTACACGACCTAGACTCATGCCGATGACTCTGTCCTTGTCCGGCCATCTCAGGATCCTCAAGGTGGACTCAACTACAGGCCACAGCCTCCCAAGGGTATGTCTCAGCTCGATTCTCCCCCACGGCAGTGGCCATCCCGTTTTCCTTACCTCGAGGCTAATTCGCCTCCAGGCCCCTCTAGCTATTATGACCACAATGGCCAGATGCGAACTAACGCCGCTGCCTTCACCCATCAGGCTGGGCATCCTAGCGGTTACTATGCTCCCCAACCCTCTACCAACTATGGCCTCTATTTCAACCAGCCGCCCATGAACAACGCCCGCACCGAGCACCTTGGCTACAGCGCCGCCCCCGGCGGTTATGATCGAAAGCGCGCTTATGACATGGTCGACGACTTCTTTGGCAGCGCCAAGCGTCGCCAGATTGACCCCTCCTCGTATGCCCAGATTGGCCGCTCCTTGATGCCTCTTCACGGAAACCTGTCCATCCCCAACGGCCCCATGGCCGCCACAGAACAGTACATGCCTCAACCAGCTCCCCCGTCCGCCGTGCACGCTGGCCCTGCTCCCAGCAACCCCCTGGCTCAGCAGTATTATCTCCCCATGCCCAACGCGCGCACGCAGAAGGATCTCATCCACATCGACAACATCCTTGGTCAGATGCAAGACACCATCTACGAGAATGCCAGCCATGCTACTGCTGGCGTTCACGTCCACGGCGAGGGCTTCAACGGCTACCGCAACACTCCTTCGCCTCCTACTTCTCACCGATCACCAGGAGGCATTCCCGTGACAGCCGACGGCTACCAGTCAGTGTCTGCAGCTACCATGGCCTCGCCCCTGACAGCCATCTCCTCCACCGGCACTCCCGCCGTCACTCCTCCCTCTAGCTCCATGTCGTACACTTCCGGCCACTCTCCTAGCCCATCCTCCTCGGGCATGTCTCCTCAGTCTCGCCACGGCTCAACAGCCTCGGTCATGTATCCCACTCTGCCCACAAGCCTCCCTGCAGTTAGCCAGGGCTTCGGTCACTCCGCTACCACCACTCTGGGACCCAGCTTTGAGAGCAACGAGCGCCGTCGCTACTCTGGTGGTATGCTTCAGCGGGCACGAGGACCTCTGCCTCTGCCTCATGAGGATACCAGCGGTGCCTCGACTCCTAAGGCGAGCGAGTCTGCCCTGTCGGTTGGCTCACCATCCTCTGAGTCTGATGTTAGCGACGCGACCCGCGAGCGCGAGGAGCAGTATGACCGATGGCTCGAGAACATGCGAGTCATTGAGACTCTGCGTGAGTATGTCCGAGGACGTCTTGAACGCAAGGAGTATGTTGAGGAGGAGAACCGGCGACCAAGCATTGCGGATGTCATGGATGTTGATCCCAAGAGCCCCAGGGGCCCCATCCGAGAACTGGGTACTCCTCGTGAGGGATCCTCACTGTACCCCATCCTCCGCATGCCTGGTGCCTAGGCTGCTCTCTGATGCGGCTGCTGGTCTTGCTGTATTTGTACTATTTTCCTTGACATTCGGGGACTGCTTGATACGGGTCTTTTTCAATGCAACGTGTCATGACTACATGGTTGGTCTTGATATTGTTGTTAGGTTATGTAGCATTTGTTGCGGTGTGCTGGAACACTCTTGGTTGAAAACCTGGCCTAGCCAGGAGGCTTTACTTGACTTTACGGGTTGGTTATGAGTTCGGTATATTACGCTATGGATGATGATTCCAAGATGCAAAAACACAGTCAGATTCTCGATTTGGTTATATTCTTTCTCTTCTCGGCGGCCACCGTGCCGCTTCTGGACGGCAATGTATCTATGTATTGGATGTCTTGTTTTGGTCGGTGGAGGCTATGACGGTTATGAACATTGGTTGGAAAAGACGGTTCGGATATGGACGTGTAGGAAAACTATCGACATGAATTTCAATCTCGTTGCCGCTGAGGCAGAATACCAAGAAGTGTGTCCAACATGCATGGCTGAGGCTGAAGGTGATGATTGATGGTTGAGCGTAATACGAGATGCCCGATACGAAGTGATTTGTAGATCAGTTGAAAGGATGACCCGAGTTGGATGAAGCAAGACATGGGACAAAAGTGCCTGCAGAGGTAGATTCAGACATGGTTGATGCAGGCTTACTCTGACCAAGCTGCCAAGGGAGCTGAGAGATCTTGTCAGCTCCGCGTCTATCAGGTGGCAGATCCAATGAACAAGAAAATCAACATTCCAACGGGAAAGTCATGCATGAAAGAGGACAAGATGACAGGTTGATTCATCTGAACTGCCACAATGCCGAGAGTTGGGAAGTGGATGCAATGTCGATCATGGATTGCTCGATCTGGAGATTTTGACAGCTGCTAGAAAACGTCACTTTTAGGGAGTACGTGTACTTCTATGGGGCAAATGTTTCCAAGAATAGGAGACTTGCTTGTCGGTGTGTGTATCACTGAGGTCATGTTTGTTTCGTTTGTGATGCTTTGATGGACAAGTTGTTTCTATGGAGTGTTGCATCGCAGACTGACCCACGTGGTGGATGGATATGTACCTTTTTAGCCTACACGGGCCGTCGGCAAGTCAACCTCATAAGAAGAGAGTGGCTATTTCGATTGTATTTCGGCAGTTACTCGAAATGAATGTTACGGACAATAGCAAAGAAGCGAACAAAAAAGACGGTAAATCGTATCAAGAACCAATCGGGCACAAAGTCTGAAACAAAAAGAGGGAAATGAAGCGATCCTCCCCCTAGTGATCGACAAAACGACCGGTGCGGAGGATAACCACGACCCACGGGTTTTTGCATGAAGCGGACCACGCGGGAAGAACAGTGTTTACGTCGATCAGAAAAGAGGCTTGCTTCAAGTAAGATTACGCAGGTGTATGTGTACACTTTATTGAGGACGAGGGTTCGCGTTTGGTGGAGTTGCAACCGTCGGACCTAAATTGATGGAAAAACCCAAAACACAGTCTGGTTCGTGTTTCCCTTGTCAGTGACGTGACCTTGCCAATGCGAGGTCCTTGTCAAATATATAAATGTCTTGTGTTCTCTCCCCTGTTGTTCGAGGTTTGGTCACAGACTCAGGTTTGTCAAGTGATTCATGAAAGAGAATTAGGTCTTGTTCACTGTTTGTTCGACGACACATATACTCAGCTACACACCCCTCAGCCTCTCTTCTCCCATACTTGCATCCTCACCTTTTCCTCTTTCTTCTTATTCTTTCCCAAGAAAAAAACAAGAAAGAAACACAGCAGTAACAGCCTTCATCATGCACTTCTACTCCATCACCGCCCTCTTCATGGCCGTCGTCGCCATCGCAGCACCCGCCAACGAAGTCCAAGAATGCTGCTGCTGCAACATCAACGAACCAGCGATAGTCTGCACCCAACGCGCCCTAAAAGACTGCATCTGTCCTGCCGTCATGTGTCCCGAAGACGCCCCGACTCTCCGGCCCAACTCTCCGACTCCCACCGCTATTGAAAAGCGTCAAGCAGAAGAAGAGACACCAAAGTCGGAACCTTGCTGCTGCTGCAACGCAGGCAGGGGAGCAATCGTATGCACCATCCGAAAGCCGGAAGAGGACCAGACGTGCATGTGTCCCATGGTTCTCTGTCCTTCCGACGCTCCGACCGTGACCGAGGGTCCAGGCGTCGCCAAAGAGACGGGGAACTAGATCCTTTTAATGACCAGGGGGGAAAAGGATGCAACATGAACGCGCTTTTTGGGGATAAATTTCACGCCTTGTATATACTTGAAGGATCCCTTTTTTTCACGTATCGAATAAGGAACATCTTACGTGTTATTCAAATGCAGTCGTCGTGTAACCAAAAGTGAAAAAGCTTGACTATATAAGCTCTTGTTCCCCGCGAGATAAGCTTTGCTCACCTCACTTCACCTCTCTGCACCAACTCAACAACTACAATCACCAAACATGCACTTCTCGTACCTCCTCTTCGCCCTCGTCGGCACAGCCATGGCGGCTCCCCAGCTTGTCGCTCCTCAGTGCTGCTGCTGTAACCTCGCCACCAACAAGTACGAGTGCTTCAACCCTCCCAAGTCGCAGGGTTGCAACTGTCCTGCCGTCATCTGCCCCGAGCCCGCTGCTTCGTGATTTTCTTTCAACTAGAGGTGAGAGAGTGACGCCCGTCGGGTATTATCCCGGTCTAACTAACCGGGAAACAGAAGGGCGTGGAAGCTAGGTGAGACAGTGTTGCAGGTTGTGGGAGGTGTTTCTGACATGGACGGCATCTTTCTGAGGGAGTTGTCAGCTGACAATGTTGTGCTTCTTTATCTCATTGGTTTGCAGAAAAGACTGCATGCTGTATGGTCATAATCAGCACACAGGTCATTAATAAAGCAGCCTACCAGGCCTCAATCCAAGTCATGAAAGTGTCCGTATTCTGTTAGTGACGTCCAACTTGGCGGTTAAATAGTCCATGTTTGGAAGCGCCACCCCTCCAATACATCAGCCAATCAACTCCCTCGCCAACGAGACATGTCGATGGAACAGGCAATCCTACAAATGTAATTGCTCAACAGAATACCCCAAGAATGCCTCAGTCTCAATAAACACCGTCACACAAAAGGAATAAACAAATAGTCATCAATCACATGCATCAACACAGTCAATGCCAAGATAAGAAATTATACACTATCAAATACAGATAGGGAAGCTACTCCAAAAGGGCCGATATGTCGTGTCCCAAGATTCAACCCCACGATAGATTGCTGCTGCCGCCGCTGCTGCTGCGCTGCATGTACAGTGTTTTGCTGGGTCTCGTGTTACCCATCACTTGCCAGAGTGATCCAAGGCCTCGTCCTGTCTCACCGGGGCGCAGTCGCTGCCGCCCACCCTGTTCTCCACCTTTTGTTTCTCCATGTTTTCATATCCTTGTTCTCCTGAGACCTTGGACCAGCTCAGTGGCAGCTCGTGTCCGTGCAAATTGCACATGTGGAAGGGGATAGAGAGGCAAAAGTGTCGTAAGGGAAGGGCCGCCGCTGATGGGTAGCATTGCGAAGATTAGACCGCAGCGTAAACGGGTATATAGTAAACTGGTCATAAAAGTGCCGTCGACTCTCCGGTTGCCTGTGGCAGAACCGGGCCAAAGGGCGGGTTAGTTCGCTGAATTTTTTGCGGGAGATTATCCCAAAAAGAAGAATCGTATTCAAGACTTTGTCGTGACGTGTTGTCGTCCAAGACGGCTTGAAGTTGCATCGCCGGCGACGGTGAAAAAGAGAAGCACGTAAAAGACTTGCATCTCTTATTGGAACTGAGTACGGTCCTTCTCCTTGAGACCGCCGATCTGATCCATGTCGATCGAGTAGAACTGTCCCTTGGCCTCCTTCTCGTAGGCGGGGAGCTGCTCGTCGTTCATGGGCTCAAGACCGACAGCCGAGTTGTCGCCAACCCGGACGACGAGAACACGACCGCTCTTTGGTCGGCCCTGGTCATCCTGCTCATCAGGGAAAGTGATGTGGATCTCGGGAACATTGTCGGGAGAGTAGGGAGGCGAGTTGGGGTTGGCAAGCATGGGGTGGCCATTCTTGTTGATGACGAAGACGCTGGAGCGGCCATTGTGCGTCGTCTCAATGGTGAGGCCTCGGTGGTTGGCCATGCGCTTGGTGTTGCTGTCGTAGTACGAGGGAAGACCATCCTCCTCGTCGTGGACAGGCTGCATCTGCTTCTGGCGACGAGCGCGGCGGAACAGAAAGAGGATCGAAACCAGGATCAGGCCGAGGAAGACCAGACCGAGAAGTCCGAGCATCATGTTGATCAGTGTGTCGTCCGAGCCATCAGAGTCCGGGGGTGCGGAGGAGGTCCGGGCAAGGAGGTTGTGAAGGGAAGGCATCGTGAATAAAGTTGGGGTCGTAACGTTATGACGATGACAATGATAATTGAGTTTCGTGATAGTCAATGAGGGCTCCGGTGTACAAAAGAATGAGTGACGGGCCGTTAAAGTCTATAATTCAAAAATGTCAGTAAGCCCATACAAGCTGCGAGGAGATAGCCGAGAGCCATCGGTGAGTGCGAGCGAGAATTGTCATTCTTCCCGGGTGTGAAGCCCATCTGCAACGCATCATCCAATACAGGAGCCAACCCCCATTCCCTATCATGGTCGGAAGAGCCATCGAGGCTTGCCGGGCAATGCGAACCGGCCAAACCGAACGAGTTCCCTCCTACCAATTCAATGCATGCCATGACGTGTTGCAGAAAAGACCCCTCAAAACAGAACATCGAGCATAATAGAGGTGGCAGGTGGAGGGTCAGATGGGGCATAGGAGACGTACGCCAGGGAGAGGATATCGCCAATAGTCGGTTGGTGAATGCCTGGCTGGGAACCTCGGAAAGGGAGGTGGTTGGTGGTGTTGGCCTAGTTTGGTAAGGAAGGGAGGTTGGGGTGTAAAAGACTGGACGGATATCAGCTGAAAGAGTGAAGCTGATGATCCAAAGGAGGGGGGATTGCAAAAAACAAAGATGTACAACAGGAGCAAAAAACTATGCCGTTGACGGGAATCACGAAACAGCCCGCGAGGATTGGGTTGGAAGAGAAAGAAGAACAAGAGAAGGGCGGATTTCGGTTGGGGGAGTAGGCCATAGATGAAAAGAACAGGGGACTACCACGGAAATGAGGCCGGACCAGGGTGCAGGCAGTAGCAGGCGCTGGAGAGGCGTTGGATGGGCGCTAGGGCCACTGTTTCCTTGGTCCATCTCAGGGGCACCGCCGCTGTAATTGGCCGCTAAGCCAACTGGGCGTTGGCGTGCTGGCCCTGCTGGGGCCTGAGAGTGCTGCAAGCACCGGACAAGCACTGCGTTCTGCTCGTGTGGTCCTTCCATGTCTTTTTTCGCTCCTGGTGCGGGGCGCCACCGTCGAGCGGTGGGATGGCGAGCCAATGGCGTATCGAGGAGCGACACCAAGGGTCCGCTTCCATCCACATGGATGTGAATGTGGATGGCACGTCGTTCTCAAGGTGGGCTTCCATCCATGGCCATGGCCATGACCATGGTCAACTGTGACTCGCGCAGGCACCTGAGCTTCTCATTCTCTCTTGGTTCCAACATCACCCTCTCAAGGCCAGCCCTTGTCCCCTGTATCTGGCCTGTTCTAGCGCTGGAGGGGTCAGCTGGGATTCGCTGCCAGCTTCCCTGTAGGCGCGCGCTTCATTGGCTACAGCCGTTGGTCCAAGACTCCGCTTTCCCCTGCCAAGCCCTCCAAAGCCACGGTGCCTTGGTGCATTGCTGGTGGAGCTGCCCGTTTTGAGAGACCAGCACCGAAGACGACCTCCATACGACCACCAACACGTACCTGTGCCTATCGATAAGCAGCAGAGACTTGCTCATCACTCACTGGATTGGATCGAATTCTTCAAGTCAAGGGTCAGCTGCTGAAAAGGGCCTAGAGCCCACACGAGCGTGGCGAGCATGAGAGCGAATCTCGGCTGCTCGACAAGACGCCAATGCAAGGTACGAGCGCTATCACACAATGACAGGGACGTTTGGTTCGGTTGCGTGAACAAAGGAAAGCCTCTTGGATGAAAGCGAAGCGCCGCACCACGACGAATCCGCCTTTGTTCGCATACATTGCCTGGCATCGCCACTTCCTCCCCGCAGGAGGTGTCGTAAGAAATAAGCCGCTCAGCCTGGTACACGCGTTCGACAATCCTCTGTTTCTATTTCTAGCGTTACGATGCGATGGACGAACGCAAAGGGAAGGACGCACGGTTCCCAACAACAAGCCTCATCCATGTGCAAGCAATCGAAAAAGGGACGCAATCAGTTGTTTCCATCAAGTCCTTTGTCTGTCGCTTGTCCGCCTTCATCTTGTGTGGAACCAATGTCCTCGCATTATCCATGCCCATTTTCGCCATCAGGAGACCCGGCAGCCCTCCTTTTCCCTCGATCCCTTTCATTGTTGACGGGCACCCGGACCAAGAAATAAATGGCACACTGCAGGTAGGCAATAAGACCTTTGCCGGGCTATATAGTTATAACTTAGACTAAAATAAATAAATATAAATATAAATTATATAAATTATATTCTAATGTCTATATGAATTCTTAGATTTACAATCATAAGCCTTTTATGCTGTGATTCAGCAGATTAAATACTTGCGAAGTGTGCCATTTTTTATTTTTTTTTCTTGGACCACTAGACGGGCTAGAAGACTGGGTCTCTGGCACATCATCCGCCCTGATCCGGCAGGCATGGATTCTCTCGCCTCTGCCCGACTTTCCTTTTGCCTGACCGCTAGCCGTAGAGAAAACTTCGCCCTGAGAGGAGCATCGACATCACCCCACATGCTTCGCGATCAAAGCACGCCATCCGTTGTTCCTGCGTGCTTCTTCTCTGCAGGGCCAACACATATGGCGGAACCACGCATGGAGCCTCTACCACCTTGACCACATCACCAACTATGCTCCAGTAAACCAAGTCTGTCAGCCCGGCGGTGTAGTGCTCACATAAGACGTTGACGCTGGAGAATGAGCGATATCCCGACGACCGAGGTCCGTTGGCTTCAGCCCTTGGAATTGCTCCCCAAGATTGCCTCCCTCTCGCTTCTTTTCTTACCCTGTTCTCTCCTCGTTCTTTCATCTATCAACAGAAGGTCTACCATTCAAGTGAATGACGACTGTTGACCTTCATCGTCGAACCAATTCTGCCGGACCAGCCATGCCAGTGCATTGCGAGTCGTGGACATTGAGGTCCCTCTACACACTTCTCGGTGCTGCTGCTCGAAACTGTTGTCGGTTCGAAGGCGACACAAAGTCGAACCCGTTCCCGGAACCAAACATCTCCCCCACAAGAG